AGAAAAATATTAAAGCTGTCGGGGAAGGGTGTCCTCTTATCAGAACTGGTTCGTGTTTCCGGCTAGTTTCGTGTCACAATTCTACTAGTTTATGAGCTTCTGACATACTTGGGCATTAAATAGGTGGAAGAGGGTCAAGTTATATGCAAAATAACGTCTTAGTAGAGTATTTATATAATAAGATATAGACTTGACTAAGTTTTAAGGCATATTTAAGACAAATATTAATAGAAATAACATCCTAGATAGCCCTAATCGTCCTTTGCAAAGTACAACTCTACTTACCACTTGTTTATTTCAACATTTACATAAACGGTTCATGTTCTGGCAACAAGGTCAACGACCTTCAATTGTGCTCGAGGGTCTCCTTCGGGTCATTAACACGTAAGGCCATATGGCACACGCTACAATATAATATAAATATATATATTTAATTATAGCCAAAGAACTGACAGCAAATATAATTGTTTTTCGCAATATTTTTGATACATTTTCTTACTAGTAAGAAGACCTCGTCTCAAAGTTTAACTTTATAAACCCACATGCTCCATTAATTTAATGGCTTGCAAGCCTTTCTAAAGAAGGACTCTGGCTGTGAATGGCCCATTGTATGTCTACAAAGCCATAGGGCAGTGACAGTTTACAGTCTTCTGGGGATGACACAAGTTAGGAGGCTTAGCATACGCATTTTTGTGGGCTGGATTTCGAGTCGTGTCTCTATTAGCTGAGCTGGGAGACTTGCCAAGAAAACTTGCTATTTGAAGGCTTGTATATTGTTGGAGAATAATTATTTAATTCTGCTATTAAAGATGTATTACTTACTAATTTATTTAGAAGCACTTTGAACCAATTTATGATTTAACCACCACTGTTCAGCCATAAAGAACTAAAGTTCCTAATGGGTTTAATCACTGAATAGAGAGACAAAGCCCAGAAACCAAGAGGACTGGAATGGAATGAAATGAAACCTGCCCCTTGCACCTGCCGCTCCTTTCTCTTGGAAACAAATCCAACTATTGGATTGTTAACCTTCTCCACCTCATCCCCAGGGAGTTTGTGTTGCCATTTTTTTTTTTTATCGATAAGATTTATGGGTTTTCTACTCTACGAGAGGAGTACCTCTGAAGATAACTCTTTAAATAAAAGTTATAAATATTTTAAATTAAATAATTGTTATCTTATAATAAACCTTATCTCTTGAGGTATAAAATCCTGTTTTTTGTTTTTCAAATTTTTAATTTAAAAGTTAAGGTATTTAAGCTTCGGCTTTCATCCTTCTTAGCCACTCTCCCATTAATTCAAAAAAGAGTGAAGGATTCATTGGCCAGCCTATGTTTGCTTCCTTCATAAATTACTTTTTCCTATATCCTTCCAGCCTGTATGAGACTTGTAGAGTGAAAGGATATACAATATTGTCTATGAATGCTTTGAAAACTAGGAAATAAATAGTTCTCCACATATGAGGTATGAAAGGTTAAAGAAAAGCTCTGTTTTTTAGATACTTTCCCCACTCTAAGAGGCAATTATAACAACTCTGTCAGATATTCAACACCCAGCTGAGAACCACAGACAACGGGTGAGGAAAAAAAGAACAAATTTCATCAAAATCTGTCACGTACGAGTAGCTACCAAAATCCACAATCCGAGAGACGCCCCCCACATGCGCCTTAACCCTTAACCCCATGATTGTGTTGTGTCGCAGTACGTCTTCTTGACTTTGTTGTCTCCACATTAATTTCGACTCGAACAATTCCATTTAACGACATTTCCGGCAATACAGCTGCCGCACATTGTGACTATGACTCTGATGTTTTAACCGAAACCCGAGAATTGGATGGCTATTGTGGCGACTCTTCCACCCACAAAACGATTCAAAATGAAGCTAACCAGGCAAATAAAACAGAAAGGGATATATCTTATTGAAGAGGGTTCTCCATACCCTCTATCTATATTAGAACTATCCTATCCTTCTAATTATACTCCATTCTAGGGTATCAACCACTTCGTAGAGGATAGATCCTTAACCATATTTGAAATTCTCATGCTGTGTTGTCTTGTTGCCAGTCTGGGAGAGAGCATTGTAATGGGAAGTTATGTCTAACAAGCACGTATGACCCTGTGCGCCCACTAGCCCATCCTGCCCATTAGACATATACATCCCCAACCCCAACCCCTGTCTTGACTTGATGTTTTGCTCAATATGCCAGTCAGTCACTTGGCCGGAGGAATAAAGGAGCAACCAAGCCGGAGAAGACATTTGCCGAAATGATTTTCATATTTCGCGTGACTTTCCTGTGTGGTTAGAGGATGGGTGGTTTGAGGTTGGAGGACTTATTTGGTTATGCTTACACATAACAATGCTATGTAAGCTACCCTCCCCTCCTTGAACTTTCAGGACTAAACACCCCACTTGTTTATAAAAAAATAAAAAAAACCGCACGCGCATAAAATCGAAATTAATGAGGTGTGTGTCTCACTTAGAGACTGGTGGTTGGTGGGCTGCTGTGTGGTTGTGTCAATAGACTTGCAATAATATTGCAATAATATTATAGTTATTGTTATTTATTATGGTTGCATATCTGGTCAGTGGCCTCTCAAAGTAAGCGGCTTAAATAATTACCTAATTGGTTCTGTGGTAAACTATTTTAGGAAAATAATATTTATTAAAATAGAGTTGTAGTGCTGTAGTGCAGAATCCACTGTAGTGCTGACGTTGCCTTTGTAAGCTCCCCCAGTTATGAATGTATTTTTAGCCATAACATAAATATTGAATGACGCACAACGACTGGAGCCAGGGGAGACTTGAATAAAGTAACTGATTCAACAACAAAAATATAAGAAAATTGCAAACTTCCATAATCAAACTTAGGTAGATTTTGATAAGAGAGCTATAAACATATTGCACAACAACTAGAAGTTCTCCTATCAGGGCTGATAGATTTTTAAACCATCAGTATCAGCATTATAAAAAGATAATACCATAAGTCGTGTTGTGGTAATTTACTGCCTCTGGTTGGGGTAAGGAGGAGGGCACTTCACCACCCAGACAGCCACAAGCTCTCACCCATTTCCCACAACTTTTGGCCTGGGGATACCCCTTTGGGCCTGGGGCATAAGGCATGGGGCCCGGGGCTTGGGGAATGTGAGTAAGTGTCTGCGGCGCCAACGCGCCCGCATAACTATGTTTTTTAATGTAACCTTGTTGACTGCCCTGCCCTGCTCTGCTGTCCATTTTCTTGTCATCATCAGCCCAATCGGCCAACAGGTCGATATCGATTGGCTCTAAATTACATTACAGACCTTTTCCGAAAAACCAAGTGGCCGGGATGTGTTGGCTTGATGGTTCAAAGTTCAATAGCATAGTGGCCCATCGAATGTGAAGATGATTAAATATTTAGATGATTAAATATTTAGATGAAATATTAAATATTTGTTTATGATTCCTGTGACATTTGTCGCAAATGCATTTTTAAATAGCACTTTCAAGTCAATTAAGTCTAAGACCGGCTTTGATTTTTGTTGATTATTCAAGGGGTCACACTTCTTTTCACAAAAAAGACGAATTTTTAGGAATTTCTTACCAAATAGAAGATACTTTTAGGTACAAAATATATAATATTTTAAGAAAACAGTAAAATCAAAGAAAAAATATTAATACATTTTTGAAAATAAATGCCTTTGTTTATTACCTACAGAATATATCCAAAGATCGATATATTTATCAATTTTCCAGATATCGAGATCACCGACTTTAGACTCCCAACTATTAATTAATGTATATTAATGTATAACCCAAAATTAATGTATAACTCTGAAAATATTTATCGGATTGAGTTGAAATTTGAAAAGTACCTCCACATATATATGTAGATTAAAATAAAATAAAAATGTTGGATTTTTTTGAATATTTTAACTGCATATACCCCTTAAAACAATGATGTTCAGTAAACAGGAGTAGCAAAATGTTGACCCTAAAGATGTCTCTGTTGGCAAAAGGTCTTTTGTTTCTAAAAAAGTAAAACAAAAAAAAAATGTCTAGTCGATGAAAAGAATAGAGGACTAGTGGGGGGAGTGGGGGATACAACGCACGAGTAAGTTGTCAAAAACAGCAAGAGGCAAGCGACAGACACAAAAAACCAAAAGCGCTAAAAAATGCTACCAACTATCAAAGTACAACTTTTCCGCAAATTGTACGAGTTGGCATGGGTGGTTGGGTGGTTTGGATGGTTGGGTGGTTGGGTGGTTGGGTGGTTGGGTGGTTGTATGTAGTATATTGTAGTGTTGCATTGTAGATTATACACATCCGTGGACACATTTTAAGAGGATATGCAAGCAGGGCAAGATAATTGTGTTACTGAGTGTTTGGCATGGAGCTGAGCAGTAGATAAAAGAATGAAACTACCAACTAAACTTTAGATACATTTATTTTAAATGGTGACTACACCAGATAGAGATTGAACTTGCCACAATAGAATTTATAGACCTAACAAGGTAGTGCCTATGTGCTAGTATAACCTGCCAAATCAATTTAATAAACCTCTAAAACAAAGATTAAAAAAAAAATACCTTAAAGCAATAAAGCCTCTAACCCACCAAGAAGTCGGAGGGAAGAAGTATTCGCTGAAGTTGGCTTCCAGTTTGCGGCGTTTGGCTGAAAGAAAGTTTAATGAGTGCCATAAAATTTGTTGACTCCACTTGTTCAGACATACGAAAGCACTACGCTACGGCCTGTGCCATCTGGGTGGGGATGGGGAAGCGACTGTGGCCATGGTCGTTAGTCTATGGCGCCCATTTGATAATAAATCCTGTCCAACAGACACACCACCACACACCACACACACATGGCATCGCACTCTTCTAACAAGGAGAAGAGCCTTCCCGGCTTTGTTTATGCACTGCCCAACAAAATGGGGATAATATCTATCCCCATACTCCTTAGAGCCAAGGCCAACCTACCTCATCCTCATCCTCATTTCCTACTCTAGTAGTGGGCCTTTGGGTTTCGTTACAAAAATTATTTATTTGGCGCATTTTTCTTACATTATTCTTAAGATATTTAGTTTTTGAAACGTGTTGGGCTATAGTTTCTGGGTTGTTGCTTTTCTTCAAGGGTCTTCGGCTTCTCATCCTGCATCCTCGGCCGGCAGTTGGTCTAAATATGCATATGAATATGAAATTAGTCGTACAGCCCGGGTCTGGTTGGGTTCGGTGCGGGTGCTTACCTTTCAAGTTTCCGTTTCTGCCATGGCCTGGTCCCGGTCCCTTGAATTGAATTGAATTTTCTATGCCAAGAGCTTGTGTCTTGCTTTCTGGTAGTGTCTGGGGGTTTCTAAGGTCTTGGCATAAAAAAAACCTATGAGTTTATTGCGTAATTTAATGTTGGTTCATACTTCTAAAATAATTCACTGTGAGATGGGCTGGCTGCAGGTATGAATGAATTAATTTGATTGATATTAAAAGCTATCGGCGTCGAATATTGAGCTGCTTTTTGTTAAAATAGGAACTTCCTTTAGAGAGCCTTTTCTGATTTCAATGTTGTCGAGTTTAAAGCTGGAATTTCCTTTCCAATCCACAGAAGACTCATCTAAATATATTGAAATTTTTTCACGATTGGTTTCCTTAAGCTTCTTCAAAGAACTATTTAGTAAGGAAAATAAATCGGAAGTAATATGTGGGGAATCTAACACATTCAAGACCCGTAGGCGTGCGCATCCAAGCACCAGTTCCAACAAGTGCTTATTAGTAATGCCTCGCATTTCCAGATGTAGGTATTGAAGAGATTTTAGCTTCGTAAAGCCTTCCACATTGATATTATCGTCTTCGCTGCCTAGCCAGAGTTCTCTAAGGGAAGTAATATCACAGATATGCTCTATCTGATTCTTACACAGATTCGAGTGGCTCAGAATGAGGCTCTCTAGAGGAGTGCCAGTCCTACGTACAAGTCCCTCGATGAAACCCGGTCTTAGACGCGGAGAGATACATTTTAAGTGCTTCAGGCGGGGCAGCTCACAAACCCTTTCGTATGTCACATTATCGAGAAGTTCGTTGTCGGTGAACCCAAACGTTTCCAAGTTCCGGCAGTTCGCTACAATCGCGGAGAAGGTTTCGTTGCTCAATAAGGTGTCTATTCCAATTTGAAGAAAGTGCAGATTTTTCATCTTGATGAAGCAATCGGTCAGGTATGTGGCATCTAAATAGGAAAAGTCACATATCTCTAGATGCTGTAGTTTCTCCAGCACGTGGAGTCCTTTTCCATTGTAGAAAAAGAAGCTTCTAAGACTAGCTTCCTCAAACACGGTAGATTCTTTGATAGATTTGAGAAGAACTTCTCGTAGACATCAGTTCTACCGAAGTCTAGAAAGACATGAAGAGTGTTTAAATTCTTCAATTGGTTGAAGTCCTCCCAATGGGGTCCACTGAAAGTCATCGAGAGGCACCGCAGCATAGGGCAGTGCTTTCTTAGTAACCGCAATTCCTTCTTGTCTCTGGGAGAGGGATCCAGTGGTGGGATATAAGCTATGGGTGACTCATAGCTGATAACATGCTCGTTGACTTGTTCCACTATATATTCCAGATCAGATTCCTCGAGGCTTTTGGTGATGTCTTCAGTGAGGTGTTTGTACTTCCTCTGGGCGTAGTTCCTGTAGATGCGTTCTATTTCGCGATTGGAACGCGAAAAATTCAACTGATCTTGTAAGCTTAGAAGTGAGAATATTCTTTCTAAGCAATCGTAGTTAAGGACTAAAATATTGGACGACGCTTTGGATGGAACTCTTTGGGAGCTTGAAGAGGGCTTAGTTGATTCTTCCGCATTATTTTCACTGATTTTGCGCTTTTTTGCACTCGAGGAAGAGCTATTTATAGGCGATTCGCTCATACTTATTACGCTCGCTTGGACTCGACAGCTGGAGACTCGAAAACCGACTGACTGGCTATGGGGAGGCGTCAATATGACCGTATTCTGTATACTTTGTGAAATAAAAGTGGGTACTTCCTTTTATTATTTGTGTATTGCCGAGTGCGCGTCCATATCGTAGATTACTGGTAACTTTTAGAATCAGTTATGACAAATATGTGAGATTGTGGGTTTTGTACAGGGTGTGATTTTCGTTATCTTTATAAAGGTACATATGTACATTCAGTTATAAATCGGTCAGGAGAAATCAGCTGTGCTTAAGAGAAAGGTAATACTACTCTTAATGCTCTCTTAAGCCAGTACAAGTTCTCCTTAAACAATAATAAAGTTACATGGGCTTTACTTAGTTCAGTTTTTTGTTTCAATTTTTATACCCTTGCAGAGGGTATTATAATTTTGTCCAAAAGTGTGCAACGCAGTGAAGGAGACATCTCCGACCCTATAAAGTATATATATTCTTGATCAGGATCACCTCCTGAGTTGATATGAGCATGTCCGTCTGTCCGTCTGTCCGTCTGTCTGTCTGTCTGTCTGTTTCTACGCGAACTAGTCTCTCAGTTTTAAAGCTATCGACTTGAAACTTTGCACACACCCTTCTTTCTTTTGCACGCAGTATATAAGTCGGAACGACCGGGATCGGCCGACTATATCCTATAGCTGTCATATAACTGATTGATCGGAAATGGTATAACTTTGGTGTTTTTAGAGTAAAAGAGTTCAAATTTGACACAAGAGCTATTTTTGGCAAAAAATTACGACATGCCAAATTTCATAAGGATCGGCCGACTATATCCTATAGCTGCCATATAACTGAACGATCGGAAATGACCCAACTTTCGTGTTTTTGAAGATAGAAAGCTGGAATTTAATACAGATTCTATTTTTGGTCAGTTGACCCAACCTACCAAATTTCATTAGGATCGGCCGACTATATCCCATAGCTGCCATATAACTGAACGATCGGAAATGGTATTTGGTAGAAATATCAACTTTCGTATTTTTGAAGATAGAAGTTTGGGACTTTTTTTAGATTTTGTATTGTAATAAATTGGATTATATTTTCCTATTTCCATAAGGATCGGCCAACTATATCCGATGTTTGCGATATATATCCGGTTTTAACTGCAAGGGTATATAAACTTCGGCTCCGCCCGAAGTTAGCTTTCCTTTCTTGTTATAAATAAAATAAAAAATACTACAATTTTGATTATAAACTATATGATTTTAATTGTAAACTAGTTTACTAATTAAAATTATTTTATTTTTTTTTTCGTTTCAGGTACTACAAGTTTATATTTTCCACTCACTACACACACACATTTTTTAGAGAAGACATACTCAAGCAATAAAAGACTTCTAATAAACAGTTCTAGAACTATTGATTAACTAACTAATTGAACAGATCAAAAATCAGCATTTAAGAGAAAAGTCTGTTAAGAGAAAAGAAATCAAAACAAAGAATTTGAGAATGATTTGAGAAGACTAGAGAAGACTTGTCCAATTGCAGAGCCTTAAAATCTTCAAAACTTTAAAACTGTAAAGCAAAAGCAAAATGTTGCAAGCGCCAAATGACAGACGAAAGCAAATCCAAACTGAATGCAATAATAACAACAAAAACAACAACAGCAACTGCAACAGCAACAACAATAGGAGCAAAGCGCCGTTCGAACGTCGCAAAATTACAACAATAACATAAGTCACCGTGCAAGAGATAGTTAGAGCGAAAGCTTGAGATATAAAGAGAGAGAGAGAGAGAGAGAGCAAAAGAGAGGGGATTGATTGCGTTTAGTTTTCGCCTCGCCTCGCCCCTCCCACCCCCTCCTAATTTTCCACCCAACTTGTCCCCCCACCCCTTCGCTTGTCTGTCTGTCGGTCTGCCTGTCTGTCTGTGCCTTCTCTCTCACCTGAGGATTATTTAATTGTATACATAAATTAGTGTTTATGCTAATCGCGCGTTATGGCACAACAGCAGCAACAACAACACCAACAGCATCAAAATAGCAACAACAACAACAATAACAGCATTCTACTCCTACAACAGCAACAACTCCATCAAGAACAGCTACAACAATACAATAACAATTTGTACAGCCAAAATTATAAGTAAGTTTTAGAGTCCTTGGCTGTCAACGATATTATCTCCCGACTCCTGTCCTGTGTCTTCTGTCTCCTTCTGTCTAAGTGTCCTTGTGTCTGTTTCTATGTTTGTGCCTGTCGTCCTCTCGGTTTACTTAGCACACTGTACAGTGAATACTGTACTATGTACATGTATGTGTGTGTTTTGTTATCAAGCATGTCTGCACTACACCTACATACATATAATGTACCACTAACCCCCTCCCCCATCTCTCTGTATTGGCTTTAAAAACAATAATAAAATAATAAACAAAAAAAAAATATTAAATGCCGTTATATGCCCCCTAATGTGGACACTATGTGTGTTGATGCTTCTGCTTGCGTGTGTGCATGTCAAACCGCTGAAACTAACCGTAATGCTTGTCAAACTAACAACAGACTTGTCCACAACAGTAGGATCAATATTTGTCAGGTGTAACGATTACAAGGGGATTTTTGAAGGGAATATCTACATACAATAGATATATAGAAGATGGTTGACTTAGAGTCTATATCTTATATCCATTTTCCATAAAAAAAGAAGATTAATATGAATGAATTAACCCTTAACATTAACCCTTGAACAGGTCCCCCTGTCTTATAATCTGCATGTGGGAATGATGTTATTATCTATAAGATATATAAACCCTTCAAGAATAGTCCCAAACTCCAGATGTGATCTAAAAATTAGACCAGCAACCCCTGTTATGCGCTTGTTGTTTGTTGTTGTTCTTCATGTGATGTTTATTTGCTGTTGTTGTTGTTGTCATTGCATAAAAAATTAAATAAAAATTGTAAAATATATATATATGTTTATTTAAAAAAATGAAAATTAAATAAAAACCTTAATTTATTTTCGATTCACAGCATGGAGGAGTACGAGAGGCGAAAAAGACGGGAGCGTGAGAAAATCGAACGGCAGCAGGGAATACAGATCGATGATCGGGAAACTAGTCTATTTGGTGAGCCGAGACGGCTGACGGAGACCGATGCCGACATTACGGCGGCACTGGGGGAGTTTGGGGACGCCCGGGTCTATATTAATCAGTCAACGGTGGGGATTAGTCGACATACGCCAGGCGCCGGCAATCCGCGCCTGCAGGCACCCCTACAGCCACCGCCAAAGACCTTGGGCCACTCCCCCTCCTACACCGGATCGTCGGGCTCCACATCTGCATCCGCCAGCTCTGCTGTTCCCAGCCAGCAGCAGCAGCAACAGCAGCAGCAGCACTACCAGCAACAGCAACGTCCATCGACTTATGTCAAGCAGGCGGATAACAAGCCGCCCTACAACGGACGGGGCGGGTATCCTGGCCAGCCGATGAAGAATGACATTCCCTCGAGTAGTGGCATGGCACCGCCACGCGGCCCGCCCAGATCCAGCAGCAGCAACTCACAGTCCAGCGCCACAAACAACACCAGCGGAGTCCCAACCAGCACGCCATTGGGCCCGCCCCTCACCACCCAGATGCCTAATGGGCGGGAAAAGTCGTTTCTCGGCCCACCAGCCCCGTCGCTGCACAACGGCACTGGCGGTCGATTCATCCCGCCAGCGGCTAGCAAAAGGAGCAGCAGCGGTGCCGGCCAACAGCCACTGCCACAGGAGGTGAGTCGCCAGGACAACATATCACTCCCAAAGCCAAGATATTAACTTTTCTTTTTTGCCCAACTTGTGGCTCAGCAGAAGGACATCAGCAAGATGATCAGCGAAATGGCGGACAACTTTCGGGTTACGCCGTTGACCTCAATAGCAGCTACGCCGCACGCCCCGGTCCGGGAAAACTACAACCTCAACGGGCCCAACAAAAACAAGTACATGGACGACATGATCAGCTCCCCGCTCTGCCAGCCCTCGGCCCTAATGACGCCTCTATTCGCCCCCATTGCGCCCATCGCCTCGCCGCCCCAAGCCAGCCAGTTGCCGCCCCTCGGCGGTGCCACAAGTCTAACCTTGGGTTCAACCGAGGTGGGGTTGGGTCTGGCGCCACTGCAGCAACTGCCACCCACGCCACCCAAAGCCGCCTCCGTCATCACGTCCCCGGCAGCGGCCAAGCCGCTTAAAACCGAGAAGAACCATTCGCTGGAGAAGCAGGACTCGTGGTGAGTGAAATGTCATATTGTGTTCCTCCACGAGCTATAGCCATTTGTTTTGTAGCCTCGAGAACGATTTAGAGCTGTCCGAGTCGGAAGATGAGCAGCCCAAAAAAGAGAGGTAAGCTTTTAAAATTTAAAATATATTTTAAACTAAAAATTAAATCATTAATTTTTTATAGTCGATCGGGGGGCAACAGCAGCAATAGCTCCGAGTCGGATTCCAGTGAGTCGGGCAGCGAGTCGAGCAGCAAGAACGATGCCCAACCGATGTCCAATCACAAGCAGCTCCATCACCAGCAGCAGCCACAACCCCTCCAACAGCAGCAGCAGCTCCAGCAACAGCAACTCCTCCTCCAGCAACGGCCTCAGCCACTGACGGCGAATGGGAAGAGCGAGAAGAAAAAGTACAAGCATGCGATCATCGCTGGAGGTAGCAACACCATCACAGGACTGCTGACGTCCAGTGGATTCGGAAGTGGCGGCAATGGTGGGCCGGGAGGTAACTCCTGTGGGGCAGGGAGTGGGGCTAGCGCCTCGGCTGGGACGATGAGCAGTGGCGGCAGCTCCTCGAACAAGACGCCATCGCCCACGGAGAGCAACAAGTGGACACTGAGTAGGTTCTTTCCAAAGCCCGCCAACCAGACGAATACGGAGAGCGCCACGCCCGGCAATGTGAGCATGAAGGTGCCAGGAATCCTGCCAGGTGGCGCCCAGATCATACCCGAGCCCATCGAAGTGTCGACGGCGATCGTTAAGAACGAGAAGATTCACGACGATCCCATGGACATGGATGAGGTCGAGGAGGACGACGACGACGAGGACCAGCAGCAGCAACAGCAACAGCAATTGCCCTATCGAGCTGATCTCAGCGTGACACCGGTGTCGGTGAAAAAGGAGGCCATCGACGGAGTGTCTGAGATGGGCCTGACGGCGATTCCAAAAAACCAAATAAAACGCGAGTCATCGGAGGCGCTTATCGCCTCCCGGCTCTCGGACTCCGGCACCAGCGGTAGCTCGTCGAGCAGCAGCAGCAGCTCGGAAAGTGCACCCGGTGGCGAGGTTGTGCCTATGCCGGGTCCCGGGGAGACTTTGCAGATCCCCGGGGTGCCCGCAGCCATTACGTCGGTGATGCGAGTGCCCACGACGTTGACGCAGAAGGCGCCGTCTAGCAACAGTGTCACCCTGATGCCCATCTTGCCGCTGCCCGTCTCGCCAAAGCAGCGCCAGAAGAAGCAGCGCAAGAAGAAGACGAGTACACCAATTGTGAACTCCAGCGATGAGGACGAGCCGGCGCCCAAGCATCCGGGCCTGGATTACACCGCAGTTACGGCTCATTCCCAGGCGACGGCGGCGGCGGCGCCGGCGAAGAAGCGAGGAAGGCCGCGGAAGCAGCAGCAGCAGAGCGGCGGCAGTGGCAACCTGAGTAGTGCTTCGGCGGGCAGCAGCTCTCAGACCAAGGGACCCTCACTGACGGCCGCCAAGAAGCCGCTGTGCAAGGTGCTCCCAGCCATGGGCGGTGCCAGGAAGCGGGACCATTCCAGCCAAAGCAGCTCCAACGGCAACACGCCAACCAAGAAGATGGCCACACCCATGTCAATGTCGGCTCCCCTGAAGACCGCCAGTGTCCATCGGGACAGCAGCAGTTCCGACGACGACAGCTCCTCGAGTGGGGGATCCAGCTCCAAGTCCAGCAGCTCCTCGAGCAGCAGCGACGACACGGAGGAGACGCAGAACACCAACTGCCGGATCGTCAAGCTGAACAAGACGGGGGCGGTGGCGGCAAAGGTGCTCCTTGGCAGCGGAAGCAGTTCGCCCTGCAGCAGCGGCAGCGAGTCGGAGGTCCAGGCGAGGAACCAGGCGGGCGGCGGAAAGGCACTGGCCCAGCAGTTGCCGCCGTACAAGCCGCAGGTGATGAGCCAGCACAGCCAACAGCTAAGCAGCTCCGAGTGCTCCTCGTCGAGTGGCGACAGGGGTGGCACTGGGGCCGGCAGCAGCAGCAGCGGCGAGGAGGACGAGGCGCGGCACGAGAAGGAACGGGAGCGGAAGCCGAAGAGCGACAAGAACAAGATCAGCACGCTGACGAGGATCTTCAACCCCAAGGAGGGCGGTGCCAAGAAGCAGGGCCAGGTGGTGATAATGGACCTGCAGGAGGAGCAACAGCAGGGCAAGCTGGATGCGGTGACGCAGTCGTCGCAAGTGGCTGCTGCCGCCACTGCCGCGAAGCCAAGGATGACGCCCACCCAGCAACTGCAGCAGCAGCACGCCCAGTCGCAGCAGATGCTGGGCACGAGTCTGGCCTCCCCCGCCAGGACCACCACGCCACACCTGACCTCCCTGATCTGTAAGATTGACCTTAGCAAGCTGTCGCGGGAGCGGATTATGCGCCTGAAGAAACTGACGCCTGCCCAGCAGAATGGCCACCTGACGCCCAAGGACCAGGCACCGTCGGCGGCCCAGCTTCCCAACGGGTATGCCAATGACGCTGTTCCCGCCACCAAAGTCAAGCCCGAGCACCCGGTGAAGCCCGAACCCGATCCGGACTTCGAGGCCAAGTTCAAGCCTGGTAGTGTTAAGCAGGAGTTCCAGCTGAAGCAGGAACGGGACCGGGACAGGGAGCGGGAGCGTGAAAGGGAGCGGGAACGGGAACGCGATAGAGAGCAGCCGCCGGGTCGAAGACGGAAGCGGAGCTCCAGTTCCAGCTCTAGTCCCTACAAGGAGAAGAAGCGGAAAAAGGAGAAAACGGACCAGTTGCAGATCTGCAAGGAGCTGCTGCCATCCAACAACCACGAGCGAATACCCAACCACGATCGCCTCTCCTACGACAAGCTTCAGTTACTCCACGAGGATGCAGCTGCCGCTGTCGCTGCGAGTGGCGTTGGCTCCGCTCCCAATGGCAGTCCCAGAAAGAATCTACTGGCCATGTCTCCTCTTCCGCCGCCCCCGGTAACCACAGCCATTACCATTGTGCCGCCCATCACCTGCAACGAAGCCGTGCAGACGACACCACCTCTGACGACGTCCACGTCTCCACAAACAGCTTCGGCCATCGCGGAGCCAACACCTCCAGCCGTGGCAGTTCCTCCAGCACCCGTCACACGCCTTATATACCGATCGTATTTCGATCGCGAAGAGGCGCATCCTAGTGCCGATTTAAGGTAGGATTATAGCTTTACTTTCCTACTATATCATTTGATACTCATCCTGGGTTTATTCCGACTTTTTTGTAGAAAAAACAACCAGTTCCTGCAGGAGGCCGTCAACCGGAAGCACGCCGCGGATGCGGAGCCTGACTCCTTCAACCAGGTCACCTTGTATTTGGAAGCTGTCGTCTACTTTCTACTGACTGCCGACGCCATGGAGCGTTGTAGCTCTGAGGCCACCTACACTATGTATAAGGACACCTTGTCCCTAATTAAGTGAGTAAAGTGTGCCAAGGATTAAGAGCCTCCTGGACCTATCCACGACAAGGGCCTATCTAATCCCATCTAAAATAAATTCTTTACTTGCAGATTCATCTCCTTCAAGTTTCGACCCCAACATTTGGCAAACGGCCAGACCAAGACTCATATGGCCAAAGTGGCCATACTTAGGTATTACCTTATAGCAAAGAATATAAAGAATATATAATCCTAAATCCATAATGTATTCCTATAGCTTACGTTGCCAATCACTGATATCGCTAAAGCTGTACAATCTACGGAGAGCGAATTGTCGGGATATCCTGGCCAGCGTGACGGATTTCCTTCGCACCGGCAGGGACATTGTGAATGGAAACACACCATCGTCCATTTCACCATCAAACTCGGTGGGCTCACAGGTATGACCATAGAGTCCTGAGACCTTAAACCTCAATGACTAAACTAATATCTATACAGGGCTCTGGTTCGAATACGCCGCCGGGACTAATAGTGCCTAGAGACATACAAAATCAGCTGTTGAAACAGAATGAATATCTGAGCTATTTACACAGTGCTCATGAGTTGTGGGATCAAGCCGATAATTCGGTGCGCAAAGGGAATCATACAGGTAATAGTTTCAAGTCCCTCTTTAAAATAGAAACTAATTTCTTAATCTTTATAGATTTCTTCCGGGAACTGGACCATGAAAACGGACCATTGACGCTACATAGCACTATGCACGAGGTGTTCCGGTATGTGCAAGCTGGTCTTAAGACGCTCAGGGATGCAGTGTCGCATACGGCGCATCCAACTCAATAGCGGAACTAAAAAACAAAAATTACAAAAAAAAAAAATTAACGAAATTAGAAACAGAAAACAGAAACACCACCAAACGTGTCTAAACAAAAGTCAGGCCAAATTAGCAACTATAGTATGTAATAATATACTAGTTACAAGCTACTATTTAGTTAGTCAACAAAACAAGTAACGAAAAGAAATAAAAGTCGAAACCAATAACCTTCCAAAAGAAAAAAAAAAAAGAAAAGAAAAGAAAGGAAACATCAAAAACATAGCAACACAAGAAATTATTTGTTAGTAATTTATAATTTGTATATGTTTTGTATTTTGTATATGCACACCAATTACTTATTTCCTTATGCTCAATTTGCAATTGTTGTAAGCATGTTTAGCTTTATATTTATGCATAGTTTTAGTTGATATTACCACAACAACAACAACAACAACACACATACACCCACAACATTTCAAGTTATAATAGCTATATGTTTAGACTTTAAGCTCAAAAACAGATATGCTAAAAAAAGGCAAGTTCTCGCAACCCCCCTTACCTGTATCTCTTACCCTCAACACACACAATTTTAGGTGAATTTTGTTTTCGTTTGCGTTAGAAAGTTAAGTATAAAAAAAACAACAACGGCTTTTTAATTTGTTTAAGTTTTAGTTAATTTTTTGATTTGCAGCATCTTGATAATGTCCAAATGCTAGCAAATATATACATATTATGGCCTATATAAAGCAAAGTTATAGTTGTAAATTTATTGTAATATTTTTATTATGAATTATGTTTAATGCTACCTTTTTTATTAATTTTAAACTAATTCATTAAAAAAAAACAAAAACAACAACAATCACAACACGTTTTAGAACAAAATACAAAAAAAATGAAAAATTGTATACTAATATATATATATATATTTCAAATATATAAATATGGAATTTTGATCTTTGGTTTTATTTGTTTCATTTTTCTTTTTGGTTGTGCCCTAAAAGAAACATTCAGCATTCGATTTATTCGATTTCATTCGATTCATAATGGGTGCCTCGAAACTCTCAAAACAAAACGCAAAAACTAATAGTGCATTAGTAGAATTAAACGAGTTAAGATTCAATCGAAATGGACTTGCCCTTGAAATCGATATACTTATATAAAAATATTATATATATATAGACATAATATATATATATTTTTAAAAATGCCAAAAACAAGCGTGGAATGCAGTTGACTAATTTAAGCAGTTTTAAATCAGCCAAGTTTGAATAAATAAATAGGCCACCCATTCTGGAGGTCGTCGATACTTTGATAAATTGGTGTGGCGTTGTTTCGCTAAAGAAGCTTTGGTTATTGACTTTTTGGCAAAAAATAAAAAATAAAAATCGAAACAAAAATGTAAAGTTTGTGAAGAAAAAAATAATACGGTTCTGGGGAAACAATGCACTCAAATTCAAAACACGAAACAGAAACAAAAAAAAATCTTAATTATAGACAAATTTTAGGTTTAACACAGATAATGATGATGATTGAAGATTGAAGATTGGAGAGATGAGCACAATTTTATTGTGCTAGCAACTAAGTGTAATTATTACAAATGAATACGCATGTGTATTGTTAAAAATGAAAAGACGCTGTAAATAATAAATAATTTAGGCAAAAGGCATGGGATAGTCATTTGGAAGACGTACATACGTACATACATACATATATATATACATATAAATACATGCATACACATACATATACTAACTTATATATTGGTATATACGACATGATATATATATATTTTTATATATATACACGAAGGAATACAACTAAACGACGTAGAAATTATAGTTAAATTTTTTCAAAACGATAAGTTCAACTTGCAGCAGCAATAAGCGATAAGCGAAACGGCAAGATCACCAAACAGCAACAAAACAAATTAAAACGGGCCTAGTAATAGTTAGTAATTATATTTTGTTAAGCGTTATTCTAGTAAAAAAAAACAAAAACAGAAACCATAACGATAGAAGGGCGAACATAATTAAGTTCTAAGCTGGGGTTTTGCGTTAAAAGCAAAAGACAAAAGAAAAATGAAAATGAATTAAATACACAAAACGTGGTTCATTAACAAAAGTCGAAAAATAAACATATATATTTTGTAAAAATATAATTAAAATCAGCCGCAGCTAAAACGAAGTACACTTATTAAAGTTTAAGCAACAACAAACTGAAAAAACCAACTTAATATGCAATTACCGTAAAAGTAGTTGATAAATCAAACGAATAAAACATCAAAAATTGTAACAATTCAATTTTGTCGTTTCATTTATGATTTTTCAATATTCTTCAAATATTTGAAATTGAAATCCAATTGCTTTCGACCTTTTTAAATATTGTGAACGCCGAGAACTAAAAATTTTGGCCGATTCTTAGCCAAAATAATGATATGGATATTTTCCTGAAAAAAATTCAGCCGGAAAACCTTGTTGACCAAGCTAAGAACAGGATGGCCAAAATGATTACTTTTGGGACACTTCCTAGCACATATTTTAGTCATTTTTTATCGGATTTGGAAAAGGATTGCCATTTACCAATCAGGAAACTCATGTCCTTCAATCTGCATCAAAATATCCCTAAAATCAAGAAATACAATTTTTGGTCGTTTTTTGGCCAAAATCATGGTCTTACCCCTATGAAAAATTGCGAAAATGGGCTAAGATTTTAATTGGCCAGGTTTTGATGCAGAATTATTCTACTGGGAGATCTAAGATCGGGAGTGTATAACAATCATCGATAGGACCAAGAGCGTAGTCAGAATTTTTCACAGGGGGGGACAAAAATTCAGATTCAGTCAGAATTTTTCACAGGGCGAGCTTTGAGGAGCCATGGCCTTGCCCATCTATGATCTAAAATATATACATATATATACATATATAAAATGCGCTGAAGTAATTCAACCTTTAAAAAAATATTTTGATTCATTTTTATTGATTTTCATCAACTTTCTCGGCTGATCAGGGGGGGGCAAGTGCCCCCCCTGCCCCCCCCTGCCTACGCCCTTGGATAGGACTATTATTTTCCACCAGCAACAGTATATCAACCACAACAACCACCACCAGCAACAGTATATGGACCACAATATCAACCAGCAACAGTATATGGACCACAATATCAACCAGCAACAGTATACAGACGATAATATCAACCAGCAACAGTATATGGACCACAATATCAACCAGCAACAGTATATGGACCACAATATCAACCAGCAACAGTATACAGACCACAACCTGTGGCAATTACATCGCCGCCACAGACGGTTGGTACTACAACGACGGCACAGGCGCAGACGGTTGCAACTACAACGACGGCACAGGCGCAGACGGTTGCAACTACAACGACGGCACAGGCTGTGCAGACGGTTGCAACTGCAACGCCGCCACCACAGACGGTTGCCGCGGACATTTAAAAATTGTTTAATGGCCGACCGATTGTAGTGGAGCAGGTGCGGAAGGCGGAGCCGTTGGTTGGTGATATTATGACCATCGTGTCTGATATACCAATACAGCCATTAGCATTAAATTTGAATAATTGTGACATTTCCACCTGGCATGAAGATGCCAATGGTGCAGTTTGGATTACAGAGGGGTCCCAATGCCCTTATTGTTTTGGGGTATTTAGATCAAATAACCTTCTAGAAAAACATTTCGAAAATTGTCTAACAACCCCAAAATTGCACCACTGCGAATTCTGTCCCTATTCAAAAGAACTATCGAATTTTAATGCATAAAAAATGTTTGGAAATCAGCGACGCCGCAGCATGTGGCGAAACCAGCGACGCCGCAGCCTGCGGCCCAACCAGCGGACCTGGGACAACTATTTTTTGGCCGGCCAATCAATGTGCTCCGGGTGGCAACAGTATATACCAAAGTCGGAGGCTATTGCCCGATTCAAAGTCAAAATTATACCAAAAGTCCACAGACAGAACATGCTTCCAACCCACTCAGAGAGACAGATTTTCTGCTCCCTTTTTCTTCTCCTATTTCTGCACCGCGAAGTTATAAAAAAAATGAAACAATTGACAAGTGTTGGACCACAATATCAACCAGCAACAGTATACAGACCACAACCTGTGGCAATTACATCGCCGCCACAGACGGTTGCAACTACAACGACGGCACAGGCGCAGACGGTTGCAACTGCAACGCCGCCACTGCATCGCCGCCACCACAGACGGTTGCAAGTACAACGACGGTTGCAACTGCATCGCCGCCACCACAGACGGTTGCAAGTACAACGACGGCACAGGCTGTGCAGACAGTTGCAACTGCATCGCCGCCACCACAGACGGTTGCAAGTACAACGACGGCACAGGCTGTGCAGACAGTTGCAACTGCATTGCCGCCACCACAGACGGTTGCCGCGGACATCCAAAAATTGTTTAATGGCCGACCGATTGTAGTGGAGCAGGTGCGGAAGGCGGAGCCGTGGGTTGGTGATATTATGACCATCGTGTCTGATATACCAATACAGCCATTAGCATTAAATTGTGACATTGTGACAAATTGTGAAAAATTGTGACATTTCCACCTGGCATGAAGATGCCAATGGTGCAGTTTGGATTACAGAGGGGTCCCAATGCCCTTATTGTTTTGGGGTATTTAGATCAAATAACCTTCTAGAAAAACATTTCGAAAATTGTCTAACAACCCCAAAATTGCACCACTGCGAATTCTGTCCCTATTCAAAAGAACTATCGAATTTTGGAATGCATTTAATGCATAAAAAATATTTGGAAAACAGCGACGCCGCAGCATGTGGCGAAACCAGCGACGCCGCAGCCTGCGGCCCAACCAGCGGACCTGGAACAACTATTTTTTGGCCGGCCAATCAATGTGCTCCGGGTGGCAAAGTCGGAGGCTATTGCCCGATTCAAAGTCAAAATTATACCAAAAGTCGCTCGGATCGAATCCGATCCCTCCCGCACCGATCGAGCCGAGCCCAGGCCCAGCCAAACATGGCGAACTAGACCAGCCAAAAGAAAACACAGAGGAAAACTCACCACATCACCACAGACAGAACATGTAATTTTCACAACACTTGTCAAGTTTTTAACGTTTTCCAACTTTGCGCTTCCAACCCACTCAGAGAGACAGATTTTCTGCTCCCTTTTTCTTCTCCTATTTCTGCACCGCGAAGTTATAAAAAAAAAAATGAAACAATTGACAAGTGTTGGACCACAATATCAACCAGCAACAGTATACAGACCACAACCTGTGGCAATTACATCGCCGCCACAGACGGTTGGTACTACAACGACGGCACAGGCGCAGACGGTTGCAACTGCAACGCCGCCACTGCATCGCCGCCACCACAGACGGTTGCAAGTACAACGACGGTTGCAACTGCATCGCCGCCACCACAGACGGTTGCAAGTACAACGACGGCACAGGCTGTGCAGACAGTTGCAACTGCATCGCCGCCACCACAGACGGTTGCCGCGGACATCCAAAAATTGTTTAATGGCCGACCGATTGTAGTGGAGCAGGTGCGGAAGGCGGAGCCGTTGGTTGGTGATATTATGACCATCGTGTCTGATATACCAATACAGCCATTAGCATTAAATTTGAATAATTGTGACATTTCCACCTGGCATGAAGATGCCAATGGTGCAGTTTGGATTACAGAGGGGTCCCAATGCCCTTATTGTTTTGGGGTATTTAGATCAAATAACCTTCTAGAAAAACATTTCGAAAATTGTCTAACAACCCCAAAATTGCACCACTGCGAATTCTGTCCCTATTCAAAAGAACTATCGAATTTTAATGCATAAAAAATGTTTGGAAATCAGCGACGCCGCAGCATGTGGCGAAACCAGCGACGCCGCAGCCTGCGGCCCAACCAGCGGACCTGGGACAACTATTTTTTGGCCGGCCAATCAATGTGCTCCGGGTGGCAACAGTATATACCAAAGTCGGAGGCTATTGCCCGATTCAAAGTCAAAATTATACCAAAAGTCCACAGACAGAACATGCTTCCAACCCACTCAGAGAGACAGATTTTCTGCTCCCTTTTTCTTCTCCTATTTCTGCACCGCGAAGTTATAAAAAAAAAATGAAACAATTGACAAGTGTTGGACCACAATATCAACCAGCAACAGTATACAGACCACAACCTGTGGCAATTACATCGCCGCCACAGACGGTTGCAACTACAACGACGGCACAGGCGCAGACGGTTGCAACTGCAACGCCGCCACTGCATCGCCGCCACCACAGACGGTTGCAAGTACAACGACGGTTGCAACTGCATCGCCGCCACCACAGACGGTTGCAAGTACAACGACGGCACAGGCTGTGCAGACAGTTGCAACTGCATCGCCGCCACCACAGACGGTTGCAAGTACAACGACGGCACAGGCTGTGCAGACAGTTGCAACTGCATTGCCGCCACCACAGACGGTTGCCGCGGACATCCAAAAATTGTTTAATGGCCGACCGATTGTAGTGGAGCAGGTGCGGAAGGCGGAGCCGTGGGTTGGTGATATTATGACCATCGTGTCTGATATACCAATACAGCCATTAGCATTAAATTGTGACATTGTGACAAATTGTGAAAAATTGTGACATTTCCACTTGGCATGAAGATGCCAATGGTGCAGTTTGGATTACAGAGGGGTCCCAATGCCCTTATTGTTTTGGGGTATTTAGATCAAATAACCTTCTAGAAAAACATTTCGAAAATTGTCTAACAACCCCAAAATTGCACCACTGCGAATTCTGTCCCTATTCAAAAGAACTATCGAATTTTGGACTGCATTTAATGCATAAAAAATGTTTGGAAACCAGCGACGCCGCAGCATGTGGCGAAACCAGCGACGCCGCAGCCTGCGGCCCAACCAGCGGACCTGGAACAACTATTTTTTGGCCGGCCAATCAATGTGCTCCGGGTGGCAAAGTCGGAGGCTATTGCCCGATTCAAAGTCAAAATTATACCAAAAGTCGCTCGGATCGAATCCGATCCCTCCCGCACCGATCGAGCCGAGCCCAGGCCCAGCCAAACAAGGCGAACTAGACCAGCCAAAAGAAAACACAGAGGAAAATTCACCACATCACAAATACGAAGCTCACACACAGACAGAAAATGTAATTTTCACAACACTTGTCAAGTTTTTAACGTTTTCCAACTTTGCGCTTCCAACCCACTCAGAGAGACAGATTTTCTGCTCTCTTTTTCTTCTCCTATTTCTCCTATATATGGACCACAATATCAACCAGCAACAGTATATGGACCACAATATCAACCAGCAATAGTATATGGACCACAATATCAACCAGCAATAGTATATGAACCACAACAACCACCACCAGCAACAGTATATGGACCACAATATCAACCAGCAACAGTATATGGACCACAATATCAACCAGCAACAGTATACAGACCACAATATCAACCAGCAATAGTATATGAACCACAATATCAACCAGCAACAGTATATGGACCACAATATCAACCAGCAACAGTATACAGACCACAACCTGTGGCAATTACATCGCCGCCACAGACGGTTGGTACTACAACGACGGCACAGGCGCAGACGGTTGCAACTACAACGACGGCACAGGCGCAGACGGTTGCAACTGCAACGCCGCCACCACAGACGTTTGCAAATACAACGACGGCACAGGCTGTGCAGACGGTTGCAACTGCATCGCCGCCACCACAGACGGTTGCAAGTACAACGACGGTTGCAACTGTATCGCCGCCACCACAGACGGTTGCAAGTTCAACGACGGTTGCAACTGCATCGCCGCCACCACAGACGGTTGCAAGTGCAACGACGGTTGCAACTGCATCGCCGCCACCACAGACGGTTGCAAGTACAACGACGGTTGCAACTGCATCGCCGCCACCACAGACGGTTGCAAGTACAACGACGGCACAGGCTGTTCAGACAGGTGCAACTGCATCGCCGCCTCCACAGACGGTTGCCGCGGACATTCAAAAATTGTTTAATGGCCGACCGATTGTAGTGGAGCAGGTGCGGAAGGCGGAGCCGTTGGTTGGTGATTTTATGACCATCGTGTCTGATATACCAATACAGCCATTAGCTGTACGAAGTTCCAACTTTTTATCTTCAAAAACACGAAAGTTGGGTAATTTCGGATTGTTCAGTTACAGTGATGGAAAAAATAATAGAAAGGAATGTTTCTATTTCACTTAAAAGCTTTTTTTTTATGTTTAGGCTTTAGAAATATTTATAAAATCCACTGAGTTTGTAACGTGGATAACTACACTTGGTCACGATCTTCTTTTTCAACTCTTTTAGTCCGCAATTTTGGTGTTTCATGGAAATTCGTCAGAAGGTCTTGTGTTTGGGTTGGAAAAAATAATAGAAACGCGGTCGTATTTTGTCAAAATCTGTGGTTATTGTTCGTTTGAATTAAAATAAAAGGTATTGTTTGGAATATTTTTATTACAAGGAGTGTTATTATAGCAATTTTTTTTACAATTTATCATTTAATTTTGTTAAAAGCTTAAAATGGTTCGTGGAGCACATTGCACCGTAGTAGAGAGGAATCTAATCCTCACATTAAAAGCAGAAGTCCAATACATAGGAAAAATTGTCAAACTATTGGACTGCTCCAAAAAAAAGTGTTTTCTGCTATCCACTATACAGATAAACAGGAAAAACGTTGCAGAAAGGGAGCAACTTCCACAAAATTTGACACTACCCTTATTAGGAAGTCGAAAAAAGAGCCTATCCCTCCTTCGAAGGATCTTAAAAACTATATGAACGCATCCTTAACAAGTCATACCACTTGCAAAAGACTGATTGAGCGTGGTTTGAAAGCGCATTCAGCAAGGAGAGTTCCTTTTATGAGCTAGAGGCATCCAACCAAGGGACCCGCCAGAACTGGAAAAACGTCCTTTGGTCCGATGAGACAAAGATTGATTTGTTGGATCTGATGGTAGATCCCATGTTAGACGCCCAAACCTCAAAGCATTCGATCCCAAATACACCAAAAAGACAATCAAACAAGGAGGCGGCAATATAATGCTATGGGGATGTTTCTCTGCTTCAGGTGTTGGTCAACCTTTATCGGGTACAAGGAAATAGGTGTTCTACAGACTATGTAAACATAATCAAGGACGTTATGTTACCATATGCCGAAGAGGAAATGCCTTGGAAGTGGGAATTTATGCAAGATAACGATCCCAAACCCACATCCAAGCTTGCGAAAAAGTGGTTCCAGGACAATAAAGTCGACGTTATGGATTGGTCAGCTCAGTCACCCGATTTAAACCCTATTGAGCATTTGTGGGGCATCCTAAAAAAACGTTTAAATGTGTTTCAACCAAAAAATAAGGATCAATTGCAGGAGAAAGTCCAGGAAGAGTGGTACTCCATTTAGCAAGCAATATGCTCCAATCTGGTGGAGGGTATGCCTCGCAGGTGTGTTGCAGTTTTGAAAAACTATGGTAACGGCACCAAATATTAAAGCTGAATATATTTTATGGTAAATTTTGCTAAGCTAGTAAATTTAGAGAAGGATTAGTCATTTCGTTTTTTTTTTATTTCCAGGTCAATAACATAAAATTTAACTTTAGTTTAATTTTTTAGCTAAATGAATAAAACTAAATGGATTTCTGTTTTTTAGTATGTAAGATAGATGTAAACATATTAAAGAAAAATTAAAATTTACACTCAATACCACGTTTTCTATTAAAAATACGTATTTGAACCCAAAGGGAAAATTCGTTTCTATTATTTTTTCCATCACAGTAGATACATATATATATGTCAAATCATGTTCGATGTTGTTGTTGTTGTCTTCCATTGCGGCGCAACGATTTCAGCCTTGTACACACTTCAAGTTCTGGTACGCAACTGCCTGCGTCTAATTCTCTACCTCCTGTGCATACTACCGAACCTCGATCGGCGACAGCGACACAACGCTGTCGCCTCGCTACAAAGCGACAACATCCTAGCAACGGTTGCCTGGCAACCTGGAGGACTCTGGGACACGAAAATGTGTATTCGCACACACACACACATACATTCGCCGACATATACATATGCATATACATATACATGCATACACATACATATACTAACTTATATATTGGTATATACGACATGATATATACATATATATATATTTTTATATATATACACGAAGGAATACAACTAAACGACGTAGAAATTATAGTTAAATTTTTTCAAAACGATAAGTTCAACTTGCAGCAGCAATAAGCGATAAGCGAAACGGCAAGATCACCAAACAGCAACAAAAACAAATTAAAACGGGCCTAGTAATAGTTAGTAATTATATTTTGTTAAGCGTTATTCTAGTAAAAAAAAACAAAAACAGAAACCATAACGATAGAAGGGCGAACATAATTAAGTTCTATGCTGGGGTTTTGCGTTAAAAGCAAAAGACAAAAGAAAAATGAAAATGAAAATGAATTAAATACACAAAACGTGGTTCATTAACAAAAGTCAAAAAATAAACATATACATTTTGTAAAAATATAATTAAAATCAGCCGCAGCTAAAACGAAGTACACTTATTAAAGTTTAAGCAACAACAAACTGAAACAACCAACTTAATATGCAATTACCGTAAAAGTAGTTGATAAATCAAACGAATAAAACATCAAAAATTGTAACAATTCAATTTTGTCGTTTCATTTATGATTTTTCAATATTCTTCAAATATTTGAAATTGAAATCCAATTGCTTTCGACCTTTTTAAATATTGTGAACGCCGAGAACTAAAAATTTTGGCCGATTCTTAGCCAAAATAATGATATGGATATTTTCCTGAAAAAAACCAGCCGGAAAACCTTGTTGACCAAGCTAAGAACAGGATGGCCAAAATAGTTACTTTTAGGACACTTCCTAGGACATATTTTAGTCATTTTTTATCGGATTTGGAAAAGGATTACCATTTACCAATCAGGAAAATCATGTCCTTCAATCTGCATCAAAATATCCCTAAAATCAAGAAATACAATTTTTGGTCGTTTTTTGGCCAAAATCATGGTCTTACCCCTATGAAAAATTGCGAAAATGGGGTGAGATTTTAGTTGGCCAGGTTTTGATGCAGAATTATTCTACTGGGAGATCTAAGATCGGGAGTGTATAACAATCATCGATAGGACTATTATTTTCCGAGTTATGGATATTTTCCTGAAAAAAACCAGCCCGAAAACCTTGTTGACCAAGCTAAGAACAGGATGGCCAAAATAGTTACTTTTAGGACACTTCCTAGGACATATTTTAGTCATTTTTTATCGGATTTGGAAAAGGATTACCATTTACCAATCAGGAAACTCATGTCCTTCAATCTGCATCAAAATATCCCTAAAATCAAGAAATACAATTTTTGGTCGTTTTTTGGCCAAAATCATGGTCTTACCCCTATGAAAAATTGCGAAAATGGGGTGAGATTTTAGTTGGCCAGGTTTTGATGCAGAATTATTCTACTGGGAGATCTAAGATCGGGAGTGTATAACAATCATCGATAGGACTATTATTTTCCGAGTTATGGATATTTTCCTGAAAAAAACCAGCCCGAAAACCTTGTTGACCAAGCTAAGAACAGGATGGCCAAAATAGTTACTTTTAGGACACTTCCTAGGACATATTTTAGTCATTTTTTATCGGATTTGGAAAAGGATTACCATTTACCAATCAGGAAACTCATGTCCTTCAATCTGAATCAAAATATCCCTAAAATCAAGAAATACAATTTTTGGTCGTTTTTTGGCCAAAATCATGGTCTTACCCCTATGAAAAATTGCGAAAATGGGGTGAGATTTTAGTTGGCCAGGTTTTGATGCAGAATTATTCTACTGGGAGATCTAAGATCGGGAGTGTATAACAATCATCGATAGGACTATTATTTTCCGAGTTATGGATATTTTCCTGAAAAAAACCAGCCCGAAAACCTTGTTGACCAAGCTAAGAACAGGATGGCCAAAATAGTTACTTTTAGGACACTTCCTAGGACATATTTTAGTCATTTTTTATCGGATTTGGAAAAGGATTACCATTTACCAATCAGGAAACTCATGTCCTTCAATCTGCATCAAAAAATCCCTAAAATCAAGAAATACAATTTTTGGTCGTTTTTTGGCCAAAATCATGGTCTTACCCCTATGAAAAATTGCGAAAATGGGCTGAGATTTTAATTGGCCAGGTTTTGATGCAGAATTATTCTACTGGGAGATCTAAGATCGGGAGTGTATAACAATCATCGATAGGACTATTATTTTCCGAGTTATGGATATTTTCCTGAAAAAAACCAGCCCGAAAACCTTGTTGACCAAGCTAAGAACAGGATGGCCAAAATAGTTACTTTTAGGACACTTCCTAGGACATATTTTAGTAATTTTTATCGGATTTGGAAAAGGATTACCATTTACCAATCAGGAAACTCATGTCCTTCAATCTGCATCAAAATATCCCTAAAATCAAGAAATACAATTTTTGGTCGTTTTTTGGCCAAAATCATGGTCTTACCCCTATGAAAAATTGCGAAAATGGGGTGAGATTTTAGTTGGCCAGGTTTTGATGCAGAATTATTCTACTGGGAGATCTAAGATCGGGAGTGTATAACAATCATCGATAGGACTATTATTTTCCGAGTTATGGATATTTTCCTGAAAAAAACCAGCCCGAAAACCTTGTTGACCAAGCTAAGAACAGGATGGCCAAAATAGTTACTTTTAGGACACTTCCTAGGACATATTTTAGTAATTTTTATCGGATTTGGAAAAGGATTACCATTTACCAATCAGGAAACTCATGTCCTTCAATCTGCATCAAAATATCCCTAAAATCAAGAAATACAATTTTTGGTCGTTTTTTGGCCAAAATCATGATGTTACCCCTATGAAAAATTGCGAAAATGGGGTGAGATTTTAGTTGGCCAGGTTTTGATGCAGAATTATTCTACTACGAGCCCTATGATCGGGAAGGTATACCATTCATAGATAGGACTATTATTTTCCGAGTTATGGATATTTTCCTGAAAAAAACCAGCCCGAAAACCTTGTTGACCAAGCTAAGTAGCTTCATGGTGATGGGCAGCATTTTTAAACTTTAAATGCAAAAAATACCACATTGAAATCGGAACAGTGCTGTGAAACTCTGTTTGGGCGATCCTCTCCACCACAGTCAAAATGTACGGTGTATGTAAAATGTATGTAAAAGCTATAGTCAAATTTTCAGATATATTTTTTATTGCTTTTAAATTAGTTAGCTACTGCTTTAAAATGTAATTTTTGCAAAAATGGCTTATTCGACATTAAAAATGTTGCCCAAGTGCGGAAATTCGGGATTTGCTGGTTTCACAACACTGATTTTCTTATTTCCTGGAAGTTGGTGGTCCTAACCCATGCTTAATTTGTTGGCGTGCCAATAATGTAAGTAAAATTACAGTTTTTGGTTTGTTTGGTTTTAATGGTTAAAGCGTTGTGTAGAATTATGAACAAGGAGCAAGTATCCGTGAAGCAAGATGTGGGCGAAACCCCGGGCGAGTTCACAAGGTCGAAACGCCGTCGTATGCAGCGAAAGCGTGCCAAGATTGTGCAGAGCATTACATCGCCAAAGACTGAATCTAAGAAGTATGATATTAAACCACGTCTTATCAAAACTGAACCGTCAGATAGCACTGGAACGGGACTTATAATTGGCGGTATTAAAACTGAAGGAGCTAGCCCTGGTAATCGGAAGCGACAGTCCTTAAATGTGGAGAAAGAACTGTGTCCTGGAATGGTAAAAATCAAGTTGGAGGTAAGCGATATTCCTTCGAAATTAACTGCGTCGTCAAATGTATTCCCTGAGCTGAAGGAAAACGCTGAAAATTCGAATCAAAGCAAAGAAACTAAGGATGGTCTTAAAGTACTACAGGTGAACGAAATTAACAAAGTGCTTCCAGCCCCAGAATCCCACAGCGGAGCTCCCTTGAAAGATGTAACCAATTTAATTCCCAATACTAATGTTGAAGCTAGAATCTTGCCAGTGAGTACCCTCGTTGCGTCTCCCATTCCGGCAAACGATCCAAACACACTTCAATTGGATCAAGTTCAATATCAACTATATTGTCCCTTTGACCCTTTTAATAATCAAAATCAACAATTTAACCATGTACAGAGCTTACCATCAGATAATCAATGTTATCCTGTAAATAACCAGGGGAATCCCCATTTCCAATATCGTTGGAATTCGAGAAACAATTGGAATTCAAACTGGAATCGCTCAAATAATCAAATAAATCCTCAAAGGCAGCAGGGGAATTTCAGAATCCGTAATTGGAACCAAAGTAATCCCCAATTCAATCGCCAAATCGAGCAACGCAGATCGGAAAACTGGTATTACCAGACCACCAACAACTGGAATTCTTACAATTCGCATTGGAATAATAATGGAAGATATGGTTCAGGCCCGAATAGATACCAAAACTGGAACTCGCTAAACCAAAATTATAATTGGAGAAACACAAACTTCCAAATTCGTAACAATTGTAATTCGCAGGAAAGATCTTACCAAAATCAGCAACAAACTTGGTATTCATCGAATCATTATTTTAATCAGCGACAGCCCCATTGGAATGCCCAAAATTGGAATAATCGACGTTGGAATCACAATCAGCATCAGCATGTTAATAATGAGTTCCAGTTTCATCGCATGAACCATCCGACCGGATATCATAATTTTAACGGATCGCAAACTGCATATCATTTCAATACCCAAAGTCAATATCAGAATCAGCCTGTTACATATGATCTCCAGCTTAATTGCATGACCTTTCGGACACAACATTCAAACTTTGGCCAAATGGGAAATCCTCCAAATCAAACTTCATCTTTTGTAAATTGGCAGGGACCGAGAACACAGGGAAATTTTTATCAGCATTATCGTTACTAACTTATAATTTCACTTCGAAACAGGGATTGCGATGCTAAGATATATATATAGCTTTCAGAGGTCCTTCTGAATAATTTTTGTTTCTTTTTTTTTATTTTATTTTTATGAACAGTAACGACACCCACTCGCGTATTTAATATTAAACTGAAGACTGTTTTTTTATTGAACTTGAAAGTACCTATTTTAAAATATGACTCTCTTGAAAATTTCGTTTATAATTACTATAACTTTCTTAAAAAACATAAATATAACCATTAGTTTTAATCGTATATAATATTATCCTTTGCCAATCTCTTTCGATATAAAACTTTAATTTTAAACCAAATCAAGAAGCAATTTTGGACACAGTAACAAGGATTTCAAATGGTACTGGTTAATGGTCCCATATGCAGAGATTCGTGTGAGTTAGTGGCTGGTGTTATTGACGAGAAAAAGCAACAAAACAATGCCCCCTGGAAAAGGGTGGGGACATTGGGGGATATTCTACAGAGTTCAATGGTCTTTTGACACAAATGATGTCAAGTTGAGCTCGCCAAATTGCTCTCGCTCTCTTACTCAAGCTTCTCTTCGATGTGGTTGTTGTTATACCCTTTCAGTGAGTATTCTATAAAGGATAATCAACAAAAAAATAAGTATTTTTAATATAATAATGAAATACATATAATAAGAAATTACTCAATACTGAAATGAAAAAGCTTTTATTTTTGGATCTATCTAGTTATGTACTGTTATACACTGTATCTCTAAGATGCCTTTAAAGTTGAAAGATAATAGTGATTCATAACATATTTTATGTGCCATTTTGTTAGGTTTGTACCTGAAAGGGTATATAAAGCTTTGGCTCTGCAGGAAGCTAGCTTTCCATTCCTTGTTCAAATATTTGTTTTGGTGCAGTGCCAGTGACTCTCTTTCCCGACAACGAAGCGGCCGGCTTACGACTCTCTGCATGAGCGCTCTGTGGAAAAGAACCTACCGCAATTCGTTTCGTGTTTACGGCTGCATTTCCTTGTTTATGTTTTGCAAACGAATGTAGGGTACATTCGGCTAAGTACCGACTAAAGAGAGCGCCAGTAATTGGCAGAGAGTGAGTACCAGTACCGTTATATTGCAGGCTGCGCAACTTGCAGCTCCAGGTTTTTTTTGTTATTGTTGGAGCAACATTTGCAACCTCTCCTCCATTTTCTATTTGGGCCTTCCATAGACTTGCGCGGGAACAATGTGAAAATTAAATTTTCTAGTGCATTAAGTTTAAAAATTCAGAAAGATGTTTAAAGATAGTTATATCCTATTAGTATTCGAAAAAGTAATAGTCTTTAATATAAGGAAGTAGTAACTGCACTTTTCTAATCTAGAAAGGTAAGTGGATTAAATAAACTAGTGGCTATTAATTATTCATATATTTCTTGAAATTCGTATATTGTCATCTCGAAGATAATTATCTTTCGGATTTTCGTTGTCGATGGATGCATTTCACCCCACAGTGCGTTCCACTGCAAAACTACGCAGTTATGCTAGGCTTTTATCTCACTCTCTCAGCGTACTCGACTGTACGCCAGGAGAAGGAGCCACTTGGCTGCAGTCCTTGCTGCAGCTATCCTGGCGGCAATCGAACACATTTAGTTCTTGCACTCTCCGGCAGCAAGTTGTGTTTTTTGATTCTCCGTCGTTTCTGAATTGTTATATATCGGTATCTTGCATACTTACACAATTGTGCCCACGGATATATGTACATAAAATATATGTGCCCATTGCAAAAGTGTTTAAATACAAATACATATGTATATTGGATTCAGTTTCGAAAGCCTTCAATGTGTGTGTGCGCCGAAAACTTAGTTTTTTCAAAATCATAATTTGCTACGACTGAAAAAATTCCTAAATTCATTACCAGCGTTAACGTAAAGTTGTGAAATACGGCATAGACGGAATACTTTCCGGCGCTTACCGAAACGTAAGCGAACAAATCAAGCAACGAAAATAGTTACAGCATTTTATTTAAAAAGTGCCCACACCCAAAGTCGATTTTTTCAATGCATACATGTACATACGTAAGTAAGTATATGTGTGAAAAGAGAAATGCACAAACCCCCTCAGCGGCCCCCTCTCAGCTATTGCGATAGTAAAACGGGTTTCAATGGGGCTGCTAGAGCAGCAGTGGACAGAATCGCCATTTCTCTACACTCAGATGTACATACATTTGCCGCCTACACACACATCAATGCATCTGGGTTTCGTGCAGCGCCGGCATCCTGCAGCCGCCATTTAACCTAAAAAAGAACGAGGCACAGGAGCGGAGCTTTATTTGGACAGGACCTACCCCATATTTCCCAAAAGTGGCTAATAGTAGCGTGGTCCAGATATCAGGACTATAGCTACTAGTTTCTAGGAGATCATTTTTTAAGTTTTATTAAAATATATGCTGAATATTTGGTTTATGTTTAATAATAATAAAAATTACCAAATAAGCTTTAATATTTTTCCAATATATTTTGAAGTGCCATCGACAGCGCCCCTGATCCCAAAGCACCGCTTCGCCAACCCCCTCATTCTTTCCCCCATCGCCCATCTGCCAAAGCAGACGATGCTTGCAGCTAAGCTTGGCTCTCTGAGCTTGACTAGCCCTCTCTTTCCATTGCATATCTTGGGGCGCGCTCAGCTGACTGCTGCGCTTCCGGTGCAGGTTGTAGGCGGTCCCTCTTTCTCTTTTTTCCGGTATATCTCCTGTTTATTTTGCCGCACCCAAATATGTGGCTCCCTGAAACCGTTAGCCTTAGATGCTCCTCTTTTCTTTTTGTCCGTTCCTTTTCTCAGTATTTTCTCCTGCTCTCCCAGTCTCCGTTGCAAGGTGTGTCACTTTTTTGTTTTGTTCCTGCACTTTGAATGACTCTTTGCATGCAAATACAATAGTGGCGCTCTTCCCACACATGCAAAGTTGGTTAGATATGCAATGCTTTTTATCCATAAATTACCAGAATACCAATTTTTCAAAAATTTATGAATGAAGTGTATAGTTTGAATTATATTTTTTCGTGAGTTTACAAATGTCTATAGAAATATAAATGTGATATTAAACAACAATTTAATTTAGAAATTCTTAAATCAGGATTAAAGGATAAGGCGTAAAATTACATAGGTTTTCAAAATATTTTTGTAAGCTTCGTTTTGTTTGTATAATGTCGTTTTGTAAATATAAATGTGATATTAAACAACAATTTAATGTAGAAATTCTTAAATCAGGATTAAAGGATAAGGCGTAAAATTACATAGGTTTTCAAAATATTTTTGTAAGCTTCGTTTTGTTTGTTTTTTAAAAATAACATCGGGCATCCTGTTAAGACCACCCAAAATCATTGAAATAAGAGTAAAGCCTTAAAAATTAAAGTATGATCTTAAAACACCAATGAAATCAATAGCCTCAAATCGTTTTCTTAAAAAAGATTTTATATGGAAAATCCTATCCTATTACACATTTTATGAGACCTGTTTTTAAGATGATGAAATTGGACTTAAACCATCTTTTAGGTTCTGTGTCTTGTAGTTTCAACAACTGTTTTGCAAAATAGACTCTTGTTTTTTTTATTCCAGCTTGCCATAATAACAGCTGTCTCCCTTGACAATCAAAACTATTGAATTTTAACAAAAATCTTATAACGCAATTACAGAAATACAGTGTATGTAAATATATGTGTTTGCGTAAAATCCAATTATAAATTACCTCCTCTCATGCATCCACCTTACGGCTATAAGCACGATATGGCCGAACATATAGTAGATATATGTATATGCATCATTGTACATATGTATATTTTGTGAATGTTGTGATCCATTCCAAACGGACGGACATCTCTCATGTCCCATGTGCTGCCAAAGAGAAAACTACTATGAGTTCTGGCCAACAAGGTGTCTTTCTCTCTCTATATCCCCCATCGTTATTTTCCCGATTCTTGGACGAACAATGTATATTTGCCTTCGTAGGCGACTGGCATAAAAATAATTTCCACGCCGCTCGCCAAATCAGTTTATTTCTGTTCTGTTGAGTTGCAGGAACGCGTTCTTTTCTACTTTCCGTTCGGTTTATTTCCTTATTATTATTATTCTTATTACGAATTAGTTTCAAGTTTGCGTTTTTATTAATTTTTTTAAAACAACAAATTGGATACCAAAAATATTATCCTAATATTATTTGACCGTTTTATTGAACTTCGAAATTGTTTTGTTTGTCGCTTTGTTTTTGAGAAGAGTTTTTTTCTCAATCTGTTTCGGAATTGGTGCGGTTATTACTAAAAATATATAAAACCAAAATATCCAATGAAAATTGTTTCATAATCACGCCGAAAATCGGAAATCAGCGATGAGTTAATTTCGTTTTAATGCGAAATACAGCGAACAGGTAAACATGCAGATCTTTATATAATCCCAAAAAAAAAATATTTAAAAATTTTCGATTTTCTTGAGAAAAAATTGAAAAGTTTTGGTTAAAACTTAACCTCAAAATACGCATTCAAGATCGGCAACAGCTCTCTTCTCATCAGCTGCGACTGGGTTTTTATTGTTTTAAAAATACATATTTTCGAATGTTTAATCTTGCCGGCTACGCAGAGGCAAATTCTTTGCATTTGCGTTTTCTCATTCGGTTTGTTTATTTTTAAAATATTAGCTTTTGTTTGATTGTTGGTAAAATATGCCAAAAAAGAGGAAAACCATCATGTCAATTAATCATCATTTGTGATGGGAGAATATTTTTAAATTTTAATTCATAATTATTTAAATAAAATAATACACTTAATATATACCTAGTTAGTTTTCTACCTCCTTATAGTCTTTGAAAAATGTCTGCCAACCAGGAAATTCGCTAAACCCAACCAGAACAGCGACAAGAAATGTCGACATTTATAGGGTTTCATATAAAAGTAGCCTACTACTGTTGTTTTTCTGAGATAAACATTGGAAAATACCACCCAGCGGCTTGGAAAGCATGAACTAGACCCGCATTTCCTTTAAATTGAATTAAAATAATTGATTTTTTTATTGTTATTTTATTTGGTCTAGTTTTTTTTCTTTTTGTTTCATTTCAGTAAACTTTGGCCCGTAGTTAATTCTCATACGCACTGGATGCCAGTAAGCAGTGGGGTACCATCCCGGCACGCTTCAAACTAGGCTATAGAAAAATCGAATTTTAGAAAAAATTTGGTTGCTTGGCGTGTGCATCTAAAAAGGGTAAGCTTAAACTCGCATAAGCCTTTAAATCAGTATTAAAAATTTTCACTTTTTCAGACTTTATAGCAGTATTATATCTACAGACACTTATTGAACTTCTCCCTCTTTAATTCTGTCTCTTGGCCAAGTTTTCATCAAAGAAGTAATGATTAATTGGCTTAAAGTCAAAGCTTTGCGGTTACAGTAATATAAAAAGAAAATATTATAAAAATTTTAAAGATAAAAATAAGTATATTATTTTAACCGCACAAGCTTAAAGCCCTATATCATCATTTGGTTATCAAGTATTAACCACAAATACACTTCGGTAGCCTAATCATGGTGGAAGGACAGGTAGCCGTTCAACAGCCACAGCAACAACAACCTTCGGGAGCTGGCGGTACTAATAGCACCACTGGAGCAGGCCAAGGATCAACGGCATCCAACAATGGAACCAACAGCCAAGCTCAAACAAACGGTGGCTCTGCACCTGCAACACCAGTGTCCTCATCAGCTGGATCCACAACAAACACAACTGGTGGACAGTTGGGAACTAATAATGCGCCCCAAAACAACAACAACAACAACAATAATAATAACTCGGCCGCAAACAACAATAATAACAATGAACCGGATCCCAAGACCAATCTAATTGTGAATTACTTGCCACAGACCATGTCCCAGGATGAAATACGTTCGTTGTTTGTTAGTTTCGGGGAGGTGGAGAGCTGTAAACTAATCCGCGACAAGGTGACAGGTGAGCTTTTAAAACTTAAAAAATTATACAATATTCAAAATCCTTATTTAATATAAACCTTTATTTTAGGTCAAAGCTTGGGCTATGGTTTCGTCAACTATGTGAAGCAGGAGGATGCAGAAAAGGCTATAAATGCCTTGAATGGTTTGCGGCTTCAGAATAAAACTATCAAGGTCTCTATTGCTCGCCCCAGTTCCGAGAGCATCAAAGGTGCAAATCTCTATGTATCGGGTCTTCCAAAAAATATGACTCAGTCCGATTTGGAATCATTGTTCAGTCCATACGGCAAGATCATAACTTCGCGCATACTATGTGATAATATCACTGGTAAGTTAAGATCTAAAAAAAAAATTAAATTTGTGTTGGGAAACTTATAATTTTCAACTTTTGTTTCATATAATTTTGATGAAGCATGTCATCCTAAAATCAATAAAGTGAAATTTCGAAATTTACTATATGATCCTAGATTGCACAATTTGAAATGTTGCTGGCGATCCATAAAAACATACATATACTCTCCATGCTTTTATTTCTGAATTATATTTAATGCAACCTTATCTTATTTTTACATGTAATATTCAAACCAAATAAGATGAACATGCACAGGGTATGTTTTTTAATTTTAATTTTCTTACGTTTAACTGTTTCTGATTGCTGTTCATCGCACATGAAGCTTACAGACAAAATAATAACACCAACACTAATTTTAATAAGAGCTATCATATGAAACTATGACTAAATGTAACAAATGCTTGATAGAACAGGTGGATCCTGTGTGTGTGAATACGCATGCGTGGATTCTAATTTATTACAGATTTTTGTAGATACTCTACTTCAATCTTATTTGAATATTTAGCTTTAAAAATTCAAACTAATTTAAGTTTTTAACGCATATTAATAAAATAAAGGTAGTTGTTAGATGTTTTCATTTAGAAAAGCTTACATTTTCATTGATTTGTAAACGTTGCCATTAGAAAAAAAAATATCATTAGCTTAATTCTTGTTTATGATTTGATCTTAACCTGTGTTTTTTAAAGTTTTCTTTTATGATTCACACAAATAACAATATTCTAATGTTTTCAGGTCTCTCCAAGGGCGTTGGTTTCATACGCTTCGATCAACGATTTGAAGCCGATCGTGCTATCAAGGAGCTAAATGGTACCACACCAAAGAATTCCACCGAACCCATCACCGTCAAGTTCGCCAATAATCCCAGTAGCAACAAGAATAGCATGCAACCGCTGGCAGCCTACATAGCCCCCCAAAATGCGAGGGGCGGTCGAGCATTTCCGGCGAATGCCGCTGCAGGAGCAGCAGCCGCCGCCGCTGCCGCTGCCATTCATCCAAACGCAGGTCGCTACAGGTGGGTAATGATGTACTTAAATAAATTCTTAAGTAATAATTTATTTATTATGCCTACAGTTCTGTAATCTCACGCTACTCACCGTTGACCAGCGATCTGATCACCAATGGGATGATCCAAGGCAATACCATTGCCAGTTCCGGATGGTGTATTTTCGTCTACAACTTGGCCCCTGAAACGGAGGAGAATGTGCTATGGCAGCTGTTTGGACCTTTTGGAGCTGTCCAGTCAGTCAAGGTAAGCATTAATATATTAATTTAGTTTCAATATATTTAATTATTCAATATTTTAACAGGTGATTCGTGATCTTCAAAGCAATAAATGCAAGGGATTCGGTTTTGTTACAATGACGAATTACGAGGAGGCTGTGCTGGCCATTCAGTCGCTTAACGGCTATACACTTGGCAACCGTGTACTTCAGGTCAGCTTCAAGACCAACAAGAACAAGCAAACGTAATTATTAACAAAGTTGGCTGCTGTTGTCAATGCCAATGCGACGGCGGCGGCTTTGGCGGCCAATGGTCTAGTGCTACACAATCAACACCATCACAGCACCATTGGCAACATCAAAAACACTAACCACAACAACTGCACTGCGGCCTATCCATTTGGCAAATACGCTAATCATAGCAACAACAGACAGCACAACAGCAACATCCCTAGTAACAATAGCAATACGAACAAGCCGAAGCCATCGAACTCGACTAACAAGCAACAAATATTGCCTCCACCGAAGAGGCCAGTTAGTAGCAACTCAGTCACATCATCCACTGTAGCATCAACAACAGCAACAATTCGTAGCAGCAGCAATGGCCACAATGAGTCCAATGGCGATGCTACTGGAGCCACTGCCACCACCTCCACATTCTCGTCACCGTCATCGTCGACCAGCATCCTCAAGACCTCTACGAAATTTGTATACAACAAGCCCCAAAATCACTTTGAGTTGTTGCAGCAGCAATTGCAGCTGCAGCAGGAGTTCGCCCAGTTCTTGACTAATGTGGCAAACAGTGCTGCTGCCGCAGCTACACCCAGCAACAGCTCAACTAGCTCAATAAGCCAGCGAACCAATGGAGGCATCGGACTAGGGCTGGGACATCCGGTAACCAATGCCCCCGGTGGCGGTACTGGCAACAAGAACGTCAACAGTAGCAACGGTTATATGTCCGCCTGGTCCAATTGGTTCTATTAGTGTTAGCCTTAAGAGGCAGCGATTGCTTAGTTTGTTGCAACCGTCTTCTATGACGCAGAACGTATGTCAGCCGTTTATTATCTTATCTGGGGCATTCATTTTCCGAGTCCTACGTTTTATTTTGTTTATCAAGCTATCTATTATAGTTAACCATGTTTCAAATATTTTTCGTTAAGTTTTCTATCCGAGATACTATTCTAATTTTTTGTCTACATATTTCTGGTTTATCTTAGGTTAGGCGATCAAGCGCCAACATTAAAACATAATAGGATGCAAATTTCGTTGCAGTTTTTAACGCTACTAGTCATCTCTTGCAAAATACAAGCTTCCAAAAACGATAATAGAGAAAAGAAACTTGCTAAATCTGTAGTTAAGTTTTTGTTTGAGATTTAGAAGGATGAGTATATACTCAATGGGATATTTTTAAACGGAGAATATTAAGGTAAAATTTCAAGGCATTGAAGCCAACAATCCACCAAAGAATGAAAAGCAAACTTGACAAATATTTAAGCTATAAATAAATGTATAAATTGAAATACGACAAACAGAACTGAATGTTTAAACCGAAAAACGTTTGGCTTATAGTCAAACCATTTTGCAAGAAGACAATGCGGAATGCGATATGCTAAAGCTAAATGCTAAATGCTAAATGAAAGCTAAATAGGAATTACGTAAAGCAAAACAATCAAGACATACATATGTTTATGTTTTATATATTTAATGTATAACTTTTTGCTAAAATAAAAGATGTATGCATAATATTATACTCAAACTCTTTATTCTATCGTAATATTTGTTCCGTTGCCCAGGAACCCCTTTGCACTACCCTATGTTAATCGCTATTTATTCATCATTAAACACTTAAAACTATAGGCCTATATCCCACAAAACAAAAAAAAAATGTTGGTAACAGAATCAGTTGACAAATGAATGGCCCACATGTACTTAGTGAAAGTATCCAAAAATCAGAATTTTTCGAATACAACGAATAAATGTTTAAGAAAAACTGAAAACAGGAATCCAAACAGTGAGAGAGAAAATACAACAAGTGATCAACGCTTGAGGAGATCAAATCAACGCCAGCTACAAACTCTAAGCATGCCATTCAAGAATATGTTATAGATCTGATAACAAGGTTCATAAGAAAGTCCCTCCCTAGTCGAACAGAGTAACGCAAACCAGGCGAAGTGTTAGTAACATATATGTGTATGTAGATGACAATGCGTTTCATTAAAACGAATTTGTTTAAGCCCAATTCCACAGCAATAGTTTAAACTAAATAAAATTAACTTGAAAAACAATGGCCAAATTATAAATAAATTTTTAAATGAAAATGTAAAAGGGGGAAATTAAGAAAGTTTGTGCAAGGCATGGATTGAAAATGACATAATTTAATATGGTGCTTCAGATATATTTTTTTAATTACAAAAAAAAATACGGTATCTTCTGGAATATTCCTACAGCAAATCACAATTTTTAGTTTAACATTTATTTTTGACACTATTCCTATTTAAATTTTTTTAGAAGAAACCCTCGATAGATAAATATCGCAATGTTACGAAACTAAACTATGCTATATCTTTATCTTAAAAATCTATAACTATACAAGAAAAAAACTATTACATATGATTAACAATATATTGATGTTGTGTATTGCAAATTTTAAATACTTATACATAATTGCCATGAAAATACGATGAATACTAAGTCATGGAGAGCATTAAAAATCGAAAATCCATTCTCATGTATAAGTCAAATAAATTTATTGCATACTATTTGAAACTAATTGCAAATGAAAAACCGAGCGATATATAAATGAAAATGATATTATACACACATATAATAATGGTTATGATTATTAGGTATGTATGTGCGTAGTCCATAGAGAAACCAAAATGCCAATTCTAATGTTTGTAGAATTCATCGGCTTATATTCCTCTAGTCCACTTTTCTATCCTACCAAAAACTAAAAACAAAAAACCACAAACAGGTCACTCACGTACATACTATACTATACATACATTTGCAAAAACCAACTCAAATCATGCGCAAAAGCTTGACTGAAAAATTAAATTGTAATTCTGGCTATAAAGCATCAGTAAATTAGAACAAAAAGAATACCTTCCAGTAATTTTCAAAGCAAGAATACTAATGAATAGTTAATGAAAACAACACCAAGATGAAACGTTTTTTATACAATATGTAATAAATAAAGGCACAATTTTTTGTGCGCATGCGTGGCAATAGCTCCGAATTCGATCCGTATCGCCCAGGAGGATGCTGCAATTGCAGATAAAGGAGAGTAAAGGTAATTGAAAAGCATGAACAACAAAAAGCAATCGATTATATACATTTTTTAAGAAGAAATGTTTTATAAATGATAAAGGTAATGGGAGGAAACCAAAAAAGTATTTTAAAAATTTAAATATATACATGAGTACTATATATACAATATATTATATTATATATACATATTAAATACTTAATGGGTATGGTAACGAACAAAAACACCGCACAATAATATACAAAAAAAAATGAATGAATTGAAAAAAAAACGATTTCGAGTCGAATAGGGCGATGGACAGTTCAAGATAGGAAAAAGGAAACATACGTAAATGGGATACGAAATCCGGGAAGGATCACTGATAACTGAACTTTTAACTAAATTCAGAAAAGACTAATGAATCGAGAAAGAAGAATATATGGCAAACAAGTAAATTGATAATTTTTACATGAAGGAAAATAAAAACGAAATAATGTTAACATTTAAAAGAAGAAACAAAAACAAAAACACTAAAGAATGGGAAATAGAAAACAAAGCGCATATCTTGAAAACAAAGGATGACTACTCGTATATGAAAATGGGATCTCTCGCGGCGGGAGATCAAAATCGAAAAGTTACAAAAAATGGACGAGTTACAAACCATTTTAACTACCAAGTGAAAGGCTTAATTACAGTACACTTTTATACTTTTACACCCAAAAAAAAACAAATGGAATGAAATCCGAAAACCAAAGACGTATGCAATGGCAAAGCACAGTGAGCGATTCTAACTCACTTTGTTAATCAATTCTTGAAGCCCCTTCGCGTTTTGAAGCCAAAAAGGTTGTGCAAATGCCTGCAGGATCTACAGGATCAGATGCCTGCAGCGCGCTCTCTTTAAATCTGTCTGTTTCTCTTACAACAACACATAACTCGAAATTAAACAAATGGTCAAACCGGAAGACCGTTTCCTCTTCTCCACATCAACAGTTGTGGAGAAAAAAAAAAAAAAAGAATTACTACATACGAGACACATAAGTTAGGAGGAGAATCGAACTTGAATCGAAATTAGCGAAAGCCCTGCTCATGAATGTGTTGCATTATTTAGACATCGGAAGTTTCCCAGCCGGAGAGCTTGTAGAGTCTTCTATCCAAACTCTTTGTTTTCCTGTGTCCTATATATAGCATTATCTAACTGATCGCGGTTATCGAAACATACTATATTACATAGAAAGATACCATTTTAATAGTGCTCGTCGTCATAACAATTCGGTGGGAATGACGTTCTCTATATATGTTTAAATGTTCAAGTAACAAAATACAACACTTAAAGTTTATTATAAATTAATTAAATAAAATGTCTTAGCCGAAAGGAACTTAGTCAAAGGTACTAATTTTAAGCACTATTGTTAAACGCATGTCAAGGGGAACGGTAATTGAATTAAAGAAGCTGGAATCACTTTAGCCAAAATTCAAAATATATATGTATGGAATCTAAACTCAACTCAGAACTCTAGTGGCATTCGCTCTTTCAAGCTCAACATAAGTTAATAAACATAATTATATAATAATTTCTATTCGTCTATGGTTTAGCTTGCATAGTATATTATGCCATATATTAAATACCGAACAAAAAATATGTATGATCCTTTCTCGTCGTTATATTTATATACATTGTCAAAATATTGGTGGACAGTATTGTATTGTAGCAAATATATACTTATCTTTAATCATCACTGAACAACAAACGGAAAAGAATTAATCCAGTTTAATTAAAGTGCATAAATTATATATTAAATTACTGTCGAAACCTTTCATATTAAACATAAAATCAATTTTCTTCGAATTTTCATTCAATTAACGTATAGCAAAAACAAAAATACAAGAAAACCAATACGAACAATGATGGAAATCACATTATTAGGTGGAGAAAATGTCAAGTAAATTTATATAGCATATTTACGGTATACTCTGTGCAAGATTTATTAAGAATCAATTATACTTCATTATGGATTACTCTGAGAATTTACAAACACCATACACACGCGACACATGATGAATGAAAGCAACAATTTATTCAAATAAAGCTATGAAATGATGTGTTTAAATCGTGCATTTTTTTTATAAATTTGAGATTACAGAAAATACTTTATTTTCTTCTTAAAGAGTGCTTAAAACAATATTCTATTCTATTATAATTTTTTAATGGGTGCTGATTAAATCAATAATATAAAATGTAATTATTTGAGAATGTCATGTACCTCTTCTAGCAATATATAAGAAATCCTTAGATGGCCATGTCCATCTTTATCTTTGGATAGGGATTATAGTCCACAACTTCAAAGTCCTCGTAGCGAAAATCTTCAATGTCCTGCACCTGGCGCTTAATAACTAGCTTGGGGAAGGGACGCGGCTCGCGTTCGAGTTGCTCCTGAAGTGGCTCCACGTGATTTAGATATACATGCGTGTCTCCCATGGTGTGAACAAAGTCACCAGGCTTCAGACCAGTGACATGAGCAATCATATAGGTCAACAGGGCGTAGGAGGCAATGTTGAAGGGCACTCCCAAGCCCATGTCGGCGCTTCGTTGATACAGCTGGCAGGAGAGTTCGCCACGCTCCTGAGAGACATAAAACTGAGCCAAGCAGTGGCACGGCGGCAATGCCATCTTTGGAATGTCCAGCGGATTCCACGCTGACATGATGATACGTCGATCTGAAGGATTGTTCTTGATCGTGTCAATAACCTGCTTCAGTTGATCGATGCCCTTGCCGCGGTAGTCATCGTCACAGGTAGTATATTCAGCACCAAAGTGCCGCCACTGGAAACCGTATACCGGGCCCAAGTCACCAACGGCGCGGTCCGTGTGTCCCAGCTTGTCTAGGAACTCCCTGGTGCTATTTCCGTCCCAGATGTGAACGTTCTTGGCCTGCAAAAGCTTCGCATCTGTCTTGCCGGCCACAAACCACAACAACTCTTCGGCTACTGCTCGGAAGAAGACGCGCTTGGTGGTCAACAGGGGAAAGCAGCCCCTCAAAGAAAAACGCATCTGTGAACCGAAGATGGACAGAGTACCGACTTCAGTGCGGTCCATTCGACGCTCCCCAGTATTGATGATACTGCGCAGAAGATTCAAGTACTGCTTCTCGTCGGTGTTTTCCTCTGGGCGCTCCTGTTTAAGAGGCGACATCCTGGGCGAGGAAGATGCATTCTTTTCCGGTGGCTCAGCCATATCGACTTATGATGTTAATGAATTGTAAATAAATGTCAATTTGGCGGGAATATAAATATAGAGCGGGAAGTCAGGGGTGGAAGTTGAAATAAAATCGATTCTTATATCGATGACACGATCTTTTCACCTCCAGAAAGGATCAGCCGTTAAATTTCAAACTTCAATTCGAAAAAAACTTTATTTCTTTATTAATTTTATTCTTCACAATATCAGTTTCTGAGTGAAATATTGAGTTGGTTTAATACCAAAATTTCGAGGTCGATCTACAACATAATACATATTGTTAAGTGTAACAGACATTACGAATATAAATGCGGTAGAAAAATAAATACAATCGGATAGCAAAAACATTCAAATTATGTTTAAATATTAAAGAAAATGGTGATTGGGCAATGGTCGCTTCCCAGACATTGCTTTCGAATCTCATGCTCCACCACCTTGGAGAGAAACCTTTCCGAGACGAGGCAATAGTCTAATCTCCAGCCTACGTTGCGAGCCCGTGCATTGGCCATGTAAGTCCAAAAGGTGTAGGCGTTTTTACGATCGGGATAGAGATGCCTAAAGGTATCCACAAAACCAAGACCCAGCAGCTCTGTCATTTTGTCGCGCTCTTCCTGGGTGAAACCGGCGTTCCTGGTGTTTGTTTTCGGGTTTGCCAAGTCGATGGGCATGTGGGAGACGTTCATGTCGCCGCAAATGACAACTGGCTTAAGTGCATCCAGCTTCTGTACGTGAGTTTGAAATAGTTTTTCCCATCTCATGCGCGCCTCCAAGTTCACTAGTTTGCGTCCCGAATTCGGCACATATACATTGATTAGGTAAAACTTTTCATATTCCGCCGTAATCATGCGACCCACGTCGTCGAACTCTTCATTTTTTATACCGTATTCAACGTTGATGGGCATGATCTTGCTATAAATAGCCACCCCTGCATATCCGCCGGGCATGCACAGCCAGTAAGGATGATAGCCTGGTAGCCGAGTAACTTCCTCTGGCAACTGGTCATTCGAGCACTTGGTTTCCTTTAAATAGAATTTGAATTACACTCCATAGTTGAATGATACAATATAGGCTTACCTGCAGACAGAATATATCCGGCTCCTCGAGGTCCAGCAACTTGAGCCCGTCCTTCTTTAGCCAGGCTCTTAGACCAGCCACATTCCAGCTGGATATTTTCAAGTTGAACGTCTTGTCACTGGGAAGGGTAAACGCTGATTTATCCAATTCCGTAACAGCCCCGGTTCCCCCGTTTTTGGAAGCTTTGGATGCTGGAAAACAGAAGTTTAGCATGTTTTGCAAGCTTTTCAATACCGCACCGCCGCCGCAGCCGGATTGTTCAGCCAACATACTTTTCGAACCGTCCACTTCCTCATCATCTATTTGCTTCTTAGCTACTGCCTTCTTCCGTCCCCGAACTGTAAGATTTCAAAATTAATATGGCTTTTATTTGGACGAGAGTGGTTAATACATACCTGGTTCAGCGTTTTCATTAGGAATTTCATCTTCAGCATCGTCCTTTGTAGGGGCTGCCTTTTGGCCACGTTTCTTGGTGGTCACCGGTTTCTCCTCCTCTGTAGCTTGCTTCTTACCCCGCGCTTTTGTTGGTTTTTTTTCGTCTTTTGACTCAGTCTCATCTTCAGCGTCCTTCTCCTTAGTTTTTTTGGTAGTTTTCTTCTTCGCGGCTGCCTTTGGTGGAGGTTCCTGAATTAAGTCAGGATCCTCTGCAGGCTTTGTGTTTTTCTTTTGGCCTTTTCGACCAGTTTCAGTGCCAGCGTCAGCGTCATTTTCCTTTACCTTTTTAACAGTTCTTTTCTTGACTCCCTCACTCGGTGGAGCTTCCTCTATTGAGTTGGGATCCTCTGGTGGAGTAGCTTCTTGCTTTTGCTTCCTAACACGCTTGGGAGCAGTCTTGGGCGGCTCTGTAACCGGTTCCTCTTTTACCGCAGCTTTGGGATCCTCGGGAAGGTCAGTTTCTGGCTTTTGCTTCCTGCTACGCTTTGGCGCAGTTTTAGGGGGCTCGACATTCGGTTCGTCTTCCTCCATTAGCGCCGAAGCGATTTCAGATTCTGCCAGCCTCTTAGTCCCCCGCACCGGCTTGGAAACACGCTCTCCTTTTTAGGTTTTTCTTCTGGGGGTGAAGACGGCACAGGCACATCCTCGTTTAGCGGCGCAGTATCCTTTTTTGCGCGACGTTTGGGTGGCTCGGCCGATGTCCCGGCATCTGCAGAGGGCTCCTTCCTTTTACGTCCTTTGGCCGGAGCTGCTTTAACAGCGGGTTGCTCTGTTTCAGCCGCTTCCGGCTCATCGCTCGGCTTCTTCGCACGCCCCTTCGGTTTGCTTACTACCTTAGGCTCACTGATATCGTCTCTATCCTGCGACGGCTGCTTCTTCTTGCCACGCGAAGCCGCAGGCGCCTTTTTATTTTCCACAGGCTGCGGATCCTCTAGAGAATTCTGTTCAGGTTCCTCCTTTGCATTCTTTTTGGGACGTGCCTTTCCCTTAGCGGCACCTTTAATAGGTGCCGATGCAGCCTTTTCGGTTTCTTCGGCTGCCACTAGTCCATTGCCATTGGGAGTGGGGTCGGTTGCCTCAGACACAGTCTCTGCCTTCTTATTTGAGGTTTTGGCGCGGCGCATGTTTTATGTTGGAGATGTGCTTAAAATAATAAAGGTATAAGGCAAGTACTTTTTAATTTTGTCTTATTTTTGGCCCTTTAATTTGTTGTTTGGTGATGTCTAATCAACACGCGAAAAAAAACTGCGCGGGCAACGACGCAAGAAGCCGGCTTTCAGTGTTGAATATTATAAAACTATAAGACGTTACACAGCACTGAAAAAAGTAATTATTTTCAAAAACTTTACTAACTGTCTTCTTTAGGAGTATTAAACTATTGGAATTTGTTCTTAATAAAATATTTATAAAATTTTATTAAACTTGAAAAACAAAAAGAACCATCTATCCTATAGATGGTGTTATCTGATGAAATACCAATTGAAAAATGATTGATTTATTTGTATCGGTTCGATTAAATAAAATAAACTTTAAATATGCCTAATAGTACCAGAATAGTTCCCTCATTTTTTTAATAAACCATTTAAAAACAAAAAAAATGTGTCTTGTATTTTAAATCGATATTAATTGACAGGCGGGTAGTGCCACCTTTTAGGCAAAATGCATGGATGATATTAAAAAAAAACGTTTCCAACACTGTTCAAAAAAAAAAATTGCAAACAGAAACCCGCTGGGGCATTTTTTTTAAATAATAGGCGAAAAGCTATTTGTTATCTGTTTACTTTTGTGTTGCTCATAATCTTAAGCATACAAATATCTACCATCCGTTGGAAAAAGAAGGCTCGGACCGAAGAGAGCGGAAAAACGAACGCAGCATCATCTTACTTTTGTGTCTGAAAACAATCGAAGATGCCAAGCGAAATAATCACTCTTCAATTGGGCCAATGCGGCAATCAAAGTGAGTAATTAACAAAAGATAATGGCAGTCCCATTTGAGCTAATTGAATTTCATCTATCAGTTGGCTTTGAGTTTTGGAAGCGTTTGTGCTTGGAGCATGGCATCTCCCCGAATGGTGTCCTTGAGGACTTTGCTACCGATGGCATGGACCGCAAAGACGTATTCTTCTATCAAGCGGACGATGACCACTATATACCGCGAGCGGTACTGCTGGACCTGGAGCCGAGGGTCATAAACACCATTATGGGATCAGCCTACTCCAAACTTTACAACCCAGAAAATGTATACCTATCCAAGCATGGTGGCGGCGCTGGAAACAATTGGGCCTCAGGATACAGCCAAGGCGACAAGTTGCAGGAGGAGGTGTTTGACATTATTGACCGAGAAGCCGATGGAAGCGATTCCCTGGAGGGCTTTGTTCTTTGCCACTCCATAGCTGGTGGCACTGGCTCGGGAATGGGATCCTTCATAATGGAGCGCTTAGCGGACCGCTACCCAAAGAAGCTTATTCAGACTTTTAGCGTGTTCCCCAACCAGGATGAAATTAGCGATGTGGTTGTGCAGCCTTACAACTCGATGCTAACGCTGAAGCGACTGACCAGTGCGGCAGACAGCGTGGTCGTGCTGGACAACACGGCACTTAATAGAATTGCATGCGACAGGCTGCACATTCAGAACCCAAGTTTTTCGCAAATCAATAACTTGGTTTCCACTATCATGAGCGTGAGTACCACGACCTTGCGGTACCCATCCTACATGAACAATAATCTCATAGGACTAATGGCACCCTTGATCCCGACGCCACAGCTGCATTTCCTCATGACAGGCTACACGCCATTGACTAGCGATTCCGACGTAAACTGTCAGCAGACCGTGAATGTACGAAAGACTACGGTGCTGGACGTGATGCGACGTCTTCTCCAGCCGAAAAATATGATGGTATCCACAGGTCCTGACAAGACGAACCATCATTGCTACATATCCATATTGAACATTATCCAGGGCGAAGTCGACCCCACACAAGTACACAAGTCCCTGCAGCGTATACGCGACCGCAAGTTGGCCCAGTTTATACCCTGGGCCCCGACGTCAATCCAAGTGGCCCTGTCCCGCTCCTCACCGTACGTCCAAAGCAATCACCGCGTATCCGGATTGATGTTGGCCAACCACACTAGCATCTGCTCCCTATTTGAGCGAGCTCTTAACCAGTACGACAAATTGCGCAAGCGAGGCGCTTTTCTTGACCAGTTTCGTCGGGAGGATGTCTTTAATGACGATCTCACTGAACTGGATGAGTCCCGGGAGACGGTTGAATGCCTCGTGCAGGAGTATGAAGCGGCTACGACAGCCGATTATCTACAGTTCTCTGTGGAGCGCGCAACGAAAGATAAGAAAAAAGATGAAGCTAAAGCCCTGGCTGGTAGTGGTGTCTAACAAACTTAAAGCTTTCCCGTGCCTTCTGCGTGCCAGACCCCTTCTCGAATATATTTTCCACACCATTTAACTCATCAGACGCGGGATTTAGAATCCCTCAGTATTGACTAACATGTTCTTTGTAGTTGACCCGTATTTTAACGTTAAAAGTGTTTGAATTTTAATTTGTTTCTAATAAAACAAAAAGAATTTAAATAAATTCAATTAAATCCAAACAAAAGTTTTAAATTTGCCACCAATGACATTTCCGTTTCCTTCTAGTGTGGGCCATGATCAATAATAATCGATAGGCCTATCGTTACATATCGATACCTTTTTTGTTTGCATCTTATCCAGTGCTGCCAACTTTTGATTAAAAAAAAAAGCTGTTTTTAACTAGAGAGAAACAAAAAAAAAGCTAAAAATATTAAGAAAAAAGCGCAAAAAAATCGCAAAAAATTTTTTTTGTTTTTAATCTTCTTTAATTGTGTAATTTATAAAATATTTAACAAGTCGTCCAATTCATTGCGACTATCATTAGTTTCGCTATCATAAAATAAGTTTGTTCCGATCATGCGAAGATAATTTAATGGAATTTCGTACTCATAGCAGAATTTTCCCAGTCTTCGTAAACCATATCTGTATATTCAAATAAAAGATATAAAAATTGGATTTATCTTTTTACTTACAATAAAATATTACCTTATGCTAAGAATGCTGTTAGTCGTGCTTACGCTCATTGAGTTTCTTAGCTTGGATTTTACCAGGCTAAGCTGGCTGAATACGCGCTCAATCTCAGCGTTGGAGATTGGATTACACCATGGCAACGATAGCATTTGCACTTTTGCTTATAGTCTGTTGGCATTGTGTAAATTTGTGTAAATGGTAGTATTGGCAAAAATCGACAAGAACATATGATATGTTGCCACTTACATATATACACCACTGGTAGGTGTTACCGCGCTATTGTTATTTTTTGTATTTATTTTTTTTCTTAAATTTAGAAAAAGCGGAAAAAAGCCAACTGCGTTTTAAAAAAAATCCAGAATTCCCGCTTCCCGCAATTCCCAAATTTTTCCCGCATTTAGACTTTGAAAAAAGCCAGATTTGACGTGAAAAAAGCTGAGTTGGCAGCACTGATCTTATCTTATCTTTGCATCTTATCTTCTTATCAAGTAGATTTAATTTCGAAAATATGTACAATTACTCATAGAATGCCAGGTTTTAATCAGTGTAACTAAAGTAAAATATTAAACACACGATGGATCCGAATGAAGGGACTAGCAGAGATCGTGCTCAAATTTCCACAATCGCTGTGCTCGATCTGGAAACTACAAACCTACCTGCCTATTGTAACAACCGGGTTGGAATTACAGAACTGTGCATTCATGCATTTGATGCAGCTCTCTTGAAGCAACCCAATGATAAGGTGGATGGGAAAAATGGTTCGAATCCTATCCTGCCACCGCCACCGCGAGTGGTGCATAAATTAAACCTGCTGTTTCAGCCCTCCATGATGATGAGCCCGGAGGCAGAGAACACCACTGGTAATCCTTTTAAAACTCCCACAATTAGAAAATAATACATTCTATATCTTTTAGGTTTGAGTAACTATCTTCTGGAACGCGAATCAAAGTTCAGCAAGGATTCCGTGGGACTAATACTCAGTTTTCTGAAGCACTTGCCAGCTCCAGTTTGTCTAGTGGCGCACAATGGTTGGCATTTCGATTTTCCGATTTTCAAGCAGGCCCTGGAGAAGCACATCGCGGAAATTCCCTCCTCCGGACTCCTACCTGGAGTAACTTGTCTGGATTCGCTTCGTGCGTTTTTGGAGATAGACGATAGGTGCCACGAAGAAGACAGCTTGTTGGAAATGCCAGAGATAGCTTGTGAGGAAGCTGAACCAGAAAAGGAAGCTGATACCGCTCAGGATAGTGGGCTTTCAGAAAAACAGGAGCTCTCTGAAGAGATAGAAAATCAACCATTCCAGGAACCAAAACCAGTAAAAGAGATTGATTGGAGAAAGATGAATGAAACCACTCCCAAGCGACCAGTGAAACGCAGTGAAGCTGATTTAAAGAGCCGAAGACCATTTGATGAGGATGAGGAGCCCTCTACACCGAAAAGAGGGATAAAAGAATTTCGGTCGCGACGTCAGTTGTTCAGTGGACTAGAATGTGCAAAAACTCAACGCTTCCCTCCTCGTTTAAAATACCGATTGGGAAATTTATACTCGAGCAGGTTCAATCTTCCAGCAACAAATGCTCATCAGGCGGAGGCTGATGTGGTCATGCTGACGTCGCTTATACAGCATTACGGCATTGACTTCCTGGCTTTTGCCGAGGAGCAAGCGATTCCATTTGACACTGTCGTGTCCCTGGGGACACCTAAGAAGCGATGACCCTTGCATGCTTATAACCCTATTTTAGCCCAACTATTTTATCGTGTATATTTTTTATATATTTTTAAATCTATTAAGATGTTTTCATCAAATGCAATCTGATATTTACAAATAATAATGTGTTCATCTTTTTTTAAACACCACCGAGGTCACCACATTGCCAACCTTGCCTCCAAACTTAAATGTGGGTGTCGGGATAGTAGCATGTTTGATCAGTTTCTCGGCAAAGCTCTGCACTAGCTCCTCTTCGGTCCAGTTGCAGGATGTGATGACAAACAGGCTTTCCGCAGAGCTGAGTAGCTTTTCCACCGTGGCCAGGTACAAAGCACGTTTCTCCTTGGGATTTTCTGGGCAGAGACTAACGGCATCATAAGTGCCTTTATCATGAACCACGTCGAATGCTCCCAATTCATTCTGTGGCTGCGTCAAATCCGCCACTTTGTAGGTAATTTTCAGTTCATGGTCCTGAGCAATATTCTTGGCCAGCTCAACGGCATTCGCAGAATAATCCACACCCGTCAACTGCTCGTATCCTTCGTTGGCCAGGCCTACCAGAAACATTCCATTGCCGCATCCCAAGTCCAGTACCCGGGCCTGTTTTTCGATCTTCTGCTTTATCAGCCAGTCAATTACGCGCTGCTGAGAGTCTTCGTCGAACCAGATCTCCCCGACGTCACCATGGTTTTTGTAGTTTCCAATCTCCCGGGTATAGCTGGAGTCCCAGTACTCTTTTGTTCCCAGTTCAGAGCCATCCAGTTCAGTTTCCATCGTTGATAAATAATCCAATCCAATAATAAAAAGACCATGCCGCATTGGGGTTGCCACACTTTCCAGAGCGAACAGTTTCGGTATATTTTTTTGGTATATATCGTAACGGACTTTTTTTTTTTTCAAAATTTGGTTTCAAAATTTTATTTGGTGAAGTCAAAATAATTCCAACATTTTGTCTATTTTTAATTATTTCCATTCTGTATGGTTAGAAATTCCTTTCTGAATAAATAACGAAAAAGTTTCGCGATAGCATTAAAAAACCACGTATATTTACCTTAAAATATCATTTTATTTGATATTTTTTGTATTTATTGAGTGAAAAATTTAAAATCTTAAGTAAAAAAAAGACATCCTGCTTGTCCGTTTCATAATTGTTATCATAATCGTATAAAGCTCTGTTACTTTGAAACCTGGAGAATAACATACTTTTTATTACAAGTTTACTTTCAGAAACAAACTTTTAAAACAAAATAGATTAAGAAAATACCCCCAATGACCAAGATTTGAAAAATATTTAAACAAAAAAACGTTCAGATACTGTTATTTGGCCTCTTCTGGCGATCGATAGTTGGCAGTACTGATAACTGAATCTTAGAAGACAGGTCGAAAGGGCTGCAAACCGTTCGAAGCGAGTTGTTGTCAATAAAGAATAAAAAAAGCTATATCTAGCCATAAAATGGCTAGTGGGAGCCCTGGTCGGTTGAAGAATTGGAATTGGGGGGGACAAACAAAAAAAAACAGCGGCGGCGGCCGGTCGTGTTTCGGTTGGAGCTCGGTTCTTTTTCAAGATTACACCTCGAATTTCAGTAAACAAATGCGATAGATAAACGGAAAAGGTGGAAAATATCTAAATCCCTTGATTGATTAAGTCGACTTGAGAAAAGAGCGATCGGCGCGCTGCACTTTTCCAGCGATTGTTGGTGCGTGACCTATTTATGTAACCTGTTTTTTGAAAAAAAAAGATTATCCCGCTTTCAACTCTGGGTTCCCGTCCCGAGTGACTAAAGTGCTAATTAAAACAGAGATCTATTTTATTTAGTTGCTTCCGGCCCAAAACGAATAGTGCGAAAAAATATACATAGGTAGAGAGTGATCCAAAAGAGTGCATTAACCCTGCAAGTCGGTGTTTTTTGGTGATTGTGTTGGTGTATAATGCTAGAAAAGCCAACAGAAAATGACAAGGGTCAACTGAAGAGAAAAGATATACTAAAAACTAATTACGGCGCATCTGTGTGATTTCAAGTCTCATTGATTTTTAAATATTTGAGACGAAGACGTGGCTGCATTGCATTTTTTATGGCCAAATTATAGCTACGCTTCAGGTTTCGTTGACTAGAACGGTACTAACATGCACGGTCGCTCTCTCTCTCGTGCACAAACACACACATAATACCAACACTTGGAGAAAATACCCACACTTTTTGTAAAAAAATGTTAATTTTATTTTTTTAATAAAAACTAAAAAAAGGTTTTCTTGGAAGATCTTTTTTTTCTTCAAAAATATCTATTAGATATTATAATATATATTTTTTTTTGGTGTACTAGCCACCTGCCGAAGAGCGAACGAGAGAGGCATGCGTAAAGAGAGGCTTACAGTGCAACACATATCCATCCATTGGGTGCCCGTCCAACGTCCACCTTTCCGCCTGTTGCTGTTGGTTCTGTTCTCTCTCGCTGGTTTTTTTTGTTTCCCTCACCCTCTCTCTCCTTGAGCTTGAACCTGGCTTAAATGGCCAAGAATTCTCTTACCAACAACACTTGTTTGTCCGGTTTGTTGTTGCTGCTACTTCTACTGCTGCTGCTGCTGTTGCACAACGGGACATTTTCGTGTGTGGACAATTGGAAAACCCTTTTTTTTTTCTTGAAATAAACGCTTTTCATTAGCCAGTTTTTGTTTCTTCTCCCATCGCAACCTTTTTTATTTTATTTATTTTTTTTTATTTTTCATCTAGGTTGTTGGGTTCCATTAATGTGTTGTGTTGCTTGGCTGTCGTAGTGGTTGTTTTTATTGTTGTTGCTGGGGGGGGCTTTCGCGACTTTGTAGACGCACGCAGCGACTTTCTGTTTGTTTGGTGAAACTTTTTTAAGGTCTTCTCTAAATACATAATAAAAAAAAAAAATAAAAAAAAATGAATATAATATCATACTTTGCCTAGTTTTTTTTAGAAATTAGAATTTGCAAAGCAAACAAATACTTTTTCAAGGGGTTATCATGTAAACAATTGGTAATATGGTAATTGATAAGAGTGAATGTGATAAAAAAAATGTCTAGAATATAAATTAAAAAGAAATCTCAAAACTTCAAACCTTAGTTATGCTTTTCCTCAAAAGGTTCTATAAATAAAATACTAATTTAGACACATTAGATTCCTATAAAGATAAGATTACAATGAGGATCGGCAGACTTGATACCAAGGTTATAACCTAGATTACTAAAAAAACGAGAAACATTTTGTCAAATGTCAGAGTCATAGGTTTATAATAGCTTCGGGCAAGGTTTATCTAGTATATAATACAGATATATGTATAAGCCTATATGTAGAGTAGATGGCATAAAACCGTAATTGTACGTGGCAGCCACACACGAACTTTCACTAATGACTCGCGGTGAACTTTTGGAATCACTCCACCACTAGCTGGCGCTCTCTCATTCACTCACGTGTGTTGCACTTTTCCCCTGCCCCTGCCACTGCCACTACCTCGGTCTTCGTCTCGGTCTTAACAATTCAGTTTACGGTACGTGCCAATCTAGTGCCATTGATGGCCATTATCCGATGCAGAATCTGTCGAGACGGAAATTCTTAGGCTTTTAATCGGTAATTTGGTCATGCCCAGAGATATGTATGTACCTCTGCCACCTTACCCCCCTAGTTTACACCTTGTTTAATGTTTTATTATTATTTTTTTTTTTTTTGCTTATCTCCCGGCCTGCTCTTGAGCGCCGCTGATATCAGCAGTTGTGTATTAAGCAATCAACTTTAAATAATTCTAGTATGACTGTGTTTAGCAACAGACTAACACAAGTTTTAGGGAAATATGTAAAGTTTTAGAGGCTATATTCAAGAGAGAATATAGTACAATTGTGTCACTGATAAGAGTCTCTGTAGACTATTAGGAAATATTATTTAATATTCCATTCTAACCATAAATGGTTGAACTCTAACTAACAATTCAGGTTGCTATGTAGGGAGAATGATTGTATCTATGAGTGTGTTTTTTTTTTGGGGAGTAGTTTGTCGGTGTAGATCGCTTCCCTATGTGCATTGGACTTGTATTTTGCCCGGCAGAGCGTAACCAGACTGGTATATATGTACATGCCTCACTTTTGTGTGTGCCACTAAATTTGGTGGCTCATGCCGTTGCCGCTAGTTGCTAGTTGCTAGTTGCTAGTGCTAGTGCTAGTCTGGCATGTTGCAATTACTATGGGGAAGAGAGACGCCTCCAAATGGTTCAGCTATACATATACCTGATGCCTCCAGTTAGTCCATGTGTTAAATGATGGATGGGGTGTCCAATTGTAAGGCGGTTACCAAGGCAACCGACTGGGCTTCAAATTCTGATTCATGGTTTTTGGAAAAAGATACTAATTCAAATCAGGTTGATCTTCAATCACCTATAGCTTTCCATTAAGACACTGCAGTTTTCTATTGCCTAAATCAAAAAAAAAATATTATTGTCATGTTGTTGTCACACCGTTTTAAGTAATGAAAGTAAATTTTTTCAATGAAATCCATATGTAATTTACATAACAATCGCACTTCTTTGATACCTTCCATTTCGATGGAAGCCCATGGATGGTTCTCGTATCCAATCGATTGTGGCGTTGACCGGAACATCGGATTCGAGTTGAAAAGTGAAAATGGCTCGATGGCTCGATGGCCTTTTTGCATTTCTAAAGGTTTTTAGCTTGGTGTTGACTCGGTTCGGTTTCCCTAGTTTTTAGAAGAAGAAAAGAAGTATCGAAAGTATGATTTTTATGGATTTGTGGTGACTGATGACTAACTTGTTGTTGGATGTCGTTAATGAGAGACCTTTTGGTATCTGTTTGCCAAATAGACGAAAGAAAGAAAGAAAGACGTTTACCTCAAGCTCTAGCTCCAGCTCTAGCTCTAGCTGGGGTTGGAGAAGACCCAGCAATACAATAACATCGACGACGGACCACAAACGAAGACAGCGACAAGTTGTGAATTCTTTCAATTTACCGTAAACTTCACCTTAATTTTTTTTATATTTTTTTTTTTTCCAAAGCCGGTTTTAGTTGCCGGAGGCGCTAACTTGATGTTGTTTTTATTGTCGATGATGGCTAACTCTTCCACTTGTTCTCTTTTGAATAGAAACCACAAGAGGAACGGGATTTGGTATTTGGATGCCCAGCCAGGATCAGTAAATGAAGGACGACGAATATGGTGATTGTAACACGTGTAAGTACCAGACCACTCCTTATCACAGTCTCTCTTCTCTCTTCATGGGACCCAGTCTTGGTAACAGAAGCCAAAAGCGGAAGTTACCAACTTCCAGTGTATGAGTGTGTAAGCCATACCTCACTTTGGCTACCATACCTCTTCTACAGTGGGCTGAAACGAGAATAATATGCCAGGGGATAGTGCAACAGGTGGATGTTTAAGGTCTTTTTAAAAAGAACTTTCGTACCACTATTTATTGTTATAATTCCTTGACTAAACCACCCACTGTACTATATTCCCTTTAGTACTATAGTACTCTGTCCCTGGCATCACTATTTATTTCGCTTCATGTTCCGCTCAAGTGATTCTTACAACAAAAAAGGCAACACCGTTTTTTTATGGCCCCCTCCGTCCATGGCCATCGATTGTGGCAGCCTCGTAAAGAGAGCTGAATGTCAAATTGTAGCATTTTTTTTTAATCATGGACTACTTCGACAGGGTGACTACATCTGGATAGAGCCCGCCTCGGGGCGAGAATTCGATGTGGCCATTGGAGCACGTGTCATCTCCGCCGAGGGTCGCCGCATCCAGGTTCGCGATGACGATGGCGACGAGGTGTGGCTGGCGCCGGAGCGCCGCATCAAGGCCATGCACGCATCCTCCGTACAGGGAGTGGAGGACATGATATCCCTCGGCGATCTGCATGAGGCTGGTATTCTGCGAAATCTTCTCATCCGCTACAAGGAGAATCTGATATATGTGAGTGAAGGAAGTAAAGTCTATAAAAATATATAATAGAACTAACCTATTTAAGTTCTGATATCAAGAAGTCCATTACGTCATTATTCATTGAATTATGATATCGTTTTTTTTATCATTATCGTCTGGAATTAAAGGGCTTATCAATATTTCTTCCTTCTTTGATTAAATTTGAGTAACTTCCAAGGCGAAAGTAGACTACAATATACTCTCTTTTCAGACCTACACTGGTTCCATATTGGTTGCGGTGAATCCCTACCAGATCCTGCCCATCTACACGGCCGATCAGATAAAACTCTACAAGGAGCGCAAAATCGGAGAGCTGCCGCCACACATATTCGCCATTGGGGACAATGCCTATGCGCACATGAAACGCTACCGCCAGGATCAGTGCATCGTCATCTCGGGCGAGTCGGGAGCTGGCAAGACTGAGAGCACAAAACTCATCCTCCAATACCTGGCAGCCATCAGTGGCAAGCACTCGTGGATCGAGCAACAAATCCTCGAGGCGAATCCCATTTTGGAGGCCTTTGGAAATGCCAAAACCATTCGGAATGATAACTCATCGAGGTAACTATTATTATTTATTAATTTTTATAGAAAGATTGGGCATTAATTGATATAATGACTTCAACAGGTTTGGCAAATATATAGACATCCACTTTAGCGCCAATGGCGTGATCGAGGGAGCCAAGATCGAACAATACCTGTTGGAGAAGTCGCGGATCGTCTCCCAGAATCACAGCGAGCGCAATTATCATGTCTTTTATTGCATTTTGGCGGGACTATCATCAGAGGAGAAGGGACGTCTCGATCTGGGAATGGCAGCAGATTACAAGTGAGTTAAAAGCCTAACTAGATGGATCATCTTCTTATAATACTCCCCTCTTACCTGATAGATACCTAACCGGAGGCAATAGCATCACCTGCGAGGGACGAGATGATGCCGCCGAATTCTCAGACATACGGTCTGCCATGAAGGTTCTGCTCTTCTCCGACCAGGAGATCTGGGAGATCATCAAGCTACTTGCCGCCTTGCTGCATTGCGGAAACATTAAGTACAAGGCCACGGTGGTGGATAATTTGGACGCCACTGAGATACCAGAACACATAAATGTAGAGCGTGTGGCCGGACTTCTAGGTCTGCCGATAGGGCCCCTCATCGATGCCCTCACACGACGCACACTGTTTGCCCACGGGGAGACGGTGGTGTCCACCCTATCTCGAGATCAGTCCGTCGATGTACGAGATGCCTTTGTAAAGGGCATCTATGGCCGACTCTTTGTGCACATCGTGAGGAAGATAAATACGGCCATTTTCAAGCCGCGGAGTACTTCCCGCAATGCCATCGGGGTACTGGACATCTTTGGATTCGAGAACTTTGACCAGAACAGCTTCGAGCAGTTCTGCATCAACTACGCCAACGAGAACCTGCAGCAGTTCTTTGTGCAGCACATCTTTAAGCTGGAGCAGGAGGAGTACAACCACGAGGCCATCAACTGGCAGCACATTGAGTTTGTGGACAATCAGGATGCCCTCGACTTGATAGCCATCAAGCAGCTGAACATCATGGCGCTGATCGACGAGGAGGCCCGATTCCCCAAGGGCACGGATCAGACGATGCTGGCGAAACTGCACAAGACCCACGGAGCGCACAAGAACTATCTGAAACCCAAGTCTGATATCAACACTAGCTTCGGTCTGAACCACTTTGCCGGTGTGGTGTTCTACGATACGCGAGGATTCCTCGACAAGAACCGGGACACCTTCAGTCCGGACTTGCTGCACCTGGTTAGCCAGAGTGGCAACAAGTTCTTGCGTCAAATTTTCGCCCAGGACATTGAGATGGGCGCGGAGACAAGGAAACGAACTCCGACGCTTTCCACTCAGTTCCGCAAATCCCTGGATGCCCTCATGAAGACCCTGTGCAGTTGCCAGCCCTTCTTCATTCGGTGCATAAAGCCCAACGAACTGAAGAAGCCCATGATGTTCGATCGTGGCTTGTGTTGCCGGCAGCTACGCTATTCCGGTATGATGGAAACCATACGCATCCGACGCGCCGGCTACCCCATCCGTCATGGCTTCCGGGAGTTTGTGGAGCGCTATCGCTTCTTGATACCCGGAGTGCCGCCGGCACATCGTACCGATTGCCAGGCCGCCACTTCGCGGATCTGTGCAATGGTTCTTGGAAAATCCGATTACCAGCTGGGCCACACAAAGGTGTTCTTAAAGGACGCCCACGATCTGTTCTTGGAGCAGGAGCGGGACAGGGTGCTCACCCGCAAGATCCTCATCCTACAGCGCAGCATTCGCGGATGGGTATATCGCAGGCGCTTCCTCAGACTTCGAGCCGCGGCCATCACCGTGCAGAGATTCTGGAAGGGATACGCCCAGCGGAAGAGGTACCGCAACATGCGCGTGGGCTACATGCGGCTGCAGGCCTTGATTCGATCCCGGGTCCTGTCCCATCGGTTCCGCCATCTGAGAGGTCACATTGTGGGCCTGCAGGCGCATGCTCGTGGCTACTTGGTGAGGCGGGAGTACGGCCACAAGATGTGGGCTGTCATCAAGATCCAGTCCCATGTGCGGCGCATGATTGCTGTTCGTCGCTACCGGAAACTCCGCCTGGAGCATAAGCAGTTCGCTGAAGTTCTGCAGCTGCGGAAGCTCGAGGAGCAGGAGCTGTTGCATCGCGGCAACAAACATGCCCGCGAAATCGCCGAGCAGCACTATCGCGATCGTTTGCACGAGCTGGAGAGGCGCGAGTTGCAGGAGCAGCTTGAGGATCGACGGCGTGTGGAGGTCAAGAAGAACATCATCAACGATGCGGCCCGGAAACAGGAGGAACCAGTGGACGACAGCAAGTTGGTGGAGGCCATGTTCGATTTCCTTCCCGACTCGAGCAGCGATGCTCCCACTCCACACGGTGGCAGGGAGACCTCAGTGTTCAATGACCTACCCCATGCTCAAAACGTTAACCAGGAGGATATTATTGCACCCATCCACATATCCGAGGACGAGGAGGATCTTTCCGAGTTCAAGTTCCAAAAGTTCGCCGCCACCTACTTCCAGGGCAATGTGAATCATCAGTACGCGAAGAAGGCTCTCAAGCATCCTCTACTGCCGCTCCACACGCAGGGAGACCAACTGGCCGCCCAGGCCCTATGGATAACCATTCTCAGGTTCACCGGCGACATGCCAGAACCCAAGTATCACACCATGGATCGCATGGACACCACATCGGTTATGTCCAAAGTGACGGCCACTTTGGGGCGTAATTTCATAAGAAGCAAGGTGAGTTGGCCTCAGAAATGCCTTAAAATCTATCGCTTATTTATTATATTTTTAATTTTTTAAAGGAATTCCAAGAAGCCCAGCTCATGGGCCTGGATCCCGACGCCTTCTTGAAGCAAAAGCCGCGTTCGATTCGCCACAAACTCGTGTCCCTGACCTTGAAGCGCAAGAACAAGTTGGGCGAGGATGTCCGGAGGCGACTGCAGGATGACGAATATACAGCGGATAGCTACCAGTCGTGGCTGCAGTCACGGCCCACCTCGAATCTCGAGAAGCTCCACTTCATCATCGGGCATGGTATTTTGAGGGCAGAGTTGCGCGATGAAATCTACTGCCAGATCTGCAAGCAGTTGACCAACAATCCCCTCAAGTCCTCCCATGCCAGGGGATGGATTCTGCTCTCCCTGTGCGTCGGCTGCTTTGCGCCCTCGGAGAAGTTTGTCAACTACTTGAGAGCATTTATTCGCGAAGGACCACCTGGATATGCGCCCTACTGCGAGGAGAGGCTCAAGCGGACCTTCAACAACGGAACTCGCAACCAGCCGCCATCCTGGCTGGAGCTTCAGGCCACCAAGTCCAAGAAGCCAATCATGCTTCCCATTACATTCATGGACGGAAATACCAAAACCCTGCTGGCCGATTCCGCCACCACGGCCCGGGAGCTGTGCAATCAGCTGTCGGACAAAATTACCCTCAAGGACCAGTTCGGCTTCTCGCTGTACATCGCTTTGTTCGATAAAGTCAGCTCCCTGGGCAGTGGCGGCGATCACGTGATGGACGCCATCTCCCAGTGCGAGCAGTACGCCAAGGAGCAGGGCGCCCAGGAGAGGAATGCTCCGTGGCGCCTCTTCTTCCGCAAGGAGATCTTTGCTCCCTGGCATGAACCCACCCATGACCAGGTGGCCACCAATCTGATATACCAGCAGGTGGTTCGTGGCGTCAAGTTTGGGGAGTATCGCTGCGACAAGGAGGAGGACCTGGCCATGATTGCGGCTCAGCAGTACTTTATCGAATACGGCACCGACATGTCCATGGAGCGGCTGTTCACTCTGCTGCCGAACTTCATTCCCGACTTTTGTCTCAGCGGCGTGGACAAGGCCATCGAGCGGTGGGCCGCCTTGGTGTTGCAGGCCTACAAGAAGTCCTACTACGTCAAGGACAAGATAGCCCCACTGAAAATTAAGGAGGACATCGTCAGCTATGCCAAGTATAAGTGGCCACTCCTCTTTTCACGATTCTACGAGGCATACCGCAACTCGGGCCCCAATCTGCCCAAGAACGATGTCATCATAGCCGTCAACTGGACGGGTGTCTATGTGGTGGATGATCAGGAGCAGGTTCTGCTCGAGCTTAGTTTCCCGGAGATCACCGCTGTGTCCAGCCAGAAGACCAACAAGGTGTTTACCCAAACCTTCAGCTTGTCCACAGTGCGAGGCGAGGAGTTCACGTTTCAGAGTCCCAACGCGGAGGATATAAGGGACTTGGTGGTCTACTTCCTGGATGGTCTGAAGAAACGGTTGGTGTTTTGGAGTAACCACATTCTTGACTTCTGTCTGACTGATTCCTTGCTTTTCTTCCAGTTCCAAGTTCGTCATCGCCTTGCAAGATTATCGCGCTCCTTCGGACGGCACGAGTTTCCTGTCCTTCTTCAAGGGCGATCTGATCATCCTCGAAGACGAGTCCTGTGGAGAGTCCGTGCTGAACAACGGCTGGTGTATAGGACGCTGCGATCGCTCCCAGGAGCGCGGTGACTTCCCCGCTGAGACTGTCTATGTTCTGCCCACCCTGTCCAAGCCCCCGCAGGATATCCTGGCTCTGTTCAACATCGAGGAGGCTCACCATGGCAGGCGTCTGAGCATGGCCTCCAATGGCGGGGCAGTTGAGCCACGCGACCGACCACATACGCTGATGGAGTACGCTCTCGACCACTTTCGGCTGCCACCCAAACGCACCATGTCCAAGACGCTTACGTTGAGCTCGAAGAGGAGCGAGGAACTGTGGCGCTATGCCCGGGATCCCATCAAGGCGCCACTGCTGCGCAAGCTGCAAAGCAAGGAGGAGCTGGCTGAAGAGGCTTGCTTCGCCTTTGCCGCCATACTGAAGTACATGGGCGATCTTCCCTCAAAGCGTCCGCGGATGGGAAACGAGATCACAGACCACATATTTGATGGCCCGCTCAAGCACGAAATCCTGCGGGATGAGATCTACTGCCAGCTGATGAAACAACTGACGGACAACAGGAACCGAATGTCCGAGGAGCGCGGATGGGAGCTGATGTGGTTGGCCACAGGACTCTTTGCCTGTTCCCAGGGTCTCTTGAAGGAACTGTTGCTCTTCCTGCGCAGCCGTCGTCATCCCATTTCGCAGGTAACTGACTAAAATGGCCAGTTAGTATATTATTTATTAATTAAACTCTTGTTTTAGGACTCCATGCATCGTTTGCAAAAGACCATTCGCCACGGGCAGCGCAAGTATCCGCCACATCAAGTGGAGGTGGAGGCCATACAGCACAAAACCACACAGATATTCCACAAGGTCTACTTCCCCGATGACACCGATGAGGCATTTGAGGTGGACAGCTCCACCAGGGCCAAGGACTTTTGCAATAATATCTCGCAACGTTTATCGCTTCGGACCAGTGAGGGCTTTTCCTTGTTCGTCAAGATTGCTGACAAAGTTATCTCGGTAATTAAGAATATCTCTTAAGTTAATTAATTAAATTTTAATATTTATATTATGTTTAAGGTACCAGAGGGCGACTTTTTCTTCGACTTTGTACGCCATCTGACCGACTGGATAAAGAAGGCGCGACCCATTCGAGACGGAGCCAATCCACAGTTCACCTACCAGGTCTTCTTCATGAAGAAACTGTGGACGAACACAGTGCCAGGCAAGGATCGCAATGCCGATCTCATTTTCCACTATCACCAGGAGTTGCCCAAGCTATTGCGCGGCTATCACAAGTGCTCCAGGGAGGAGGCGGCTAAACTTGCGGCCCTTGTCTTCCGGGTGCGCTTCGGGGAAAATAAACAAGAACTGCAAGCCATACCGTAAGATAGGACTCTTCATTAGATTTAAACCTTTTTTTATTATTTTATATTATTTTTTTTAAGGCAAATGTTAAGGGAACTCATTCCTTCGGACATTATGAAAATGCAGAGCACTAGCGAATGGAAGCGATCGATTGTGGCTTCTTATAACCAGGATGGTGGCATGACCTCCGAAGATGCCAAGGTGGCTTTCTTAAAGATTGTCTACAGGTTTGTGCTTTAAAATATGATGTTTTTGGATGATTTTAATAAATATTTGAATGTTAAACAGATGGCCTACATTTGGTTCTGCGTTCTTCGAGGTGAAACAAACTACCGAACCGAACTATCCCGAAATGTTACTGATAGCTATTAACAAACACGGCGTGAGTCTCATACATCCAGTGACCAAGGTAAGTGCCTGACTCCAGCATAAGCCCTTCTGTTATGATAATTTTTTTGTATTTATTACGTCCAGGATATATTGGTCACCCATCCATTTACACGTATCTCGAACTGGTCATCGGGTAACACCTATTTCCACATGACCATCGGCAATCTGGTACGGGGCTCGAAATTGTTATGCGAAACATCGCTGGGCTACAAGATGGACGATCTGCTGACTTCATATATATCGTTGATGTTGACCAATATGAACAAGAATCGGACCTTGCGAGCCAACTAGTAAAACCTACAATTACGGAATATATTTATAATTATTATAAATTACAATTGCAATAACTTATACATGCCTAGTACTTTATAGTTTTAAGTATTCCCCCACACGCTCGACTCCCTACACTTTAATGGCATTCCCTCCACAGTGAAATCATTCCACTTCTGGCTTGCTCAGCTATCGATTATACCAAACAAATTTTCCATTTTTTGTGTTTAAATATTCTGTTTAATTTTTTGTATAAATTTTGCAATAACTGTCTTAAGTTATTTTTTTATCGCACATTCCGGTAAACTATTGTATTGAGGTTTTGTAGATAAGAACTGTGTCTACGCATCTATCTCTTTGTATATCTTAACTGCATATCTGTACTGATGACTTTTTGTATCAAATACATAGAAATGTTCAATTATTTAATAAATTATATAAAATTTAAATGAGTTTTTTACTTTATTGGAAGGGAGAGCACTATATTTCAAATATTTTGTGGTTGATAATATCTAGAGTCAAGACTTTGTCTTACTGAGGTATTTAAATTTTACTGAGGTTTTTAATTTAAATTCACTGAACAGATTCTTACAGAATTAAAATAAATATGCAGTTTTTTATAGGAATTGAATACGTAATCTTAGAAAGAATACTAACTTTCGCGTGTGTTCTAAGCATTTTAAAAACAATTTTTGAACGTGTACCTTATTTTTCTCCCTTCTGTATAAATAATATGAAGGAAAGGATTCTACATTTTTGAATAAAAGCTGGGATTTCAAAAATATTTTAAAGATAATAAAAATATAAATACCTTTATGCAAATTCTTTAAAAACTTGACTTTACCACAAGGGTTTACCAGCCGTTTCCTTAAATATTATTAAAAGTCATGTTCAAAATAGCTAGTTAAAAAGCTTAGGAAACTCTTAAAGAAATAAAATTTTAAACACAACTACAGACATTATAAAAACTAATTATTTTATTACCATAGACCCCTTTTTTTATCCAATTCCATTAAAATCTATAAATACTTTTATAAAATAATAATTATATCCCTCAAGGATAATACCATTCAATACCATTTTTAATCAATACCTTTAGTAAACCTATTAAAACTAATATGTGTCCATACATGGCTTAAAAGTACAAATATTTGTAGGACTTGCATATAGAGTTTCTCTGGATATTTCTTCGTCGGCTCCCACGCAAACGATTTCCCACGCATTGTATTTTGCGAGAATTTCCATTTTTCCCCAGCGTGTGAAAAACGGCAGCAGTCAACAGGCAAACGACTCAAGACGGTAGACTTAGATTTTTCAAGATAATTAACTTTTTTTTATTTTAGTAGTGGCTGGCTAGGTATGAAGTGGTGTATCAGTCCTGAGAACTTTTAGAAATTGACGTCCCCCCCTTTCTAAAAAACGACCACAATCATCGCACTCACCTGCCCAGTAGTCGGCGGAAAGTCGGGGGAAATGCGATGGAAAGGTTCATTAAAAATTCCAAACTAATTTCATATTCAGCTTCTTATAAGACACCGACGACGACCTTAAGAGGTTGCAGTTCCAATTGCCAGCCCCGAGACATTTGGTGGTGGGTTTTCCCTTCAAATCCACACCATCATCATCATCATCACGCAACTGAGGTTTGTTGTTTGAGTCTTTCGTTCTCATAAACTGGTGCAGTGGACATCTTAGGGGTTGCATTCGTTCTCATTGCTTGGCTGACTTCTGATAAGAAATGTGTCTCCCAGACGGGAGATGAGTTTTAGTGCTTAGTGCCAGGTAACCTTCTTCTCACTCCAGCGAGCGGAAGTCAACGATAATTAATTCAAAACTGCGAATCTTAATTTGTAAATCTGTAAAAGCAACAACTGCATAAATATTCAACAAAAGGTAGTTAAAATTTCTCACAGCAGCAGCCGCACTGGCGGTTTTTGGGCTGTGAGAAAATTCTGTCCCTTAACTTGGCCAAAACGGAAACAATAGTGTTATATATATACAAATATAGATGTGTATTTGCTTCTTGACTTGGTGGCGTTCAGCCATTCCAGACCAAACTATAATTAAAGTCAGGCCACCAGGGGGGTTGCGCCAAGGAAGGAGGTAGCCATCGTGGGAAGAGCTGCACTTGTTTTGTTCAAAAATATTCACACGATACTGGGCCAAATTCCCACAGCAATTTAAGGCCATCTATCCTCCCCCCCAGGTGGACAAGAATAAAGTCCAAATCATGCTAAATCCAAAACTTAAACTGACATGGTCTTTGGGTTTTGTGTTGGTCATAAATTTGGGTTTCGTTCTTGATTTATTTACTTTAGGCTTTTCTCTTAGGCTCTTAAACAAATCGCATTTCTGTCTTTTTTTTACGATTTTTATATTACAAAATATTGTATGAGACTGTGATTGCTACGAATTTCCAAGGAGCTTGCACCAAAGCTATGGGTTAAAGAAAAATGTTTCCCTTCTCTATGTCTTGTCTATGACTTTTTTGGAAACTCTGGAAAAAGGGAAAATGGAATGTTTCTTTATGGCAAGGCCAACGTTTATGGTTTCATTGTACTTTTCCTTTTCGGTACAATCTTTGGAAATTCGCATCGCAATTAAAAAATCGTCTATAGACTTATATCGATTGTATATTTAACTAGAGTTACATTTTATATTGTATATGTATTTCCATCCACATACAAAGATATATATATATAAAGATATATATGTGTCAGTGAGCTTTCTCGATTTATGTACAATCTTGTCATTCATTTACAAATCTATTGGTTCCAAAACTAGTACTAGTTATAGGTGTATATAGGATGATTCTTTTTATAGAGAGTAGGGAGTAGGGTGGGGGACACACAGTTTCGTTTACGTCATGACAGGTGGAAAATAAGTATGAGAAAAATTGTCAATCTACAAACTAAAGTCTCCAATAAAAACTATAAATAACTTAGGATAAATAAGTGTACGATGCAATAGTCCTGCACTCAGGACAAGCCGCTACCGTGACTATTCCATTGCACTTCTGAGATGGAGGGCAGCGCCTGATGTTGCTGCTGCTGTTGTTGTTGTTGCTGTTGCATGTTGCCACCGGCCGGTGAACCCGCATTGTTACTGTTGTTATTGTTGCTGATGCTAGTGATGTTATTGTTATTATTGTGCCGGGTTCGCATCACATCCTCGGCCTGGGAATTGCAATGCGGCCTGGGACCTGGCTCGGGTGTGTAGGTGAAGGTCAAGCCGGTGGCATAAATAATGCCATCGTTTCGCACCAAGGATATAGGCACCTGCGTGGGCTGTCGTACCTGTAATATGCCAAGAGTTAGGGGTGTGATATTACTAAGTCTTTTAAGTCCAACCTACCCAAAGCCATTCGCCGCGAAACTGTGAGATTTCTGGTACCACACACAGAAGCGTTTCCGTGCATCGATACATGGTCTCGGCCTCCACGTCACCGAACCACACTTGCAGATGGGGCGTAAAGTTGTCGCCACTGAGCTCCAGCATGGCCACATCGCCGCCACCATTGAGATTCAGCGAATTGACAATCGGCACTGGAGTGACTGGGGATCTAAAATGGAGAATACTTTTCTTAAAAAACAATAATTTCCTAATAAAATCGAGGAAACTTACGCCACAGGACCCATGCCCTCGTAGAACTGGTACTCGGCTTTGTCCGTGGAGATGATTGTCCAGCAGGCGCCATCGTTGATCATCTCCTTGTTGGGCTCCTTCGGGCAAGGAGTAGCCTGAAACTGAATGATCTTCTCCTGCGACAAGCAGAGGTACATGCGATCGGTGTCCTTCATGTAAAAGGCGCACTTGTGCAGCTGTGAGACCGGATCATCGGCCTCCAGCAAGGCCATTTGCTTGTCCACCTTACGGATAATCAGACGCGGAAGCGCCATGCCCGTTACCGAGCAAACCAGCTTCACGGTGGCTCCGTAATGAATGTAGCCGTCGCGGACTTGAAACTCCTCCGATTCCGACTCATTGTCATCCAGCAGGTGTATCGTAAAGGCACCCCACTGCGTGGACGAGGCATGGAAGTGTCCGTTCTCCACATGCAGATACCGCGTGGAGACGGTCTGGGAGCGCAGGCGGTTGAACAGGGCCACGTTGGTGCCGCTGGCTATGCACAGGTCGGCATTCTTCAGAGACTGCTTCTTCTTGGACGGCTTCGATATCACCTTGATGCGCTTCGAGTTGAACACCCCAATGTCGTGGCCATTGCCGTAGAACATTTTAACCGAGAGCATAAAGTGCTTCCTCTTGTCCGAGTCCGAAATGAAGAGCGTCTTGGCCGCACAGTACTGCTTGCCGTTGAGATCCAGCTGCTGCATGTCCTGGTCACTGCTCCCGATCCCGATGAAGGCGCATAGCTGAGCACCCTGTTCGCCCTCGCCCTGTTGGAGCATCTCCTCGTAGCGTCGCCGCCACCCACTGCCAAACAGATAAATGCACGGCGGTGGGCAAAAGAAGCGCTTCTCATTGCCGTACGACTTCTGGGCCACCTGAAAGTAAGACAGCACCCAAAGTGCATCCACAGAGGTGCAGGGAAACTCAATTAGCACAAATTGGCGTCCAGATTATCGGAAAATCATATCAAAACCGCAAGCAATGCAGTTTGTTAATTTTCTGTAATTAATTTCAATTATTTTCATTTGCGGACTGGACCGGACCGGGCTCGCGTTGCTCAATTTGGGGGCATTCGAGTGTGAAGGATTCGCATTTGGCGGCAGTCGGCGCTTGAAGATCGCCACCACTAAATCGCCAACTAAAACCGCGACAATTTTATTCCATTTTTATTTTGTTTCTGCCATCCAGACCGCCAGACCGCAAAAATGTAACACTTTAAAGTGGACAATAGAAAAGCACCTCAGAATGTTCGGAACGGTGAGATGAAGGGCTCGGACTGACCTGTCAGATCTTTAGATTTTACATTTTTAATTTTTTTTTTAAATTAAATTTTATATAAAAATTTTAAAATGATCTAAACTGGCCTACATTTGCAAATAATTGTGAGTTGAAATGTAAGAAATTATTTAAAAAAAACTTTAACTTTTAAAATTCTTTTCAAATTTTTCCTTTTTTGGAAAACTATAATTAGTATCCTTATTTTAAATGATTTTTTGAAGGTTTAATTTTATAATAAACTTTATTTAATAAGAAAATTACCAAGATTACTATTTTAAACATTAACTAATTTGGTATTTTAACTTTTTATTAAATGAAATCCTTTTAAAAAAAATGTTTCTATACTTTTGCCCTCTTTTGGAAATCTTTTCGAAATTATTTTTAAACCTCAAAGGACCTTAACATCTAATAATCCTTCCATCATAACTAAAAGGACCTCCCCCCCTCACCTTTGCATGCAGGATCACAATGACCATATCGTTCCGTTCTCTCATATACTTCTCCATGGCATCTCTCGTCAGTTTCTTCTCTTCAATGTGCGGCCGATAGGGTCCTGGCAGCAAGGACATTTGCATTTGCTGGTGTTGTTGCTGCTGTTGTTGTTGCTGTTGTTGCTGCTGCTGCTGGTGATGCACTTGTAGCTGCTGCTGAGCCGGTGGCTGTGGACCGCTGCCCAGTCCAAAGTGCGGCATGTCCTGGCGTTGCTGTTGCTGCTGCTGCTGCTGCTGGTGGTGATGACTATGATCCAGCGGCGATCCGTTCGGATTCGAATGGAGGGCAGCTGCGGCGGCTGCTGCTGCGGCTGCGTTCTCGAAGGCGATGGCGGGCGGGGCGGCGGCGTTCAAATTAAATTGGCTGTAGCTCTTCATTTATGCACATGTCTTCTGCATTGAGCTGTGTGTATGAATTGTATACTCTTGGACCGGCAGGTGGTTTACTTTTTTTTGGCTTTTTGGCAAATTCTTTTGGCACTTAGACACTGCTTGCGTACTATTTGTTGTTGTTGTCGTTTTTGCTGTTTTGTATTTGTTATCCTGCACCAACACACACGACCAGCAGCTGTCGTTTCTCTCACGCACTCTTCTTCTTGGCCGCGGACTCGCTTTGTTGTTATTGCTATTGTGGGTGGATTTAATTTAGCCCTAAGCACCGGTATTACATATTTATGTCTAAGAAGCACTTGACTAGCGACTGGCGGTTCTAGCGGCTGGCTTGTATTTAACGCTGCGACTAGTGCTCGAGTTATATTTATGCTACAACTAAAAAAGTGAGTGAGGATGTTGACTGTGTATCGATGAATCGATAGCCTTTTATTTACGATAGTCGCCATTTACCGGTATGTTGGTCGTTGCACAACACTATAAGAAGTTGAACTGTGTGATTTCCAGGGAATTTAAGGTCCCATCATTTACTATTATCATTAAAATTATACGGTTTTACTGAATTTTTAATCTTTTATTAATTAGAAACTAGATTTCAGTGTTCATTATGAGACAAATAAAATATGTTTGCAGCAATTTTCAGAACACCCACTTTAGATCAAACATTTGATTATAGGAGTTAACTTTTTTCATTCAGTATTATTTAATATCGAAGTATATTATAGAAAATTTTATGCGAAATTTTGTATTACTGAAATAAAAGATACATCTATTTTTTTTCAGTGTGTATATTACTGGGAAGAACTTATCGATGAACACCACCACTATTATCGGCAAAGACAATCGATATCGCCAGACTTCCACAACTAATTGCGAAATCAAACAGCGGTGCTTGAACTTAGTAGATATTCCTAAAAACTCAGTGATAATGGAACAATTTAAAGGACTGCAGAAAACTTTATACATATGGACTGACAGCACCGATCTGGACAAGCGTGTGGAGAAAGTGAAATCATCCACAGGTGGCGAAGTGGCCCTGGAAAATGTCCACCGTCTGTCGTTCTGTAAGTTGCGTGCGAGTATCTTGTTTTTTTGTCTAGCCAGTGAGTCAGCAGATTTATTTGGAAACTTGGGTGCATTTCAGCCTCCTACGCCAACTCCAGTTTCGACTTAATTGTGATCGAGTGTGCCCAGTTGACTGATAATTACGTAAAGCTGCTGCACATGCTGAAGCCGAGCGGAAAACTTCACCTGGTGGCCTTCATCGGACCGGCATCCAGCCTGTTGCAGGAAGTCAAGCTGTCAGGGTTCATAAATTGTCGCGAGGATGCGGATGATGCTTTGACTGCCGAGAAACCAGGCTACGAAACCGGCTCATCCGCTCGTCTGTCATTTGCCAAGAAGGATGCCAGTGCCCTGAATGTCTGGAAAATTAGCGGTGACGATGAGGAGCTAATCGATGAAGAGGATCTACTGGACGAGGAAGATAAGCAGAAGCCGGATCCGGCCGGTCTTCGTGTCTGCAGCACCACAGGGAAGCGCAAGGCATGCAAAAACTGCTCATGTGGTCTGGCAGAGGAGCTGGAGAGCGAGAAGCAGACCAAGACTGCTACTGAGAACGCAAAGTCGAGCTGCGGCAATGTAAGTGTAACAAGAGAGCATGTCTTTGGAAGTCGCTATTTATGTTGCTCTCGAAACTTCGTTGAAGAGTATACAAAAATGCGATTATACAACAAGTATTTCTGTTTATTAATATATAATTTCTTTTAGTGCTACTTGGGTGACGCCTTCCGCTGCTCCACCTGCCCCTATTTGGGCATGCCTGCTTTTAAGCCTGGAGAGAAGGTTCAACTGGCCGATAACCTGTTGAAATCTGACATCTGAATTTAATTTAGGAACAAATCGACCCACTGAAGCAATCACATTTTAATATTTTATTAAGCTGACTTACTAACAAACAATAATTTCATAATGTAAATACAAAAATGCACCGCGTCACGAAATTTCGACCAAAATGTACAAGGATGTTGCAGAAATCTTTAACCTAACAGAATAACCTTAGATTATTCTAAAGATTCTGCTGTATCACTGATACACTGGGTGTTTACATTTCACACGGTGTACCCTTGATGAGATCACGATTCTGGCCAGTCAGAATGCGGTAGTTGACGGCCGAGGGATCCAGCTCCTTGTACAGATACATTGGCATCTTATCGGAAAGAACCCAGATGGTTCCTTCGTTGTCGATCTTCATGTCGTTGGGGAAGACCAGTGTGTGTGAATCGGAATCGATCAGGCCTTGGGTGTCTGGAGTGTATGGTCGCTTGATGTTCCAGCATGCGATGGCATCCTTGTTCACCTGAGTGTAGAAAATAACGCCGGTCTCGGGATCAAAGACCTCGGCTGTGGATTGGCCGTTCATTCCACGATCGCCCACATATTTGAAGTCATAATACGAATCTCCGCCAGTCACATGCGATTCATTCTGCAGCACACGGTTCGAGACCTTGAACTCTTTGGTGCTGGCCAAGGCATGGAAGTAGATATCCTTTGAGTGATCGGGGTTCATAGGACCAACGGCCATGCCGAAGACTCCATCAGTCCACTGGAAGTTTACGCCGGCCACGTTGAAATCACCCTGCAGGGGGTCGAAGTGGAAGAAGTTGTGCTTGACGCGGTAGGACTTGTCGTTTCTCAGAGAGTACACAATGACTCCATAGGCGCCCAAGTCAGGAATATAGGCAAAGGCATCCTGGCACTCCGAGCGATCGGAATCTACAATCTAGATTGGGATTTAGAATATTTTAGATGTATGTTTTTTTTTTTTAAATTATTGTAGTCTTACAATGTTGGCAAAGAAAGTATCCTCCTTGGTCTGATCCGCTGGAATGGTGAAACGACGCAGCAGAGTATCAGTCTTCAGATCGAAAACCAGGATGGAGTTTGGTGTAATCTGCTTGGGACTACCGAGGATATCGGCCAGACCAGTATCCAGAACCCACAGACGATCGCACACGTCGACTTGAATACGGAATGTGGAAATAATGGTGGAGTTGTTTTTCAGCTCGACCCCAGCATCCTGAGCCTTGTCAGCATCCAGACGTCCACCCGATGGTGTCTTCTGATCCTGCGGCTTAACATCAATAGGGAGTTTGTTGGCTTCCCAGCTGGGATAAGGATGAAGCTTAGGGGATTTCTCTGTAGAGTTGAGATCGATGTAGTTGAGAGTGGCAGCCACTCCAGCCTTCCATCTGATATTAAAAGGAAATTGCAATTTAAAGATAAATAATTAATTTAATTAAAGTTTATGTCTTTAATTTATACCTTGAATTATTTTTTAATTATAAAAGAATCTATGTGTGTACTATGAAGGTAACTGGTACCTCTATTGTGATATTATAAAATGGAAATCAGATCTGTAATTTAATGTGATTAAAGTTCCCTTTATAATAGAAAATATAATGGATAAATATAGTGAAAGATAATCTTACTGGTTTTTAGAAAACACTGTTATTAAATGATTAATAGATTAGTTCTTCAAACTAAAATATTCCGTCTTTTTTTTTGTCCATCTGATGACGTTTTTTGTTTATTGTTTTGATTACTAATAGCTTCCGAAAACGGGAATTGTTTTTGGGACTTTTTCCCCCATTATGGTTATCTGGGTGAGTCCCAAAAAGTGGTGACGTCACACTACCATACCACTGATGGTCATCAGCTTCGAAGGTTTCAACTCGAATCGGATCAGTTATTTTCCATAGAATTTTCCGGTCATGTGTTGTTTTCTCTTATTAATTTTAATTTAATTGGATGTTTAGATTTGCATTTAGAAACTACTATGCGATTTGAAATGCAAAATAGGTTTACACAATGAAGAAAAAAAAAACTGATCAAGTTAACTAGCCAGCTTGGAACCGGTTTCCTCCTCGATACTCAAATGATTTTGCAAGTCTAGCTTGACATTTAATTACAAACCGAACCAACAAAAAAGGTAAATAATAAAAAAAAAAAAATTAAAGAAAAGGTAAGTACGGGTAAACACGAATTTTAGTTGGACGTTTTTTCGGTTATTAATTTGGTGATTTACCTTGGCACAGTGACAAAGATTCTGTTTTGCCAGCGCTCCACGCCCAGTGGCAGGTTGTTCTCCTCGATGTAGTGGCCATTAGACTTGGCCTCCGCCTCGGCCTCCGGAGAGGGCCAATCGAAGGCTAGCTGTTTCCACGAGAACTTCTCCTCCAGCTTGGCCGATGCACTCCCGCTGAAGATGCCGATCAGGCACAAGACCAGACCCAGACTTGGTAATCTCAAAGAATGCATTTTGGTTGATCCCGGCTGTCAATTGTTGGGTTTCTATTAGCTTTTTCGTTCTCGGTCACAACACCTCCGTTTGATTCGAGCTGAGCCCGCTCACTGCAAGAGATTGGCCTGGAGACGGCTTAATATGTTGGCTTGGCTCCGCTTGGAGCAGAGCTTAAAGCTCGACTTTGTTATAATCTGTTATACAGAGGCACCCACCAGCCGGACACTGGCAATTGCCAAGTGGGGGGACCTAAAATTAGCAAAAAATAAGCGGAAGGAATATACATACATACATATCTGGAATTTATTAGGTAATACTTTAAAAATACTTTTAGGGAGCTGGCTGGAATTAGCATAAGTGTGTGCATCTGGAAGATGATCAACTGTGCAGTGAACCCTGAGTAGCGTCTGGGAGACTAATGGGTCATGGCCTTAAAATTTAATGAAATGATTCGGCAAGAATTTCAAATTAATCTGAATACTTTGAGCCACTTTCTAGCTATAAAGTTGTAAATAATCATAATGAATTTGTCAACATTTTAACAAGTTACAATTAATAATCCATCTGTTTATTTATTTGGAATTTGGAATGTCGTATTATTTTGCCAAAAATAGCATTCGTACGAAATCCCTAACTCTATAAACACCAAAGTTCTAGCATTTCCGATCAATCAGGTATATGGAAACTATAGGATATAGTCGGCCGATCCCGCCGTTCCGACTTATGTATATATATGTACCTAAACTGCGTACAAAGGAACAAAGGTGTGCAAAGTTTCAAGACGATAGCTTTAAAACTGAGAGACTAGTTCGCGTAGAAACAGACAGACAGACAGACTTGCTCATATCAACTCCGGAGGTGATCCTGATCAAGAATATATACTTTATAGGGTCGGAGATTTCTCCTTCACTGCTTGCACACTTTTGGACAAAATTACAATACCCTCTGCAAGGGTATAACAATGATGTTTAAAATAATTAAATAAATACTAGCACAGAGGCACTACCTTGTTGGGGCTATAAATTCTATTGTGGCAAGTTCAATCTCTATCTGGTGTAGTCACCATTTAAAATAAATGTATCTAAAGTTTAGTTGGTAGTTTCATTCTTCTATCTACTGCTCAGCTCCATGCCAAACACTCAGTAACACAATTATCTTGCCCTGATTGCATTTCCTATTAAATGTCTACGAATGTGTATAATCTACAATGTAACACTCCAATATACTACATACTACATATACTACATATTGACCAATGTTTATCCGATTTGTGAATAGATTCTCTTTTAATCTGGATCCAAATCCAAGCACAAAATATTTTTTAGATTTTTTTCATGAGGCACATTATGGCCCACAGTGAAGGCTATATCTTGGCCAATGATTACACTAGTAGGAATTGTTTATTAGGTCGAATATAATACAAAACCGTGTTTGAAATATTTCTAACACCCTCAATATATTGATTAACTTAGAAAAAACGATTTACGACAAACGATATTGATTAACTTAGGTTTTCGGGAAAAAACTTTTTTGATTTTAAAAATTCCTTAACGCGTAATTTAAAATTTCCGACGTTTTTTAATAGTTAAATGTTGTAGCTTTTAAAAAAAAATCTTTAATTAATAGATTTTTAATTAATTAAAACAAAAAGGATACAATTTTTACACAAGAAAATTACATTTTTGGATTTTTTTCGGACTTTGACGCCATTTTTTCGGTACAACTTCCAAGAAATGATACCATATTTGATACATATCAATATTGTCTCATTAATCCCGATAAAAAAAACGAGACCAATTTCATTAGGAAATCATGAAAATTGTTAAAGTTAAACACTTTTCCCAAAAGAAGTGAGTAAAGCCATTTCGCTTATTGCTTCTAGTAAAATAGCACTGACTTCTTTTGAGAAAAGCGTTATAACTTAAACAATTTTCATAATTGTTGCAAAGCAAAAAATCCAATCCCGCGATTTTGATTTTTTTTTCTAGGCGGTCCCTTAAAAAACTTGGAAAACGCATGGAGGCCCAATATTATCTTCCCAATAATTAAAGCATTCTACAATGTGCCGCAAAAACTAAAGTCAGCTGAAGTGCCAGTGGGACCCTTTCACAATTACTCCTCCAAACCAGGGATGCAAAAATACAATAGACCCAATGCGAGATCAATTATATTATCGGATATAGATCACAAATATCGGATATAGTTGGCTGATCGTTAGGAGAACTTTATTAGTTCTCAACCCTCTGCAAGGGTATAAAAACTTAACTAAGTAAAGCCCATGTAACTTTTTTATTTTTGTACAATTATAAAGATATCGAAAGTCAACAAATCACACCCTGTACAAAACTCACAACCTCAAACATTTGTCATCACAGATTTTAAAAGCTATTCTAGTTCCAAAAATCGACGATAAAAGCTGTCCAATATACAAATAAAAAGGGGAAGTACTCACTTTTATTTCACAAAGTATACAGAATACGGTCATATTGCTGTCTCCCCATAGCCAGTCAGTCGGTTATCGAGTATCCAGCTGTCGAGTCTAAGCGAACGGATTAAGTATGAGCGAATCGCCTATAAATGGCTCTTCCTGGAGTCCAAAAAATCGCAAAATCAGTAAAAATAATGCGGAAGATTCAGCTGCGCCCTCTTCAAGCTCCCAAAGAGTTCCATCCGAAGCCTCGTCCAATATTTTTGTCCTGAACACCGATTGTTTAGAAAGAATATTCTCAATTCTAAGCTTAGAAGATCAGTTGAATTTTTCACGTTCCAATCACGAAATAGAATGCATGTTCAGGAACTACGCACAACGGAAGTACAAACACATCACTGAAGACATCATTGACAGCCTTAAGGAACCTGATCTGGAATATCTAGTGGAACAAGTCAACGAGCATGTGATCAGCTATGAGTCAAGTCTGGATCCCTCCTCCAAAGCCGAGGAGCAGTTGGGGTTACTAGGAATGCACTGCCCTATGCTGCGCCGCCTCAACATGACTTTCAGTCGACCCCAATGGGAGGACTTGAACCAATTGAAGAATTTAAACACTCTTCATGCCTCTTTACAATTTAGTAGCAATGATGTCTTCGAGAAGTTCTTCTTAAATCTATCAGAGAATCTACCGGGTCTGAGGAAGCTAGTTTTGGATGCTCCCGACTACAATGGGAAAGGACTCCACGTGCTGGAGAAACTACAGAATCTAGAGATAAATTGCGAATTAGATGCCAAATACCTGACCGATTGCTGCATCAAGATGAAAAATTTGAACTTTCTTAAAATTGGACCGTGGAACAAAAACCTGACCAACGAAAACTTATCCGCGATTGTCGCGAACTGCCGGAACCTGGAAACGCTTGGGTTCCCCGACAACAAACTTCTCGATAATGTGGCATACGAAAAGGTTTGTGAGCTGCCCCGACTGAAGCACATAATATTGACCTATCCGCGTCGAAGGCCGGGTTTTATCAAGGGGCTTGTACGTAGGACTGGAACTCCTCTTGAGAGCCTTATTCTGTTTGGATCGAATCTGTGTAAGGAGCAGATAGGACATATCTGTGATATTCCTTCCCTCAGAGAACTCTGGCTAGGCAGCACAGACGAAAATTTTAATGTGGAAGGCTTTACGAAGCTGAAATCTCTTGAATACCTACATCTGGATATGGAAGGCATTACAAATAAGCAATTGTTGGAACTGGTGCTTGGATGGCCACGCCTACGGGTCTTGAATGTGTTATATTGTTGGAATGTTACTTCCGATTTCATTTCTTTACTAAATCGTTCTGCGAAGAAGCTTAAGGAAATCAATCGTGACAAAATTTCAATATATTTGTATGACTCTTCTGTGGATTGGGAAGGAAACTCCAGCTTTAAAATTGAGAACATACACATCATAAATGGCCATTTAAATTCTCCTATTTTAATAAAAAAGGAGCTCAATATTCAATAACAATTATTCCGACTCCGATAGCTTATAATATAGTTCAGGATTACTATATTCATACCTGTAGCCAGCCCATCTCACAGTGAATTAGTTAAGAAGTATGAACAAACATTAAATTACGCATTAAACTCATAGGTTTTTTTTTATGCCAAGACCTTAGAAACCCCCTTAGACACAACCCGAAAGCAAGACACAAGCTCTTGGCATAGAAAATTCAATTCAATTCAAGGGACCGGGACCAGGCCATGGCAGAAACGGAAACTTGAAAGGTAAGCACCAGCACCTAACCCAACCAGACCCGGGTTTTAATACTAATTTCATATTCATATGCATATTTAGACCAACTGCCAGGCAAGGATGCAGGATGAGGAACTGGAGACCCTTGGAGAAAAGCAACAACCCAGAAACTATAGCCCAACATGTTTAAAAATCAAATATCTTAAGAATAATGAAAGAAAAATGCGCCAAATAAATAATTTTTGTAACGAAACCGAAAGGCTCACTACTTGAGTATGAAATGAAGATGAGGATGAGGTAGGTTAACCTTGGCTCTAAGGAGTATGGGGATGGATATTATCCCCATTTTGTTGGGCAGTGCATAAACAAAGCCGGGAAGGCTCTTTTTCTTGTTAGAAGAGTGCGATGCCAGACGGACATGCTCATATCAACTCATCCTGATCAGGAATATATATACTTTATAGGGTCGGAGATGTTTCCTTCACTGCGTTGCACTCTTTTGGACAAAATTATAATACCCTCTGCACGGGTATAAAAACTTAACTTAGCCTATGTAATTTTTTTAATTTTGTAAAATTATTAAAGTAACGAAAGTCAACAAGTTACACCCTGTGTAAAACCCACAACCTCACATATTTGTCATCGCTGATTTCAAAAGCTTTCTAGTTCCAGTAATCCGTTAATCCCCTTTTATTGCACAAAGTAGTCAAAGTAGTCAGTCGATTATCGAATCTCCAGCTGTCGAGTCCAAGCGAGCGGAATAACTATGAGCGAATCGCCTATAAATAGCTCTTCCTGGAGTACAAAAATTCGCACAATCAGTAAAAATAATGCGGAAGATTCAGCTGCGCCCTCTTCAAGCTCCCAAAGAGTTCCATCCGAAGCCTCGTCCAATATTTTAGTCCTGAACTACGATTGCTTAGAAAGAATATTCTCACTTCTGAGCTTAGAAGATCAGTTGAATTTTTCGCGTTCCAATCGTGAAATAGAAAGCATGTTTAGGAACTACGCCCAGTGGAAGTACAAACACATTACTGACGACATCACCGACAGCCTTAAGGAACCTGATCTGGAATATCTAGTGGAACAAGTCAACGAGCATGTGATCAGCTATGAGTCAAGTCTGAATCCCTCCTCCGAGGGGCAATTGCGGTTACTAGGAATGCACTGCCCTATGCTGCGGCGCCTCAGAATGAATTTCATGGGAGAACCCCGATGGGAGGACTGGAACCAATTGAAGAATTTAAACACTCTTCATACCCGGGTATGCTTTAGAAGCATTGGTGTCTATGAGAAGTTCTTCTTAAATCTATCAGAGAATCTACCGTGCCTGAGGAAACTAGTCTTGGAAGCTCCCGACTACACTGGGAAAGGACTCCAAGTGCTGGAGAAACTAGAGAATTTAGAGATAGATTACCTTTGCCAATTAGATGCCAAATACCTGATCGATTGCTTCATCATGATGAAAAATCTGCGCTTTCTTAAAATTGGAATGTGGCCCGAAAACCTGATCAACGAAAACTTCTCCGCGATTGTTGCGAACTGTCAGAACTTGGAAACGCTTGAGTTCACCGATGAAGACCTCCCCGATTATGTGGCATTCGAAAGGGTTTGTGAGCTGCCTCGCCTTAAGCACATATTTATGACCTATCCGCGTCTTAAAAGACCGGCTTTTATCGAGGGACTTGTTCGTAAGACTGGCACTCCTCTAGAGAGCCTTATTCTGTTTGGATTGAATCTGTGTAAGGAGCAGATAGAGCATATCTCTGATATTACTTCCCTTAGAGAACTCTGGCTAGGAAGCACTGAAGTTGATTTCAGTGTAGAAGGCTTCATGAAGCTAAAATCTCTTGAATACCTACATCTGCACATGCGAGGCATTACTAATAAGCACTTGTTGGAACTGGTGCTTGGATGCCCCCGCCTACGGGTCTTGAATGTGATAAGTTGTCCGAATATTACTTCCGATTTCATTTCTTTACTAAAAAGTTCTTTGAAGATGCTTAAGGAAACAAATTGGGACAAAATTTTAATATATTTAAAGACCTCTTCTGTGAATTGGAAAGGAAACTCCAGCTTTAAAATTGAGAACATTCACATCATAGACGGCCATCTAAAGAAAGTTCCTATTTTAATAGAAAAGGAGTTCAATATTTATTACCAATTATTCCGACTCAGATAGCTTTTAATATAATTCAGGATTACTTCATTCATACCTGGAGCCAGTTCATCTTACAGTGAATTATTTAAAAAGTATGAACAAACATTACACAATAAAAATTCCTCCAAATAAATAATTTTTTAACTTATTTTTGAAATAATGGTGAGGTATGTATGTGTATATCCATAGGTACCTTGGAGGTTGGAAATATCTCTGTCCGGCCCCTGCCTGCACACCAATACTGAAACAAAATAAAACAGGCCTAAGCAGCCATAGCCCCCGGGGATCCAAGTCTACTTCCGATTTTTATACAGATAGTCCCCGAAAATGTAGAATTTTCAACATTTCGAATTTTTGAAAGTCAACAAGTCACGCCCTGTACGAAACCCACAACCTCACACATTTGTCATCACTGATTTTAATCTAGTTCCAGAAATCTACGACAGAAGCAATACACAAATAAAAAGCGAAAGTACCGATTTTTATTCCACAAAGTATACAGAATACGATCATATTGCCCTCTCCCCATAGCCAGTCAGTCAGTTTTGGAGCCTCCAGCTGTCGAGTCCAAGAGAGCGGAATAAGTATGAGCGAATCGCCTATAAATAGCTCTTTCTCGATTGCAAAGAAACGCAAAATCAGTAAAAATAATGCGGAAGATTCAGCTGCGCCCTCTTCAAGCTCCCAAAGACTTCCATCCAAAGCCTCGTCCAATATTTTAGTCCTGAACTACGATTGCTTAGAAAGCATATTCTCAATTCTAAGCTTAGAAGATCAGTTGAATTTTTCACGTTCCAATCGCGATATAGAACGCGTGTACACGAACTACGCCCAACGGAAGTACAAACACATCCCTGAATACATCACCTACAGACTCGAGGAATCTGATCTGGAATATCTAGTGGAACAAGTCAACGAGCATGTGATCAGCTATGAGTCACCACTGGATCCCTCCTCCAGAGACGAGGAGCAGTTGCGGTTACTAGGAGTGCACTGCCCTATGCTGCGGCACCTCAGAATGAATTTCATGGTAGAACTCCGATGGGAGGACTTGAACCAATTGAAGAATTTAAACACTCTTTATGCCTATTTAGAGTTTAGTAGCAATGATGTCTACGAGAAGTTCTTCTCAAATCTGTCAGAGAATCTACCGTGTCTGAGGAAGCTAGTCTTGGAAGCTCCCGACTACAATGGGAAAGGACTCCACATGTCGGAGAACCTAGAGCATCTAGATATAGATGACTTTTCCGAATTAGATGCCAAATACCTGACCGATTGCTTCATCAAGATGAAAAATCTGCACTTTCTTAAAATTGGAAAGGGGACCAAAAACCTGAGCAACGAAAACTTATCCGCGATTGTCGCGAACGGCCGGAACTTGGAAACGCTTGAATTCCGCGATAACGAACTCCTCGATGATTTGGAACTCGAAAGGGTTTGTGAGCTACCCCGCCTGAAGCACCTAATAATTTCCTTTCCGCGTCTAGCACCGTGTTTCATCGAGGGACTTGTACGTAAGACCTGCACTCCTCTAGAGAGCCTTATTCTGTTTGGATCGAATCTGTGTAAGGAGCAGATAGAGCATATCTGTGACATTACTTCCCTCAGGGAACTCTGGCTAGTCAGCCATCACGATGATTTCAGTGTGGAAGGCTTCATGAAGCTAAAATCTCTTGAATACCTACATCTGGATATGCGAGCCATTACTAAAAAGCAGTTGTTGAAACTGGTGCTTGGATGCCCACGCCTACGGGTCTTAAATGTGATATGGGGTTGCCCAAATATTAATTCCGATTTTATTTCTTCACTAAATAGTTCTTTGAAGAAGCTTAAGGAAACCAATCGTGAACAAATTTCAATATATTTAGATAACTCTTCTGTGGATTGGAAAGGAAACTCCAGCTTTAAACTCGACAACATTAAAATCATAAAAGGCGCTCTATGGAAAGTTCCTATTTTAATAAGAAAGGAAATATTGCATAAATATTATTCCGACTCCGATAGCTTTTAATATCAGTCAGGACTACTGTTACATTCATACCCTTAGCCAGCCTCTTCTATATTAGGAATAATTAAAAAGTATGAACACACATTAAACAATAAAAATTTTTGTAACTAAAATTTTCGTCTTAGCTTCATAAATCAGCGTAAGGTGCTCTCTACGTTCAGCGTATACACTGAAAACAACGGAAAACAAACTTAAAAATAATTGAATGAAAATGAAAAATATTGTCCCGACTTGTTGAGTTTTTCCTGTTAATTTTCTTTCGCTCCAGCAACCTATAAAATTTATTTGGGTTCAAAATAATTTCATAAGCAGCGCACTCTACGATTCGCTCAGTGCAGAAATTCGATTCTCTCATCAAAACATTCTCAACTTGCTCATATCAACTCAGGAAGTGATCCTGATCAAGAATATATATACTGTATAGGCTCGGACATGTCTCCTTCACTGCGTTGCACACTTTTGACCAAAAAATATTAAAAACAAGAAAGGAAAGCTAACTTCGGGCGGAGCCGAAGTTTATATACCCTTGCAGTTAAAACCGGATATATATCGTAAACATCGGATATAGTTGGCCGATCCTTATGGGAATAGGAATATATAATCCAATTTATTACAATAAAAAATCTAAAAAAGTCCCAAACTTCTATCTTCAAAAATACGAAAGTTGATATTTCTACTAAATACCATTTTCGATCGTTCAGTTATATGGCAGCTATAGGATATAGTCGGCCGATCCTAATGAAATTTGGTAGGTTGGATCAACTGACCAAAAATATAATCTTTACCAAGTTCCAGCTTTCTAACTTTAAAAACACCAAAATTATACCATTTCCGATCAATCAGTTATATGACAGCTATAGGATATACTAGTCACACCCTGTACAAAACCCACAACCTCACATATATATTTGTCATCACTGATTTTAAAAGCTATTCTAGTTCCAGAAATCTACGATAAAAGCTGACCACTCGACAATACACAAATAAAAAGGGGAAGTACCCACTTTTATTGCACAAAGTATACCAAATGCGATTATAATGCCGTCAGTCAGTCGGTTATCGAGTCTCCAGCTGTCGAGTCCAAGCGAGCGGAATAACTATGAGCGAATCGTCTATAAATAGCTCTGACTCGAGTGCAAACAAGGGCACAATCAGTGAAAATAATCCGAAAAATTCAGCTGCGCCCTCTTCAAGCTCTCAAAGAGTACCATCCAAAACTTGGTCCAATATTTTAGTCCTGGACAACGATTGCCTAGAAATAATATTCTCATTTCTCAGCTTAAAAGATCAGTTGAATTTTTCGCGTTCCAATCGCAAAATAGAACGCATCTACAGGAACTACGCCCAACGGAAGTACAAACACATCACTAAATACATCACCACCACCCTCGCGGAATCTTATCTGGAATATTTAGTGGAACAAGTCAACGAACATGTTATCAGCTATGAGTCACCACTGGATCCCTCCTCCAGAGACGAGGAGCAATTGCGGTTACTAAGAATCCACTGCCCTATGCTGCGGCGCCTCACGATGGCTTTCACGCAAGACCGATGGGAGGACTTGAACCAATTGAAGAATTTAAACACTCTTCATGCCTATTTAGAGTTTAGTAGCACTGATGTCTACGAGAAGTTCTTCTCAAATCTATCAGAGAACCTACCGTGCCTGAGAAAGCTAGTCTTGAAAGCTCCCGACTACAATGGGAAAGGACTCCAAGTGCTGGAGAAACTACAGCATCTAGAGATAGATAAAAATACCGAATTAGATGCCAAATACCTGACCGATTGCTGCTTCAAGATGGAAAACCTGAACTTTCTTAAAATTGGAATGTTTACCAGAAACCTGAACAACGAAAACTTCTCCGCGATTGTCGCGAACTGCCGGAACTTGGAAACGCTTGGGTTCACCGACAACGAACTTCTCGATAATGCGGCATACGAAAAGGTTTGTGAGCTGCCCCGCCTGAAGCACATAATATTGACTTATCCCCGTCGAAGACCGGGTTTCATTAAGGGGCTTGTACGTAGGACTGGCACTCCTCTTGAGAGCCTTATTCTGTTTGGATCGAATCTGTGTAAGGAGCAGATAGGACATATCTGTGATATTCCTTCCCTCAGAGAACTCTGGCTAGGCAGCACAGACGATAATTTTAATGTGGAAGGCTTTACGAAGCTGAAATCTCTTGAATACCTACATCTGCAAATGCAAGGCATTACAAATAAGCAATTGTTGGAACTGCTGCTCGGGTGCTGCTGCCTACGGGTCTTGAATGTCTTATGGCGTTGCTCGAAAATTAATTCCGATTTAATTTCTTTGTTAAATCGTTCTTTGAAGAAGCTTAAGAAAATCAATCGTGGCAAAATTTCAATATATTTAGATGACTCTTCTGTGGATTGGGAAGGAAACTCCAGCTTTAAAATTGAGAACATACACATCATAAATGGCTATTTGAAGTCTCCTTTTTTAATAAAAAAGGAGTCAATATTCTATAAAAATTATTCCGACTCGGATAGCTTTAAATATCATTCAGGGTTACTTCATTCATACCTGTAGCCAGCCCATCTTACAGTGAATTATTTTAGAAGTGTGAACAATCATAGGCCTTAAAATTCATGGCCTTCAAACTTCATTAAATGACTCGGAAAGAATTTGAAATGAATCTGAATACTTTGAGTCACTTTCTAGCTATGAACTTGTAAATAATCATAATGAATTATTCAACATTTTAATAAGTTAGAATGTTCCGATTGCATTAATAATCCATCTGTTGATTTAATGCAAAAGGTTATTGAATCCCTTATTAAAAATGCGGCACGAGTGCAAAATGCAAAATAAAATGTTGGTTTATCGAAAGTGATTTGCATTTTAAGAAAGAATATTTGTGGGTGAATAAATGGAAGCAAATAAAATGTATAAATAAAACATTGGGAATGGTCACTCCAGGTTCCAATCAATAAAATGAAACACAAGTATTTCTTGAATTCTGTTTGGTTTTTTTATTCAGTAAAATTCTCATTTATTCCGTTTTATTAAACTTTAAATTAATTCGTTAATGTTACATTCATAAGAACATACCGAGTTTTTTATACTTTGACCTTTTTTTCCTGCATATTGCTACCATTTGTTCTGGTTTTACGATTATTTTTTTGTCACTAACAGTAGATTTTCACTTGCTTTGTGTTTTTTATTTGAAATAAATCTGGATTTATTTTGTTTTTCTGTTTTTACTATTTACTCGTTTTTATTTTACAACAATTAGCTTGGCTAAAGTGTGTCTTAATTTACTAAAAGTTCTTCTTTCGGCTGTGATTCAAGGATAAAAGCAAATTAAACGATGCGCGGATTTGAAAATTAATATTTGATTACCATTTAATATTGCAATTGTTGGCCTGGTTTTGGTTGTGTTTTTTTTACGGTTTTTATTTTATTTTCATTTTTTTAGGAGTCGCAGCTAAATGTTCTATATACAATATACATGATTTCGAGTTACACGTCTACCCTAACAGCGTTCCCTATATGGTATGTGTATGAAATACAATCCAATTAAACTACAAATTCCAACGATCCTTAACAAATTACAATGTACTAGAGATGTATCTTGCCAAGTGTGTAAATTTCATATATATATATATATTTCAATAATTATATATAATCATTGTTTATCATTGTGTGTATAGTTCTCAATTCTTTTACTTTATTTTCCATTCATTTAACGGCTTAGATTTTAAAGTCTTTCATTTCGTAGGAATTTGATGTTGTCTATGTATGTTTTTTTTATAGCACTTTCGTTATGGATTTTTGTTCATTTTTAGTGGAGTGATTGGATGTGAAAATGTGATATTGGTGATTTAAGTTAAAGATTTGAATTATTTCAAAGGTGAGTGAAAGACTGTATGTAATGGTGAGTGATTGAGTGAGTTCATCTTTTTCAATAGGCTTCCGTATTTTTTTTTGTTTTTTCTTTTAGTTTTAGTTTAAATAAAGTCAATTCCTATATAACGATGCGCTCATTTATGTTCGGTTTCCTTTTTTATTTCCTGTGTATAATATATATATTCTTTATAAATGCAATTTTAGAACTTACAGTAGGTTCAAAAACGTCTCATTACTGGTTTAATTTGTCTATGTATAACAGTACATAAAAATTAAAACGTTGCTTGAGCCATGAACCACCCCATCTACCGTCTCATGTAATATTCATTTTTGATGCTACACTAGTCTATGCCTATATGTATACATATTCCTTCATTAACTACGATTTGCTAGACTTTTCATTCGATTTGTGCTATTTACGATTTACGATTTGTAAACTATTAAAACTTTTTATCGAGTGCACTTTTTCACACGGACACACACAAGGATCTATACAAACTTTCTAAAGCTAACTTAGCTAATAAGGAATCAAGCCGAATCCCCCATGCTATGGAGGTCTGAGAGATGTACATACAGTATAGTTTGGTTCCTGAAGTCTAGGAGTGGGGTTGGGTTCGAATCGAAAATTCTGCCTAAAATCATAACTTAAGGAAATGGGAGAAGGCCGCCATTTTGGGTGATCTTTTCTAAATATTTTCATCTATGCATACAATATAGAGAGCTCTAGGAGACAGCACTGAGCAAAAGAGGTTCAAACCAAAAACAATATTCACTAAAAACGCAACAGTTTCTTTACCCTCATTGTGTTTTCTTTAAAAATGACTAACTTTAACATGATCTTTACTTAGGTATTTCATCGACTTACTACAACTTTTTGGTTTTCGGTTTCAACATTAAAGCCTAACAATTTGCTTAGTTCAGACGCTATAGCGATTTTTGTTTTATCTGTTTTATGTTTTAAGTTAAAAGTATTTCGTTTTTCAATATTAATTCTAAACACGTTTAAGGTACAATACATATTTCATTATTCTACAAAATTGCTGCTACCAATTCACTTATTTAGCTCAGCTTAAAGTTGATACAAAGTTTATTAAGTACGCTTCATCCTTTTTATTAAATCCTTCTCCTGTCAGACGTCACTTTTGTTTGCATTTTATATTTTTTATAATTTTCTGTATAATTCACCTATCACGCAAAGGAAATTGACAAGTTTTTTCATGTACGATGCTCATGAGTATCTGAAATATAAAATATTTATATATATTAGATATATATTAAAGTAAAGATTAAGTTTAATTTAAAGCATAGTTAGAAGTATTAGTTTTTATCTTTATATTAGTTACAGAGTGAGTGAGGACATTATATATATATTAGTATAATAAAAGTGGTTTTTGTGGAAATGTGCCATTTACTAAAGCACACAAATTGTGAAACTTTGATAGCAGTAACATAAGCAACCATAACCTTTGAACTCCATCGGCTGGTCCTAATCAATTGTGTCAATACCCACGAAAATGGCTAAAATCTCTATTCAAAATTGAAAACATAACGATTAAGTACGTCAAAAGCTATACCAACAATACTATAAGTTGTATACCACATGCAGCGGGCTAATGGGTATATCCTTAAGGGGAATCCCAGTACTCACCTTGTGTGATTGCGAGTGTAGCAGCAGGTGTGGCATGTGCGGATGTGCTCATGAGAGAAGCGGGCTGCGAAGATGACGCAGCGCCGGTGGCAGAGGCGGCACTTGTTGCCCCATTCAGTTCTGTGCCCTTGGTGTCGCCTCGTTCCACCAACCGCTGTCGCAGGACTCGTATTTTTTCCTCTTTCTGCAAATTACAAAAATTTAATTTTTTAAAAACTTCCAGAAATCGTTTAAGGTACTCCGCTTGAGAATCGGATTAGGATTGGGGAAGATAGAGCCATCTCTGTGGGCCATATAGCGGAAAACCTCATTTTCTAGGGATCCCATCACGAAAAATGGACAAAAAATCTAAAAAATATTTTGTCTGGAGGTTTTGGTGCAGAATGCTGGCGAATCGATCCAGAAATCGTTTAAAGTACTCCGCTTGAGAATCGGATCAGGATTGGGGAAGATAGAGCGATCTCTGTGGGCCATATAGCGGAAAACCTCATTTTCTAGGGATCCCATCACGAAAAATGGACAAAAAATTTAAAAAATATTTTGTCTCGGGGTTTTGATGCAGAATGGTGGCGAATCGATCCAGAAATCGTTAAAAGTTCTCCGCTTGAGAATCGGATCAGAATTGGAAAAGATATAGCCATCTCTGTGGGCCATATAGGGGAAAACCTCATTTTCTAGGGATCCCATCACGAAAAATGGACAAAAAATCTAAAAAATATTTTGTCTCGGGGTTTTGATGTAGAATGGTGGCGAATCGATTCAGAAATCGTTTAAAAGACTCCGCTTGAGAATCGGATCAGAATTGGGGAAGATAGAGCGATCTCTGTGGGCCATACAGGGGAAAACCTTATTTTCTAGGGATACCATCACGAAAAATGGACAAAAAATTTAAAAAATATTTTGTCTCGGGGTTTTGATGCAGAATGGTGGCGAATCGATCCAGAAATCGTTTAAAAGACTCCGCTTGAGAATCGGATCAGGATTGGGGAAGATAGAGCGATCTCTGTGGGCCATATAGCGGAAAACCTCATTTTCTAGGGATCCCTAGGAATCACGAAAAATATACAAAAAATTTAAAAAATATTTTGTCTCGGGGTTTTGATGCAGAATGGTGGCGAATCGATCCAGAAATCGTTTAAAAGACTCCGCTTGAGAATCGGATCAGAATTGGGGAAGATAGAGCGAACTCTGTGGGCCATACAGGGGAAAACCTCATTTTCTGGGGATCCCATCACGAAAAATGGACAAAAAATTTGAAAAATATTTTGTCTCGGGGTTTTGATGCAGAATGGTGGGAAATCGATCCAGAAATCGTTTAAAGTACTCCGCTTGAGAATCGGTTGAGTGTTAGGGAAAACAAAATTTTTAAGGGAAGATACAAAAATCTTTTGATTTCTGATCTTTTTGATTTGAATTTGTTTTAAATACCTGTGTTATTAAACGTTGCAATTCCTCATTTTCGGTAACCAGTTTCTGATAACGCTCCTCATCCTCTTTCGATATGGCCGAATCAGGGTTGTACTTCGATTCAGCTTTATCCTTCGGATGTCGTATGACCTCAATTACCTACGGTTGTTTATTATTAGTTTATTAAGCTGTATACTATATAAAGAACTAACCTTTGGCACAAATATCAGCAGCATGCTTAGGAAACAACAGAATATCACAGCTAGAGCAACGAAGGCAAAGGACGCGTCCTGTTGCGATGCAATGACCATGCCCACCGGAGCTGTTATTAGACAGAGAACTACTACATTATAGATGCTCATGCCCACGTATCGTGAATCGTTGATTTGTTTCACTTTAATAGAGCGCGTCTCATAGGCCAAGAACAGGCCAAATACCAGGATTAAACCTTTGAAGCCGTAGACAAGACCTGAAACAAAAAGATTAACTATTTAGTCAAAGGACTAACTAAGAATAGTTAGAGTACCCACCCAACCACATGGAGTTGCGTTGACTTTCACAATGCTCAAGCTCTGGACGTATTTTAATATCATCAGTAGTAGATACTGGATCTTCGAGTGGGAATGTTTCGAGATAACGCTGCAGCGGATCAAAGATCTGCCATGAGAGTAATATCACTAAATCTATTGATAAGAGGCCCGAAACCATGGTGTATAGCTTCCAAGGTTCTACCTTTTTCTGAAAAATATATTAAAATATTATCAATATATTTAATACATTAATTTCAAGTCAAACTTACCTTTGGGTCAGTTTTTGCTTTAGTTGTAAATCGATGCACACGCCAGACCTTGCTGAACATAGCACCATATGCTAATGTAAAACCGGTGGATAGTAACCAAGCTCGAGCTTGACATATCTATTTAAAAACATATATAGATTAAAGTATTTAAAAGATATATGTGTCCTTACCTTTGGATATTCCTCCGGGCTGACAAAGCGTCCGTCAATACCCAGTAAGATGACAGATATTAGACAAATGATGACACCAAATAACATGATGGTATTGCAAACGGGATGCGAGGACTGTATTACTCTAGAAATTTAATTAAAATGTTTATAAATGCATTTTGAAATGGATAATAGATGTTATACCTTCTATGCTTATTCCATATATTAAAGATGATCAAGGCAAAGGCCACAAAGATGCCACAACTGGATATTGTGCACATGCATACAAACAATGGCAAGGACACGGTGCGCAGGACATGCGTGACAATTGTTCTATCTTGAGGAACCTATAATAGAAATGAAACTCCATTCGTTACAATAATTACAAACAATTTTAATACATAATAGAACATTAACAAATATTAATTTTGAAACAATAACTTTATAATGAATCATGAGTTTTAAGAACTTTCTGCATCTTTTCGCGACTCTTCTTGGTGGCAAGAACTACATAAAAGGAAACATGCCCCAGGCCCTGGCCATCTTGATTGATATTACGGGCATATATTTGGCACTTAAGGTGGACACGTTCATTGGGTTTCAGATTTTTAATCCTTACAGCCACTATTCGGTTCACATCCGCGGGGCTAAAGAATGAGGTTCTGTTGTCTATCATGTGCTCAACTTTCGACTCGATATCGGTGTATTTCATTTGAAAGGCCGGCTCTGGATAGTATTCAACCTTGACGATCTTCTGGGGATTGGTACGGCAATTGATCCATGTCCGATTTTCGCGATCTGCATCGGACGGTATGCTGTTCAAGAGGCGCCTCAGAGCCATGTAGTCCTTCATGTCCATCTTGCCTCTAACCACATTATCGGCGTGGGTGAATGGATCGGTCTTGAAGCCGATTATGCGGTTTATTTTGATGAAAACACATGGTTCGCCACTCTCGTAGCCAAACTTCTCGCTGGCAACACAGGGCCCGAAACGTGGGTTATGCCCAGAATCGCCATACCTCTCCATCATTGTGAGTACTTTGCTACACTTCTCCATGACCTCCGTGTTATTCCGCGGATCAAAGGCTATGGAATACGGGCTGGACTTGGGTCCACTTGGTGCAAGGCTCAAGGATGGCTGGGACATTCTCAGCATGGGCTGCAAAAGGCTAGTGTTGGTTGTGATGTGATCGAACCAGGCCATGGCGAAGAGCAGTACAAATAGTAGATAGCCTATTGTAAACAGTATAGTGTATAGCCAGCGGCTGGGTCGTCGAAATATGTGCCTGCCCTGTTCGTCCTTTTTGTAGTAGTATCGTCGCCAGTTCCGCTGCGGGAAATGGTGCTCACAGTCCTCGTAATACAGCCGACTGCGTGATTTAATGTCCAAGTCTATAGGATTCTTCGGCGGCTTCATTTTTTTTACAATCAATTCATTAAGGTGTCCCAAATCCGGGTGGATCGGATCTGAAAACTTCACAGGTGTCCCATCGTCAATTGCCTCGTAGTACTTTGGGGTATTGGTTCCTATATCCCTCATTTTGGCGTGAACGTGGAGCCGGGGATGGGATATGTTTGACTGTAAAACTTGTGCCGGAATAGTGGTGTTGACACCCACATCTCGGGGTTTGGCATTTGAGCGTCCTACCGTAAAGGTGACGGGTTCTGGTTCAGAGACTGGTTCGGCGTTCTCGGCGTGAACCTCAACCTTTGGACGAGGCTTTCGGCTTACGTCCGTATTCACACCCATATATCTATATCTCTTAGTGACTTTTCCAATGCGAACCTTATCTTTGCGCCTCAGTTCTTGTGGTTCCCCGGAGATATCGTACAAGTTGTCCTCGATGGGGAATCTCCACCTATTCAGGCCCGTTGGCTTTGAATCCATTTTGGCTTTCTTATAATAATTTCGAGATGCCTCGGAGATTTCAGTTTGGGATTTCCGTTTCCCAAGGATATAACACTTTTTCTTCTCTTTCTTAACGTCTTCATCCTCATCAAATGAGGAAGGATATCCCACTTCCTCGATATGACTCGTGGCTGTGCCAGTGATTTTGGCACCTCTGATCTCGTCGATGGGCTTATCCGATCTGCGATTTCTCATAAAGTCATGGGTTGACTGTTCATCCTGCTTGAGTTCCTTTAGTTTCCCGATGTCGATTATTTCGGCCAGAATCACGGATCGCTCGTCCCCACTTTGGTTTGTCCCCCAGGTGCTGTTCGTGGTTGATGACCCATACAAGCTATCGTCCTCCCCCATTCCCTCATCGTCAACGTGATAGCCCGACGCGGTGGCAGCTGTGGAGATAGACCATTCATCGTCAGGACCGCTTGTTGTTGTCTTTTCGATTGGGTAAATGCCACTTTGGGTACCCCGGCTTGTATATCTGGAACCGTCTCGCACATGGGATTCGGTCTCGTCCTCCTGGGTATCGGTTAAGCTTTGATAGTCCAACATCGATTCAAGGTACTCGTTACCCTCGACATCGTCATCATCATCGGAACCAAAAGTGTCCACGGTTCCCCTTCTTCTACCAACTTCTTGGTCTTGGTCAATTGTCTTTTTTGAGATTATAGTTGAAATGGTAACTGATTTTCCAAAATCGCTTCTTTTTCGGCTTTCTTCGTCATCATCGCTATCACCGGATTCTACACCTTCGAATGTCTGCTTTCTATTGGTACTAGGTCTTTCATCATCTAATCCTGACTTTGACGACTTTTGTTCTTTTAAAATGCTGGTGGTTTCCTCACTATATCTTTGAACTTTTGTATCTTTATCATCTTTTGGTTCTTTACGATCTTCTAGGGATTTCTTTTTGATTGAAATTGATTTTCTATCGGATGTTCTTTCGGATCTTCTTTCGGATCTTCTATCGGAGACTCTTTCGCCTTGCAGGAGATCATCGCTAAGGGCTGATGGTAGTGGCTTCTTGGTAAATACAAACGAACCACTCGCCTTCGAATCAGAGTCCTTTTTTTTGGATACTGCAGAAGGTCTAGAAGGTCTTTGTATCTCCGATTTTCTTTCTGTATCTTCGTTTTTAAACTGTTGCTTCGAAACCGAGTCCTTTTTTTTGGGTACCGGGGAAGGTCTAGTTTGAGTGTCTGACTTTCTTTCTGTATCTTCGATTTTAAACTGCTGCTTCGAAACAGAGTCCTTTTTTTTGGGTACCGGGGAAGGTCTAGTTTGAGTCTCCGACTTTCTTTCTGTATCTTCGATTTTAAATTGTTTTTTTGTGCTGCCCTCGGGTACCTCCTTGGGCTTTAAATCGGGATCATCGTTTTCCACAATGGAAACACCGCGATTACTTTCTCCCTTGTTGTCACCTTTATTATCTTCTTCCTCAGAAGAATTTTTTGGTTTTTCATCTTTTGGATTTTGTTTTTCCGACATTTTGTTAGAATACTTTCTGCCCCAATGCCGATTCGATACAACTGATATTTCTAAGGTAACTAAATACTATAGGAAGCCTACTCACCTTGCCACCAATCCATTGCTCGGTGTTCAACCATGTCAGGTTGTCCAATTGGGTATCGTAGTAGCCCAACTTTTCGTACTTTCCATTCACCATCTGTTCGATCTGGGTAAGGGCAATACGATCGCCCTGAGAACTGAATGCCACCACACCCTAAAAAGACAATTTTTAGATTAATTTTACTTAAAGATGTGGTTTTATAGGAAACCCACCGAAACACCCAAAAACTGGGTAGAGTTCATGGCTGCGTAGATCTCATCGGCTATTTCTTTATCCGTGTAGGTAAAGTCCCTAAGCGATTTGCTGCCAGAGGTCAATCGTTCCATAGTCTTGTTAAAGGCCAGAGCCACACTCCAAACGGCATCGTAGGCCAGTGGCGCCTCCTGGTAGCCCTCAGGATAGCGATCGTGATCGATGTCATAGCCCTCGTCTATCAATGCTTGATTCAGTCGATGCCTGTCAACAGAAAACATTATATCCTTCTTATTTCATTAGATATCCTTTTTATATTTTACCGAAATTCCTCTGCAGTCATTCCGGATATTGTTGTCTGATTGTTCTGATTCCACATCAGGGCTTCTGTGGTTAGATGTCCTTCGGCGGCAATCCGCATCTGTTCCACAGTACACGTGATACCCTCGGCCTTCAAGTTGACCTCATACCAGTTGTCCTCATACCAGCCTGAATAAGAGTCATTAAAGGACATGGTTCTCTTGAAATTAAAGATGTTACCTATGAAAAACCAGACATGTGCCCGGCCATAGAGCTGCTGCTTGTACATTTCGCAAAGGACTCGCCTGGCAGCCACGACGTAGAAGAGTCCCACAATGATGCGTGCATCCTGGCGTCGCAAATTGCGCACGGCGTCTGTTGGATCGGATAGAAATGATTGTCTAGTTACGATTTCAACGCCAGCCTCCATGCATCGATTCTCGAGATCCTCTACGGTCTGAAATGGCATTTCCATTAGCGTTCACAAACGGAATAGGAAATTGGATTTTGTGCCACATACCGAAATGAAGACTTCCTCGGCCTGCTGCAGGATGGCGACTCGGGACCAGCCGAACTTCTTCATCAGCTTGATGCGCGTCGGATTGTGCACCGTGGCCGAGGGATGGGTCCGGAACAGGGTGGGGAATCTCTTGCGATCCGATAGGGCGGGACTCGAGGCTCCATAGCAGAGCTGCGGATGGGATGCGGATTTTGAATGAAGCCAAAGGTCGGACTCACTCGTCTGGCATTATGCAAGTGCCACTTACCACAATGAGATTCCACATTTTGGCAGCCTCCGCCACCGTGGTGCAGACCGTGCTGCATCCCGCCAGCAACATTAGTTTTTGCGGCTTATTATATAGCAGATTGTACATCACGCTGGCGCCCAAACCGGGCTCACACTGTCGGGAAGGGAAAGTGAATTAGCGGAATAGACCAACTCGGAGAGATGCCAAAAAAAATTATATTCTACGTCACTCTTCGATAAATATTCATAAATAAGTTTCGCTCGACTGATGTCGAGAATTATTGATTACGCGGTCCATTCTTAGCAGCTACCCATGACGAGTTATTAATGTTCGATTCCATATAATTTATATGTTGGTCTTCATTGGAAAACAATTATGGTTATGATTAATATGCCGCCAAGTGGGAAGTGAGTGGAAATAGCATTTGGTTAAAATTCGAATTAGAAATATAGGGTATAGTTTGAAAGACATTTCAATTTTCATAGCCTTACTAATTTGTACCTCCACCTGGATAATACTTTGGGTCATGTTTCATTTTATTAATTCCCAAGCCATGGTATTTATCAATTAAACAGGATTCATTCATGACAATGAATAATTCAGGAATGCCTGTCGCTTCCTCTCCGTATTTTTGTTCATTTTGTCGGCACGTGGGGGATTGGGGGATTGAAAGATTGGGGGTGGCGTTACACATATCCACGTTTGACCATATAAATGATTCATTCATTCAGTTATTCATTCTCCCATTCATTCATTTACATGGCAAACTCGTTTTCGCTGTTTGTCGTTTCCGCTTCTCCAGCCAGGCCTTCAGTTCTGGCCAGGAAGGAGGCGACAGTTTTCATATTTCTTACTTGGTTTGCGTGTAAACAACCTTTCTAATTGTTTTCTTTTTTTTGTGTTTTTCTGTTTTGTCCTTCTCATGTCCAGCCCCTGTTTATGCATAAGTATTATCCTGTTCCTACACCCGCCATCAATTTATGTTTAGTTGTGTGGCATGTCCTAGTGACTCCCTTTAAAGATACTCTTGCTCAGGGTATGGACTAAAATGAGACATCTAACGAATTTAGATTGACGTTGGCTTACTGCAATAATCTATCTGTAAAACATCTGTTTTATATATATATATCATTTTAATGGCCAACAACCACAAACCTGGTCCAGTTCTGAATTCATAAAACGTTCATAAAAACGAAATCACGAAGCGGACATTTGGCTGCCACAAAACTGAGCGACAGGTAATTCATAAACGTACAACGTCCAACGTCCAACGACCAGTTGGTGGGCACGTTTACGGATGTGTCAACCGTGTGCGTTTAGATCGCAATCTGAAATAGGCCGGACATTTTGAACTTTTGACCAGAGGAGCATGCTCTCCGCAAATGCAATTTTGGCCAAAAGCGAAAGGTCATTTCTAGATTTGTTTTTGGTATACAATTTAAATGGAAATTCAGTGAACTTGGCCTTGGTTTTAGGATTCAATACTCTTAAGTTGGAAAGAGTATTACCACGATTGTCTTAAAGCCAACCACATTTTTATTATTATTATTTTTTTGTAGTCTCAGTGCTTCTGGGCGGGCTTCTCTGGGACATTTTCACACATCAAAGTAGGTCAAGCAAAAGGCAGCGACTCTGACTGAGGCAAAGGCAACGGCAACGGCAAAGGCAAACATTGCGTGCGACCTTTGCCGCTTGTCGCTTGCCATGTGATGTGGCATGGGAGATGGCAACTAATTATGCAGCATTTAACGGAAGCTGTTTGCCTAAGCCACAAACGTAACGCGCCCGAGCTGTTGTCCTGTCCCCGTCCTGGCTCGACTCAGGGCCCAGCGAAGCGAACTCAACTGGACTAACCAGAAGAGAATATACTGGGACCACAACACATAGAGGACATACATAGGAATACGGAACACAGAACTGAGAACTAAATAGAGATGAACGGACCAGAACTGAATTTACCGGAGGTCCTGCTACTAACCAAGCTCCTTCTCCTGCTTCTGGTCCTGTATTTTACAGGCTCTGGCCTTATCTGTCTGTCCGTATCTGGTTGGCGTGTGGGCTAAGGATAGTAAGGATAAGGGGATATACTAGAATAGTGTCTGTCCCTCCTGGCCAGCCTTGAATAAAAATAACTGAAATGATGAGCTACGACAGGGCCGGGGCAAAGTGACCTCATTCAAAACTCAAAACAAGTAGTTAAGCTTTCGCTCACTTAAAACTAATGAGGTTCGCGCTTATAAATAGGCAGGGCAGGGCAGGGCCAGCCAGAGCCAGCTAGAGCCAGCCAGGCAGGCCAACGAAACCAAAACCCCAAACGGAAACGGAAACCAAAGTAGTCAAAACCGCAACAACTGTACCGCAGACCCTTAAAATGAAAAACACCAAAAAATCTGCAAAAATATGTGAAAACTAAATAAAAATAGTATTTTATGTTCGCGCCAAAGGGCGCATTGATATACCAGCCAGTGTTAGTTGGGTTTGTTGTGTTTAGAAAACTGCGACGCTTACTGGCCATTTAAAATGATATATGGCCCTTTAGATGGCGGCCATTTATGTCTCATAGTGGTTGCTCTATTAGCTAACAAAAGTTTTCAAGAGATCCACTGAAATAAAATAGTTAAAGCCATAAACAATATTAAAATTTTTCTAGAACAGTAGCTAGTTGTGGATAATTCTATCCAAACAAAGCATTATTAAAGTACCATCTATAAATCCATTTATGTAAGACGTGACACTGATTGAATAAACTCGTATAATAGTATTTCTTGTTAACTACCTTTTATTAATTACAAATCACGCACTTAATGCCCCTATTAACCCAACTCTGTCGATGTAATTGCCATTGGCAGTACGCGAACGTGCTCTAAGCCAAGCCTCCAATACAATTTATGTGATGCCATTAATCGGGGAATCGGGGACATTGCCAAATATGGTTGGATATGGACATGGACATGGCAAATTTTGCGGAGAATTCCATTCAATTTGTGGAACACAGCAGGCAAATACCCTTTAATGCGGCACAATGGCAAAGGAATCATAATAAAACTGTTTGTTCTCTGTTAACGACCTCATCCTTTTGGCTCTCAGTGCCTCGTCCCCAGCCCCGTGATCCCCTAGAGAAATATGCTAATGAATGCCAGTGCTCAGCCAGCCTGAAACCAGTTGGTTGGAGCAGCACTCCAGTCATCAGTGAACAGAAACAAAAACGAAACAAAATAAGTGGCACCCAAGGGTATGTGTCGGCACGGGACACGGGCACGAAACTCGGGACACTAGGACAGACTATGGTCGTATATACATACATATATAGTATAGTAAGTAGGGCTTATCGCGTCCAACTCACATTCAACTATCACACTTGACGTGGACGAAGAGAGTACTCACCTCGCTGTCGTTGCTGTGCAGGATGAGCTTGAAGCCCGGCAGCAGGTTTGGCTGCTTGTTGACATCATCCAACGCCAGTCTTGCGGCCGGCATGCACGCCTGCCCGCCCTGCCATCCTCCCTTGCCGGCTATCGGAAAGATGCCACCGATGTGCAGCTCATCGGGCCTCCCGGCCTCGCCCCCCTCCAGGTGCGGCGAGGCGATCAAACAAAGCAAAAATATCCAAAACGTAACAGCACCATCACTTGTCATATCCTGTAACGGGAAAGGACACAGACAAACGCTTGAAATATGATTACTAAATTGGTGAGCGCGCAAAATACAAATCGGTGACTACAAATATACAAATACAAATACAAATACAAATAGCAATAGAAATACAAAAAAAAAAAATATACAAATAGAAATATAAGAAGGACCTCCCGATATCGTTCCCACCAAAAAACAAGCCCATGGGCGATGGCAACAAAACGAGACAAAACGTTAAGGGAAACCAAAACCAAGGCAAACCAAAGCGAGCGTCAAGCTTCGTTTTATGTGCCAAAGCAATTTTTATGACTACATGGGCAAACGTAAGCAATTTATACACTTTGGTGTGTTCCTCAAAGTGGGGTATACTCCGTGGGTTGTGGAACTCAACCGCACCTCAAATAAGAAGTATTTCTTGTAAATAAAATGGCTGATACATATTTCAGTGAGTCTGATTGAAGAAATCCTTTATTCTCTAATATAATAATCCAATCAAAATAGCTTGATTTTTAATTCAGAAGTTTTATTCCTTCTTTAAATCGAATAGCCATGACTATCATATTATATTCAGTTGCTGACTAGCCATTTTTTTGTTGTGCCCCAAAAGCGAACATTATGATCTTGTGTTAACATTTTGTTGAAATTTATTCGTTATAATCCTCTTTATACAAAGAAGAGAAAACTATTGTTGTATTTCCATACAAGAAAGCAAAAAAAAAAAAAAAGAAAAGATTTCATTCATTCTTCTCCTCAGTTGGATTTAAAACGTCTTTTTGTTGCATACTTCTGGGATATGTTTTTGGCTGTCGCTTAATGCAGGATTAGGCCCCGGATTTTCGTTCATTTGTTCCTATATGCGTATATCTCTTTAAAGGTTTAAGAGCTTTTGTTCCATCTTGTTTTGTGTGTGTGTTTTTTTTTCTCGTAATATATGCAAATACTTTTAAACAAATTTTGAAATAAAAAGATCTCTGCGGCCCGCGAAATCCATTCCCCAAAATTGACGCAACTGTATGCATCTTAAATGAGTTTTTTTTTTTATTAGTTTTTCTTTCTGGAATAAGCTGTGAATTACCAAAATGACATAATATAAGCTCCACTTTACGGTAATTTTATACCCGCAAGATGTTGTGTATCTCCGTTTCATGAAATATTAATGATAAAATAAAAGAAATGTCAACACATTTTCCTTTTATCGATTGTAAATTGTCAATCTGGATTAGCTTAGGTCAGTTGCCCCAAAAAAGGTATTAAGGCCATAAAATTATCCTGTGTTTTTTTGATAAAAATCAATAATCGAATAATAGATATATCCCCTAAAATCATTTAAATTCATTTAAGGAATTTCATTTTAATTAAAACAATCTCATTAGGATGTGTAGCCCGAGTGGCTTCCACACTAATCCCAGATAATAGTTATCGCCAGCCACATGAGGCCAAATCAAATCTGCAACAAATTCAATTGTGTGCTGACCGAATTGAACTTGGATTTAATAGTAATTGTCTCTTTGTTCTGCCCCCCACCCGCCACCAGCCAGCACTGCCCATCAGACTGTGTCCTTTTTTTTCGCCTCCTTGTCTGGGTGGTTTTATTTAAGTTTTGATTTCCAAGCTTTTAAGCTTTGTTTCAATTGAGATTTGTCGAAACAAATAAATAAATAAGCAGTTTCTATTTATTCTGTTGTTGTTCTCCTCATTTTTTTTTATCCTCAGTTTTTTATTGTAGGTTTCCACCCAAAGGCAAAAGGCAAGGGCATTTTGCGCTTCGGCGCCTGAATTTTATGGCTTTTACTTGCTAACACCCCCACTGCCTTGGTCCGCAGCCCCTCTGGCAAGGTTCTAAACTCCAGCCAGCAATTTTTCCCTATAAAAACGTTGAAAAACTTTTACGTTTGGGGAAGCCTCCTTATCTTTTGTATATGTCCCAGCGAGTGCGAGGTAGATACACGCATACTTAGAAACAGATATAATATGTCTGGATGGAGACTAAAAATATAAATATATAGATATTTAAAAAAAATATTTATAATTTGCCAAGGATATTCTACTACTGTCATTTGATGATATTAATATCAATATTTCGTCACCCCATAATGCAGTATAAATGCTGCCATTAAAATACTTTAATTAATTAGCATATACACGTATGCACCTGTGTTGTACAGTAGTACGTGAGCTTTTTGCACTGCAGGTGTATTTTTAGGCGTTGAGTGGAAATAATTCGTAATAGGCTTCAAATTGTATTAAAATTTGTGTCAGCGAAATTATAATTTGTTGTACAAGGATAAATATTTGTGAATTTTTTATGGAGGCGGAGAGGCGAGACTTTCGATGTTTGATAAATGAAAAAATAATTTCTCTTTCACACTCTTGGACTCACATACAAGCGAAAAATTTTCCATTTGCATTTTATTCATAATTTTTTTTTTATTTTGTCAAGTATTCTTGTATGAGTGTCGGTGGTTATTGAATGAAAATGCTTACGGCGGTAGTCATCATGTATGTACTATATGTATGTATATTTCGCACAACACACCCAGACTTGTATATATAGTCAGTCATTCAACCACCACAACCACTTCAAATTTGTTTGCCAGTTAATCTCACTGAGGCGTTAATCATGCTGTTGAGGTGGGCAGGATGGTATGAGTATCGGGGAGTGTACAGGCGTACAGGTAGGTAGGATGTACTAAGCTAAGGTGTGGTTGGAGATTTTGCGAGTTGACACCTTTGACGGTGGAAGCCAGTTGGATAGGTACGGGGGCTAACTTCCTAGTGACCTAGTTTACAAACACACACACCACACACACACACTTAAAAAACTCACACTCACAACATTAATTACGGCGAGAATTCTGCACAAAATGCGACAAATGCTTCACTTCACTTGGCTGCCTCTTCACCTGGTACCCCTGCCACCTCCTCCTCCTCTACAGTCTCTCTCCTCCACTCGCATCTCCACTTCCACACACTCCATTCCACTCGGCACTCTAGCTTTTGCACCTCTCCTTTACAGTTACACCAAAAATAAAATGTTTTGTTTAAAATTAAACGCCTTTCTGTTGTCTTTTTGTTAACAAATTGTCTAAAAATAATAATAATGGTCTTTTAAATGGTAGAAATTAAGAAAAACGAAGGTTGCTTGTTGAAATAGACGAGTCTTTTAAGTAAAGAAGGCCTTTGCCTAGAAGGCATGCTGACACAGGCTTACATTGCGTATACGCAACGTATGATGGGGTAAGGTTTTATTGAATTAAATTAAACACCATTACAAAAGTGTTCTTAAATTAATTATAATAGAATATAATTTATACATTTTCTTTAAAATTAATACTGTTACTTAAGTCTAAGATACAGGACGTATACGTAATATTTCGAAGAACTTAAAATTCTTAAATAAAAAGCGTTAAGCCCTTTTAATTTTAACTTTTATTGTATTTATTTTATAGTTATTTTTTAGTTTTTTATTTTTTTTAGTGCAAAGGATATTCGTGCCCCTCTCTGCTTCTCCTTCCACTTCACTTACTTTGCGTATTGCCGTTTAAAAATGTGATGCGATTTTGGTGGTGGTGGCTATTGTTTTTGTTGCTGCTCCTGCTGCTCCTGCTCCTGGTGCTCCTGGTTGTTGCTGCTATCGCAATTGCCGTTGTCTCTTCTCCTTGGTCTTCGTTTTTGTCTCTGTCTGCTCCTTTGCTCCTTTGGCCGGTGCTTCAATTGTTTCATAAGACGAGAATCTCTTCTTCTTTAGCGAGGCGGGCTGAACTGAAAGGGTGGTGGGGGCGTCAATAGGGCGCGTTTTTCCAAAGGGGTCACAAAGAGGCCAATTCAGTGATTGTTGTTGTTGCTGTTGTTGTTGCTGCTGATTCTGATGATGATGTTGGTATCGCAGCTATTGGAGCGGTGTTGTTCAAACATAATTTGATGACTGCGCATTACAATCGATAATCCCATGCACAAATGCAGCTCAGCGCATCGGCATTGACTTAAATCCATTTTAATGAAACGGATCCCGATAATTCCGTAATCCCCAAACGATGACTGCCACTAATTCTTTGCTGCAGCAGCCCCTTTCTTCTACTTCTTCTTCTTTTTCTTGTTTTTTTCCGTGTGGTTGTGGTTGTTGCACTTTCACAATAAAACAACAAAAAAACGGGGAACGTGGAAACTGAGTAGTTCAACTGATACACGGGAGGGGCTGGAGCTTTTCGGCCAAGCTTAAATTATTATCAAATTGTGTTGAGCCTCTTAGCGGTGTTGGCCAAAAATAAAAAAAACGGCTTAACTTTTAATTTCCTTTTAATTCTTTATTATAATTAATTTTTCTATATATATATTTTCTTCTACAAATCTCTGTTAGCTTTGCTCTCTTTCATTTCATTGAACTGAATTATTAATGTATTGGTTAAATTTCACTAACGGTAAACCTTAACACCACACTTCACATTATCAATTCCATTAGACACACTTATTTATTTGTTAATTTTACGATTTTTTGATACGATTTGGGAGTATTATTTGGTGCACAGAGTGGAGTTTTTTTTTTGTGTCTATTTTTTGTAGAGACTTTTTCGCATTGTATTCGGGGGATGAGACGCGGCGAATGGCTCCTTCTGTGTTCGTTGTGTTCCACATGTATCCGACGACTGGAACTCCATGACTGACATTTACATTTTCGCCTCGCCAGGACGAAAGCTTCTCGACGAGATGTGTGGAAAGCTTGCGTGCCGAAAGCTTCGGCTTCCGCTTTTCCAGTCGGTTGCCAAGACGGTTTTTGAAGTTTCGCTTTTAGTTTGGTGGCTAAGTTGAAAGTCGCGAAACTCTCCGGGCAATTACCGTTATTAGGGCGGTGGGTGGACCTCCACCAAAAGCATGGAGGCCAAAAGAGAAAGAGAGATAGAGAGGGAGTGGGGTGGAAGTTGGGTGGGGTTTAAGGACACCGGTTTTATAGAGTTGTCAAATGGCCTCAGGAATGGCCAGTCAAAACATCAAAATTCACTCGCAATTGGCCAAGGGCAGCAAACCACCAACAACAAAAACAATAATAACAGGAAGAGGAGGAACAACAACAACGGTAGTTGGTAGTATGTTGTAGTAGTAGTACTTCCTCCACTGGAGAGCTGGGGGCTTTGTTTTGAAAGCGAAAGGGAAACCATTATGGGTTGCATGCCATATTCAAAGCCAAAGTTAAGTTTCATTTTTTGGGGTCGCCAATCGACTCAAACATGCAAACACGCACGGGCCTCGGCCGGGACCATACCAGGCCATCAAGGCAAGGTGAGGTCCTTGTCATTTAACTCACTTGTCGAGTTGACCTTTTGTTGCCTCGGCTCGACTCGACACGAACAACAACAACAACAACAACCAAAAAATAACTACAACACCTAATGCCCAAATGCCACGCCTTGAGCTTGAGCCATAGCAACTTGTACACCGAGTTACCTATATTTATGGGGTACCCGGTACCCCCGGGCCCGGGCGCGACTGTGGGAACCGTGGCCAACCCGAAAACAATCCGAAGGTCCTCGATACACACAACCCCCTACGGCTATGGCGGCATGTGCATGTTTGATGAGCTTATCAAGGCTCTCCCGGATTATTGAATATTTTTCAAAATCGATAGCGATAGCGTACTTGATTTCCGGCATTCACAATTAGTTTGCAACTTAATTGGCTCTGAATAAATAATAATTGACAATTTTACAATTGACTTGACATCCTTAAGTGGCATCCATTCGAAAGGACACACTATGTCCATGGTCAGGAATAGACTACTATTTGTTTAGACCGATTGTTTAAGCCAAGGCTGCTGACTGCTGACACCGAACGGAAATAGCCAAATTCATCAACATGGGAAATCAATTGTTCAAATATTTATGAACTAAACCGGTGGAGTATTGAAATGCACTTTTCCTCAAAGTCCTGGCCACAAAATAATTGGGGAAACTGAATTCATTTATTTATGAGGTCAAATGGCATCTACAAAGCCAGTAGTATTTATTGAGGTGCAAAATGGAAAATGGCAAATACTGTATAAGGATCTTAATGAACTTTCATATTGATTTGTTTTTCTGAGGCGTGAGGGAGTTTCTAATCGGGGAGGATAAGGATTAAATGTTAGGGGTTGGCTTTGAAATCTGATTTGTTTAAACTTTAAAGAGTTTTAAAAGTTTGTCTATTATTGAATTTTATTAATATTATTATTTAAAAGGTAAGTTATAATTAAAATTAATACTAACACTATGGGTAAAACAATGACAAAGAAGGCCTTCAGCTTAGTATTTATATTTTTACATATTTATAGTACATTTGCTTATTTATTAATATTATTATTATTATTAGAGAAATTCAAACATTTTTATTATGTTTTTATTATTTATTAATTCCATAAAAAATAGAAAAAAGGTTCATCTTTTACAAACTATAACTAAGTATCCTCTACTTCAAAAATTTTAAATATTACATTTGTTTTTTGGGAAAATAAACCTAGAGGGGAAGTAAATTAAAAAAAGACTTTCTGTCAATCATTTTTGAGTCTGAATGTCAAAACTGAAAATAATTACTAAGCTAACATTTGACCTCAACCTGGCTGGCATGGAAGGAAAACCGCATTCAACTAAGCCAAGAGTAACTACCACGATAAATGTTAAAACACTCGAGCGTTGAAAGGCAGAGTTCAAGTTTCTCTTTGGCCAGAAAAGAACCACAAAAGATTACCGAGCGATGAGCTGCAGCTCATCATCTTCACATGGGCTTTCAATGGGTGCCAACGTGCGCGGCTAAGTCCTTGGGCATACATACTATACTATGGTAGAGTATACAATAATACATATATGGAGAAATATGTGTGGAACGCTTTTTTTTCATCTTTCGTTCTTTTCATTTCTTTTACCTTCTTTTCGGTTTTTGTGTTAAATTGTTGCGTTAACCAAGCCAACCCGCTCCAGGGGCAATCCTTGTAAAAAGTTTAGCATAGCGGAACGCTCCACACAGACATGGACACACTCTCTGAATCATTCCCGCTGAGTAGGAGCATGGGCCTGATGCTGAAGCTGGCGAGGGGCGAGGGTAAGGAGGCAAAGACCAGGACACCGTCCCGCCGCATGCCTGGCATGCGTTTTTCACATTGTTCCATGCGGTTGAATAAACACAATCCCCACCACCACACACACAAATACACACAGATATACACACACACACCAAGACAGACCCCCCCCCTCCCAACATATACATGCATTTTATGATCTACAGAGAATGTGAAAATGAGCGAGGATGCAGGATGGCAGGGAGGGGAGTGAGCGAGAGAGAGGCTGACACTTATTCGCTCGCTTGCCTCGACAGGCTTACAAAACAAACATTGCGGCATGTATTTTGTTTGTACACACTGCGTATACGTAATGTAAGGCCGCACATTTCCTACCTGCGTTTTGTCAGTGCCCAGCAGGACCAACACCCAGACCCATCACACAGACGACGAGCACATTGCAGTCACGTATGCACATTACTCAGTTCTGTGGCATTGTGGCATAGACCTTAACCCTTCAACGGCCAGGATCATCCAGCCAATAGGCATGGAACTTCAGAACTACTTGGACTCTTGCTTTGAAATATTTTAAACTAGTTTAGAACTTTATAATATTTTTTAATTTGTTATTAATTTTAAACACCCTGGAGCTATGTATGTATGTTTGGGTTAAAAGTGAACTAATTTACATAGACCTTATGGTACAATGCGCAGGCGGCCGCATGGAGAAGGTAACAAAAAGATTCATTAGGGCCAATCAGTGCAAAGCGAGTCGTGGCGAAGGACATGCGGAAAGGACCTGGCCAAAAGCGGTGGGTTAGTTGTGTGAAGAGAGTGCGGTGAAGGTAAAGGTAAAGGGGGAAGGTGGGAAACAAGGAGGGGTAGGAGGTGCCATAGGACCAGGGGACAGGAAAAGTCGTCGTGTGTGTAAACGTAAACAGCTAGGGTAGCCCTGGCTCTGGTTCTGGCTCGGGCTCTGGCTCTGGCTCCGTTGTTTGCCTTATAAATACGCACGCTCTACTTTAAACAAAGCAAACCGAACCAACCAACCGACCAGCCAACCATCCCGCCCGCCCAGGAACACCCATTCTCCACCAGCGCAACCCACTCTTGCCCACGTGCCTGCCAGCCTTCCAGCCTGCCTGCCTGCCTCCCAGCCTGCCTCCCAGCCTTCCTGCTTGCCTACCGCTTGTAGTAAACAATCAGTGTATGTGTGTGAGTGTGTGCGTCAGTGTGTGCAAAACAAATTTAAACTTTACACCCAAAGTTGATTTTTATGAGCAAAACTTTAAATAATGAAATTATCTGACAAGAACTTGGAGAAACTGGGCAAAGGATCTCAAGAAAAGATGGACAAAGAGAAACCAACGGGGGGGCAGTGGTTAAAGAGAGTATTGGGAAGGGTGGGCGGTAATGAAAGGGAGAGCTAACTGATTGCCTCAATATAAAGTTTTCTTCAGGCTCTTCAAAACCAATCAATGGCGTAATTTATGCCGTTATTTTTCCCCTTTCCACCATTGGCCACCTGAAAGTTACCACACTACCCCCCTCCGACGCAACGGTACCTTTGTTACGTTATCAAATATTTATTTACACTTGAGCTACGATAATTCATTGATGCATCGGGCGCCTGGCACGACACGCTCGTTCGCATCGGGGCCAGGGGCCAGGGGCCAGGCCAACCTGAACGGAACGGAACTGAACGTTTTGGAACAGAGCTACCAAGCAGAGTGGAGTAGAGCTGAGCGGAGCAGAGCAGGTTAGGTCGCTCGCAGGCACGACCCGGCAACGTAAACGTCAGGACTAACCTTTGTCCAATGTCCTTCAAAGGCGCCGTCGCCGTGAAAGCAACAGCTGTGCGCTCTCAGCGCCCCGTCCACGAAAGCTTTCTCCGACATCGTCGTCCTTCCAGTTTCGAACTTGTCTCAGCCATCCGAAAGCGTTCTTATCAAAGCTTTCGGTGGAACCGAACACACGCGAGTCAGTTTCTCCTCCCCCCAGAGAGGTTGGGTCAAGGAATATCTTAAGGAATATATTTACTTAGATAAGTTTACTTTTCAAAATTAAATATCATTGTTTATTTAATCTTTAATATTTTATAATCATCATAAGGCCTCTATAGAAAATAAAAGTTCTCATTATTATTATGATTTTAATAAAATTTTATGAACACTTTTTAAGACATATAATGCTACTTGACCCCACACTAAATAAGGTAGATAACACATTAGTTTTATATTTGCATGTTGATCTATAATATTCATACAGTTTTCAAACAATCTTTTAACTTTAATTGAAATAAATTCTTGTAGCTAATCAGTGTAAATATTTTAAAGGTGAAAACTTTAGTAAAGAAACCTCTGTAATTATTTGAAAATCTAAAAATCTAACTAAACACTTTCACATATAAAATGCCTAAAAATACAATCTGTTCACGCTTTCGAGTATGATCTTTTAAATATTTGGGCCACCATAAACAGGACTTGAAAGGACTCTTTTTACGTATAATTGGCTGGTTGCTGTTCAGTCGTCAAACTCAAACACGGGTTTGCCATTGGTATCCCAAGAGTTTTTGCATTTTTTGAAGGCACAAACCAGATAAAGTGCTGAAAAAAACCATAGTTAAATATTTATCATCAAAACATGCAAATAAAACTTACTTGCTGCTTCCCATTCTGATTTGGAGAGTGTACCCAGCGGTCTTCCGCGTTGCGTTGCCTGGAAGTTCCGAATATGGGCGAACTGTTCCTCGCTACCATGTCGCTGGGTTTGAACCGTTTCCAAGCCCGTCATACGCTGCAGGAGCTGCCGACCTTTGGGCAGGGTCTCCTTATAGTATTCTGAAAAGGTGGAACGCCGGATCAGCTGTAGGCCATATTTACGGCCCAGTTTCACCAGCGTTGGGAAATGCACCAGAAACTCGGGACAATCAACGACGCCCTCCAAGTGAAACTGGTACTTTGCTCCAAAAAGTGGCAGTGGATCTGTTTCGCAGTCAAACTCGATGCTGTAGACATCGTTTCCGAAGCGGCGCGTCTCTGGACCGGCTGCCTTCAGCCTTCGAACAATCTCATAGGCGTCCGGAATCGTGGCTATAAAGAAGCCGCCTGGCTTCAGGCACTCGGCCGCATTCCGCATCATGCAGTCGGCCTGGGCCAGCGATTCGAAACAGTAGTGAAACGCAAACTGGCAGGATACAAGATTCAGCTGCAAAGAAGGGTCCTTGTACCGTTCACGCAAGCGGACTAGTGTCGAGTCACAGGCGAAAAATTCGGCGGTGAACTTGTTGCTGAACTTTGAGTTCTCGGCTCTTCGCAGAATATCCTGATACCTCCGCTGGCACTGCTCTATTGAAACCTCAGCTATGTCCGTGCAGATGAGATGCGAGATGGACGCCTTTTCCCATTTGAGCAGGTCACCGCCCTTGCCACAGCACATGTCTAGCACGCGAAGAGCATCACCGACGCGCTTCTGTTCCTTAATTTGCGCCATGTACTCGTTGATCAGCTGGCTCTTGACCCAGTTGTTAAAGTTTCGCATGAAGAAGATTTTTGACTTTTGCCGGTCCTTGCGTCCGGCCTCCTTAAGCTCGTTGTAGTGGGTGGCCACCACATGTGTGTTTGCCGCTCCGCCGGCAGCTTCATCCTCCTGCGTCTCGCCATCTCCACCACCACCACCTTTTCCACCCGGCTCCTCGTAGAACTCCTGTGCCAGACTGCTGGATGTCGCAGGCGGTTCCTGGGGCCTTTCCGAGAGTCCTTCTCCATTGCTTTCACTTTCCTCGTCATCTGACAAGCTGACAGCCTTGTGTGCTCTCGCAAATTGCTCATCAGCGGCATTTTGTTCGTAATTTACGCTCATAATTTCACTAGATTGCCTTGTTGTGATGAGACCGTTCGAGCTATCGATGTTATCGGGTCGCTAGAGATGTATTTGACTCCCATCTCTATTTCTCTTACTGTTACCAGTGCTGTTAACTAACAGCAGCCATCAGCTGTTATCTTCTCATGCGGTCGCCTCAATGCGTTCAATTGGTTTTTTGAATAATTTCTACAAATTTCTGAATCCACCATTTTCCCGAGTTCTGCCCATTCGCAGAATGGCGTGCAGCAGGTTTGAGTATGTAAAGTCCTTCGAGCAGGACGACAGCATCCTTCCCAACGTGTGGATTGTGATCCGGATTGATGGCAAGAAGTTTCACAAGTTCTCCAAGACCCACGACTTTGACAAGCCCAATGATGAAAATGGTAAAAGGAGTAACTCTGTTTGAAGATGGTAAACTAAAGACGAATATTTCCCACAGCACTTAATGTAATGAATGCTGCTGCTACAGCTGTGATGCAAGAATTCCGGGATATTGTTCTGGCCTATGGTCAGAGCGATGAGTACTCCTTCGTTTTTCGCAAGGAGACTACCGCGTTCAAACGGCGATCAGCCAAACTACTCACCTATGTCACCAGCCTTTTTTCTTCGAGCTACGTGATGCAGTGGCCTCGTTGGAAGAGCGGTCCCCTGGCCTACGCTCCCTGCTTCGACGGAAGGGTAGTTTTGTATCCATCGGACGAGAATTTAAGGGACTATCTTAGCTGGCGACAGGCCGACGTTCATGTCAACAATCTCTACAATACTGCCTTTTGGAAACTTGTCCTGGACAAGGGTCTTTCGAATCAGCAGGCAGAGGAGCGGCTGCGGGGAACCTTCTCGGCCGACAAGAACGAGTTACTCTTCCAGGAGTTCGGCATCAACTACAACAACCTTCCGGCCATGTATCGAAAGGGAACGATTCTGCTCAGAAAGCGATTGGTGGACCGAAAGGGAAGACAAGCCATTGTGCCTCTACATGAAGATTTGATTTCTTCGCAGTTCTGGAAGCACCACACTGAGATCCTTGGAAAATATGTCCCTGGAAGCTACAGTTCACCAGAGGGACTTCCCAAATTGGTTGAGAACCAACTGAATGAGAAGCATTCTTCGGAGCAGGAAGACGAGCAGCCACAAATTAAGGCCGATATTAGCTGATAGTACAACTTATGGCAATATATTTTAAGATTAAATTACATTAGTGCATTAAGAGAAACCAATTGTTTTTCCGTTAGTAATCATCATCATCATCGTCGTCGTCATCTTCACTGGGCTTACTGGCTACGGAGCCGTCTGCCTGGGGTGGCCGTTGCACCATTGCCGCCGCCTGCATACTCATCCATTGCTGTTGTTCCTCGCGTGCCTGCTCCTCTCTGGCCTTGGCAAAGAGCTCCTGCTGCTGACGTAGCAGTTCTTCTTCGGGAATACCCAAATTTTCCAGCCTTGTGCTCTGTCTGCGGCGCTTGGCAGCCACCTCCTTGCAGTCGTGCAGCACGGCCTCCGCCTCTTGTTTATAGTCATGAAATCCGAGCCGTTCCAGCGCCTCCAGTACGTGTTCTGCATTGATGGTCTTTTTGTTACGCAGGTTGCACACTTCGTTAGCTTCCGAGCTGATCAAATGGATAAACTCTGAGCAGCAGTTAAGGATTAGCTCGCGACTCTCGTTTGCCACCCGCACTGTGGGCACCAGTTCTTTTATGATCTTATTGATGCTAGCTCGCGGTAGGGTCAATTCGTCGTCCTCGGCACTGGGCGGTAGCAAGTCCTCCTGCGGATTTGCCATAGCGTTGGTTAACTCTGCGAACGTAAACAAAATTTATTATATTTGTTGTTTTTCAAGACAGCATGTGGAGTGCTGGGAAATTTCGGAAAACAGAGCAATAAAAATATCGATATACATCATGCAATCGATAAATAGTTTTCCCATGACCAGTATTGGAAAAGTCCTTAACCATATGTAGGATAAACAAAACTGGAAGCTTTTGGTTTTTTATTGAATTTCTTTTGAAAATGGGAGACTACGACTCGGACGATGAGAAATCGCAGGTGGAGAAACTCCGCTATGCGAAGGTGCCGCGTGGAATGCATGTTAGTGGCTGGGATGACGATGCGGACGAGTTAATTGAGGAGGACAAGAATCCGCAATGTAAGTTAAAATATGAAAGCCGAATGTTTTTCTCATTGATTAAATTTCAGCCAGCATCGAGAGCATGATACTGTGGGCGGTTAACGAGAACCGCATTAGCGAAGTTCGCGAAATACTGCGCCTGGATGCGGACGCTGTAAACGCCCGGGATAACGATGGCTACACGCCACTGCACCGGGCCGCTTACAACAATTTCGTTGACATGGCCAAGTTACTGCTTCAGCACCGAGCCGATCCCAACGCTCGCACTGAGCTCGGCTGGACACCTTTGCACTCGGCCTGCAAGTGGAACAATGCCGACTGTGCCCACCTGTTGCTTCAGTTCGGAGCCGACATTAACGCAGAGTCGGAAGGCCAGCAGACGCCCTTGCACATAACCGCCACGGTGTCCAACTGTCGGAACACTGCCACAGTCCTGTTACTCAATCGTTATATCCAGGCCCGCAAGGAGAACAACTCGGAGGAACTGGCTTCTGTGATTGCCCGCCGCACCGGCATGAGTTTTCCGATTTTCGAGATTGGCGACGAGGCATACGATTGTGAAACTGGCTTGATAGATTAGTGAAATGAAAAATAATATACTTAATTGTAGAATACTTATATATTTATCTCATAAATAATGTATAAAATTAAGCAGTTTCAGTATTCCCTTGTGGAGCCAACTTTTCAAGCCAAGAGTCCAACTTTACTTTAAAACCGGAACTTGCATTAAAAAACTATTATTTTCAGCTGGCCGGAGCAGGGGTGCGAACGAAATGCTCGTAGAATGACTTTGTGTAGTTGACCATCTCCTCCTGCATGGCTGCAGGCACAAAGTAAGGATTTCCCTGACCGCCTTCAATGGTGCCTTTTTTAGTGTAGCGCATGTAACTGGACACTGTGGTTTCTGGTGGCAGCACGGCGCCGTCTTCAATCACACAGCAATCTTTAAGAGTGCATCGGCGGCCCTACAATCAAACATATCTTTATAAATCTTCTCTAGATGGCATGGATATCTTACAATGATAGCATTCTTTCCAATGTAGACACAGGAACCTATTGTTGCCGCCGAGACGACGGCGCCTTCACCAATGAAGACATGATCGCCTATGTGCATTGGAAAGAAGGCGATGCCTTTGCTAAACTGTTTGTAAGGCGGCCGGATGACAGAGTCCTTGCTAATCACGCAGTACCTCCCTGCTCGCACATTGGCCAGATCCCCGCGAATAATAGCTCCGCTTTGGACGATCACTTTGCCATTGAGGACGATGTTCTGGGAGCCACAGAGCACTGTGTGCCGGCTCACCTTATTTCCAGAAGCCTGTGTAACAAAAAACATAGTTTTAGTATGATGAGGTCATCAATAATTGGGATATAAAGCCATCGATGTGTATCATTGCCAATACTTGCCGTCTCAACGTATTCATCCTTGCTGTAGTAGGTGTCGGGAAGTTCCATAATGGCCTGGCAGTTTAGTGGGTTATTATCGCGACTGGTTTTTTGTATATTTTTACAGATGTTGTGGACTTTTGTTTTGTTGCGGTCAGGGTTGTCGCATTTATTCACATTGAGTGCTTAATAACACTACTGACATATCGATAAGTAGAACTATCGACTTTGACTCAAGAACCGCGAAATTTAAAAAAACCAATAAGCAGTCTGTAATTTCCCTAACAAGCCCATTGCATTTTCCATTACATCTAATTAATAATTAGTTACACGCGACTTGCAACGAATTATAGGCGTCTTCGACTGCCAAAGGGGTAATGCAGGTGTTTAAACCATAATGACCCTGACCTTTTGCAAGCAACAATCACGATGCAGATTAGACAGCTGCTCTTCACAGATTTAAATCTTCTGGCAGAATGAAAATGTGAATAATTGCCGCTAGCCAATTCGGCGCACAGCTGGCGGCGAAATCAACGAGTCTTGGCCTCCCTCCCCCCGCCGATTGGTGTAACCTTCCGAAAATTCAACTTCCCGCTGTCCGGCTCTGCAACGATGTTCCAATTAATGCTCTTTAATAATCGCGGCCCAGCCCTGTGCTTAACCTTCAAGGTGCACGCTCGAATGCCCATGCCTCGTTGCGGGCTAATCATGGTAGCATTTTAATTTGTTTTGCGTTTGCGTATATCAGTTTCTATTTTTTTTCGTTTGGTTCTCTGCCTTTTGCAGAAGTCAATCGATTAGGGTTTGCCCAAATAAAGGGTATCATTATGCTGTCAGCATGTAAATGAAATAGCTTCATAAACAGTTTTTAATTAATGATTTGAGTGCCTCCAAGCTATTCAATTCATTATATCTTTATGAAAATCATATTTTCCCCACTTGACCTTCATCGAGTGAACCATCTGAACTTTGGCATTATTGTTTTTCTTCGGAAATTAATTGCCGACAATTGTTTTACTTTATTGATTTGCTTTGAAGAATCCGCCTCACGAAAAGAACAGAAACCGTCTAACCTTCAATATGAAAAACCACATTAAAATCTATTAATCTGTTTGGTGTTTGCACTTTTGAACCTAAGGTTAATAAACTTGAACTTGAGCAATGTTTGGAAATTAATTGAGTTGTGCACACAAACAGCTCTCAAATGAGTAGACTGAATAAATGATTTGGAATTGTTTCTTTTCGGTTCTTCAGATTGTGTCTATAGTTGTGTGTTGTTTTCATCAAGAGGAGGTTGCGAATAATCGGTTATTAATTAAGTTGTTTAGTCAGATTTTAAAGCAGTTGAAAGGTGATTATTTATATCATTTTACGAATATTTAATAGTTTTTCTTATATAATTTTAGAATAAGTTTAGTTAGACTTTCTATCTTAGCATGTGGCGAGGACTTTTAAAGGCTTGTTCTATTTTTTTCCAGTATTATATGAAAAAATTTTAAAAGTATTTTATGAAATCTCAAAGTTCTTAGAGTTACAAAAAATTGAATAATTCTTTAACCTTGAAATTCGAATTCCAACATTCTTATAGCCTTGAAATAAAATCCCAAGATTTACGACCTTGAATGGCTCGAGGGGAAAAAATTATTGACAAGCTATGTAAATATTTACAGTGACCAACTCATCCACAACCTTGATAATGGGTTATTATTGTTGGAAATTCATTATTAAATGGCTAGCTAATCAAGATCAAAAAGCACACGCACTCCAAAAAACCGCCTACCCTCGAAAATTCCCCACGTTTCAGTTTCATTTTTTGTTTTAAACTTTAAACATTGCCTGAGAGAGAAAACCAAAACAGTCCAGCCCATAATTAATAAATAAAAATTAAGTTTTTACTAAAACAATGCCAGTGCTATCCAGTTTGAGTTCGAGTCATGTCATATATAATTAAATAATTGCAAATGAATTACGTTAATATTTTGTATCTATCCTATGGCCAAGAACACCAGAGTTAAAATAATGCAACAATGAAGGAGAAACGACAAATGAAATTAATTGCAATTACCTTAAAAAAAAATTGAGAAAAGTATTTATTGAATTTATGGGGCCCAAGGTGAGGCAAGGAAAAAGTGTGACAGAGACGACGACCGGGGAGAACGTTGCATAATATTTTCACTTTTTGCATGGAGGTCTTAATGCTGACCGACAAAACAACAACAAACAATAAACGAGAAACAACAACAACGGCAAGTGAAACAAGTTTTTTGTTCAAGTCTTTTGTTTCAATCGATAAAGTGTATCTATAATTGGCAATTCATAGATAAATGCATACATATATGCTTGAGTGTACCTGTGTTCTGACATATGTATGTGGCGATGTTCGGATTGACAGAACAAAGGTGACTATCAGATGGGGGGCCATGGCACACGACGCTCTCGGAATGCGAGTTTTCCACAAATGTTTCAAGGATATTTTTAGAAAAATTTATATAATATTTTCAAGGGGCGGTTCTTAGTCATATAATGTTGTAGATTCAATGAAAATTTATTGTTTGGTATTTTTATTGTTTGCATTTATATAGAAAATAAAATCAATAGATTTTAAGATTAAATTCTGTAGAAGAGGAAATTGTTCAAAATTTAAGATAAACATTATCTTTTTTTGGCTGAATAATATTACATTTTAAAACCTAATATCTTAGTGCTAACTCTCCCTCGAACAAATAATTTGCGGCTTCCACTAATTACACTCATTACAATACAATATAGCCACCAAATGGCTTCCTTATGTCAAGATCTCGCCGCGAAACGAGTAGCCCGCGATTAGTTATGAAGTTGGAGCGGCTCGCGTTCATACTCTATGGGTTCGGTTCAAAAGCCGAGTTCAAGAACTAACTAATGACTGTACTAGACAATGGCAGTAGCTGGGGGTGGCCGAGGAGTGGGTGGGGAGGCGGTTTCTTGGCTTTGTTGGAGTTGCCGATGTTTGAGTTAAGCGCAGTCGAACAAACAGTAAGAAAATTTGTGTGAAGCGTGCAAATGAATGCGCTTTTCATGTGGCGAATATTTATAATACAAATTATATTCGTCCACTGCCCCCGCCCCTGTCGTCATGCTTGGATGGGCGTGGCATGCAGAACATTGTTGTTGCTACCCCTGCAGCGACCTCAGACTGACCAAGTTGTGCTAATTAATACATTAACTATGCCCCGAGGCTGAGTTCGCATTAAAAATCCGTTTTTCTATGTGTTTATTTCGGTTTTTTTTTGCGCCAAAATCGATCAACATCAAAATTTAAGTGGCCCCCGTATGGTACACGAAAAAAAATTCAAAACCAGTAGAGAGTTAACTGTCAAAAAAGCAACGCACGACAACAGCAGCAACAATATTGCTGACAACAGCACCTAAGCTTGTACCTACAGTGCGGATCATAATAATAAAGTTTAATTAGGTTTAGAGATAAAAGAAGTAATTATAATTTAATGGTGTCAAGATTGAAATAAAGTGTTTTTTAATTAATTTATTTAGAGCTCTTTCTATTATAATCATAGATATGCATTTTAGATTCATATTAAGGTGAAATAGAATCTAGTAATACTAGGTACTGGTATAATGGTATCTATTAGATATTCTAGCAGTCTCGTACCTTGTAACACCATTTATTATCTAGTAGTATCTATTATCTTGTAAAATAGTATTAAAAATGTTCCATACTGTATCTGCCTAAAGCTTATTTGTTTTACCCTCATACATTGTTCCAATTTTGATTGCTCTATTGAGCTCTAAAGTATTTTTTCATTTTTTTTTTTTGCATGCGGGCGCTAATAGTTTTGAACCCGAGGAGAGACCTAAAAAATATCCCAAAACCAATGTTCGACTTTGTATGCCATGGGCAAGGCTAACCTCGAGGCACGAGCCTCGATTCAGATTCAAACTGGTGCTTTGATTCGAAATCGGGCCGGGTATTAGATTCAATATTTTTGATTTTGTTGTGATTTGGCTTGTTTCCACTTCCTTTTACCTTTCAACGGATTTGATAAACTATGATAGCCGATCGGTGTCGGCTATAAGCCCTCCAACCTACTTAAGCGAAATATGAAAAATGTGATTAAGCCTCTTGTGTCTGTCAGTTGATTGAACTTTAAAGGTTTTCCAGCCGTCTCTCTTGGAGACTCAGTGTCATTATTGGTTTCTGGTTATCTTGCTGGGTGGCCCCCCCTGTTCGGTGGCTGATTGACAATGATTGACAATAAAACTCCAGTTTGTCAATATTTCCATATAGATAGCCTTTCGTATGGAGCTACCTACCCAAGCTTATTATGGAGCTGGCCAAGGCTTCCGAGCGAAGTGTGCCTCGGAAGTTGTTAGTGGGTGGAAGTAATTAAATTCGATTTTGAGCATTCGATAACAATGAGTGGCGGTCGATTCGAATTGTGTAATTATTTTATAGAGGTTCTGTGAACTAGTAACAAGGGCAGAGTCTACAGGCTTATGAAGGTCATCTTAGGAACTGGGATTATCTGGGAATTATCATCCAACCCTTCACATTTTATAATTAGGTTTGGAGAGCTAACTAATAGCTTTTCTATTCAATTCCATATTTCCATATTTTAAACTCTCACACCACTTCCCTTTAACGAAGGTCGTTCATCTGACACCTGAACTGCCAAGTGCCCCGCCAAGTGCTACAATTAGCCTCCAGAACCACCCAGGTTGTGTGTGCCGCCTGTCACATCATCATCGCACGCTCGTCAAAAACAAGCCACCGAAAAAAATTGTATTAAAAATTAATTAAACAAAAAGTCGAGACTAATGTGAAAAACAATATAAAACACATTTGGCGCGTGCACTTGACCTTCCGCATAAAAAAATAGGGATCCAAGGGGTTGTGGATACAAAGGGGGCATATACTTGCCAAGTAATTCGTTAGCCGCTGCCTCTGTTGGAATTTCTGATTTTGAACTTTTTGAAATTAATTTGTGCGTAACGTAATTTTTTGTTGCGCTCTGGCTCGCTCTGGCTTGTAGTTTGTCGGGTTGAAATCAAGGCAAGTGAATCGACTGAATTGA